AAACATAATGACACAAAATCATATTCTGAAATGAAAACAAACGAAAAACCATCCAAGCGTAAAAATGTCTAACCGAATGTTGCTTTTTCCTAACTTTGCACGTGCAGTGCACGCTATAGGTGTGTATCGTGTTACCTGCGCTTACATCTGTACTAGGGACGTACCCCGGCAATTCGCCATTGATAATTGACAAATACAGATATGCCACGACTTACAATGGAACAAAGAGACAGGGCAGTTGGAAGGCTCCTAGTCAACGTCAGACAAACTGACGTTGCCCGAACGTTCAATGTGACACGACTGACAATCGTTAAATTGTGGAGAAAGTATAGGATTCACGGAACAATGAAAGATCTCTTCCAAGAAGTGGTCGACCGCGTAAAACATCCGAGGACAGGTACATCCGCCTTTGTCATCTCAGGGATCGTTATTTGACGTCACGACGTTATTTTCGGAATCGTGTCAGTCCATGGACATTTCGAAGACGGCTGAAATCTTTTTTCGTTAAAAGAGCGGCGGCCATATAAAGGTTTGGTTCTGTCACAACGTCATCGACGTCAACATCTTCAGTGAGCGCGCCAACGTCAATTTCAACGGGTCTGGAATCGTGTAGTTTTCACAGACGAATCGAGATTTTGTCCAGCATGAGCGATTGACGCTGTAGAGTATGGCGACGTTTTTGAGAAAGTTTTCACGATAACTGTGTACAACAGTTCGACCGTTGGGGAGGGGTAAGTGTTATGGCGTGGGTTGGAATCAAACATAATGACAAAACAGATCTGATCATGATTCCGGGGAATCTTACTGCAGCAACGTACTGCGCTGAGGTACTGAACCGAGAGGTTTTACCATATTTTAGACGTCATGGCCCAAATTTGACGTTAATTCATGACAACGCCACCCCGTACACTGCGCGAGCAACAGATAAATTCATGAGGACCAATAACATTAATGTGTTGCCGTGGCCATCAAAATCTACGGATTTAAAATTCGATAGAGCATATTTGGGATTTCTTAAACCGCCGTGTACGACGACGCCAAAACCCACCAACAGCTTTGGCAGAACTTGAGCAGGCTCTCCACGAGGAATGGCGGATCATTCCTAGGAACACTATCCTACGACATACCAGGTCCACGAGGAGAAGAATCAATGCTGTGATTAACGCAAATGGTGGTCACACGCGATATTAAATAGACTTTGTATTGGACGTTTCCATTAATGACCCCTCACCACATTGTCAGGTAACTGACGTCAGTGTACCGAACGTAACTCAACGCTTCATAGAGTATGATAAACTAATAAAATAAAGTTTCCAAAGATATATAATATGTATTAGTTTGACATTTCTGCCTCAGAGCGAATTTGTCCTAAACTCCAATGTATAACTAATTTTGCACTTCAGTATATCACTATACTAATCACTTAATTAAATGTAAATCAGGCCAAATGGGCCTGTATCGTTCGCCTGGTTTAATTTACTGAAATTGCTTTATCAAAACCGAAAAAAAAAAATTTTGAAGTGTTGTGCCCCGCCCCTTCCACCTCAGGGAGGCTATTCTCTTCCATTTTGATTCCACTTCACCAAAGGATGCTTCAAACCAAATTTGAACAGAATCTTTTAAAGAATTTCTTTTTTTCCGCTTAGGTCCTCCCCAGGGGGTCGTGACCCACCATTTATACATTATAAATTTGAACAATACCATTTCATTAATATTTTCACTCCTATAGAAGAAGAGAGATTTGTATAATAATTTTCGCTATTCCCATGATAGATTATATCTTCCGCCCCTCCCCTTAGACAAATTTGAGGGGTGGGGCGAGCCATTTTTATACAAACGTATTCCTCTTTCTCTATGATTCGTCTGACAAAAATTGATCAGTCATTATGACAAGTAATGATTTAGGGTAAAAGTCGATGTACAGCGACCAACATGTACCCCGTTTACGGAAGTGGACCTAAATCATTGTTAGTGTATGGGAGGCAACTCCTGAAAGGAAAATAATGCAGGTTATCAGTACATACTTTACAGAGTGAGAAATTCACAGTATAGACCAATATCAGACTAATAAAATGTCGATTGAGGATTGTTTGCAAATTATTTAAACTGTTCAATAAACGTTTTCGTTCCATATGAGATTAATGAAGCTTGTCTCGATTTTTTAAATTCTGTCTTATAGGAGGATAGGTAAAATGAAAAAAAGTCTAAGACACGTTCATCAATCTCGTTCGAAATGGAAACCCGTGACCAGCATCACTTGCACAAGACCGACATTTGTTTGAAGGGAAGAGTTAACATGTCAGTCTGAAGGGAAGAGTTAATATGTAATGTAAGTCTGAAGGGAAGAGTCAACATGTAATGTAAGTCTGAAGGGAAGAGTTAACATGTAATGTAAGTCTGAAGGGAAGAGTCAACATGTAATGTAAGTCTGAAGGGAAGAGTCAACATGTAATGTAAGTCTGAAGGGAAGAGTTAACATGTAATGTAAGTCTGAAGGGAAGAGTTAACATGTAATGTAAGTCTGAAGGGAGGAGTTAACATGTAATGTAAGTCTGAAGGGAAGAGTCAACATGTAATGTAAGTCTGAAGGGAAGAGTCAACATGTAATGTAAGTCTGAAGGGAAGAGTTAACATGTAATGTAAGTCTGAAGGGAAGAGTTAACATGTAATGTAAGTCTGAAGGGAAGAGTCAACATGTAATGTAAGTCTGAAGGGAAGAGTCAACATGTAATGTAAGTCTGAAGGGAGGAGTTAACATGTAATGTAAGTCTGAAGGGAAGAGTCAACATGTAATGTAAGTCTGAAGGGAAGAGTCAACATGTAATGTAAGTCTGAAGGGAGGAGTTAACATGTAATGTAAGTCTGAAGGGAAGAGTTAACATGTAATGTAAGTCTGAAGGGAAGAGTCAACATGTAATGTAAGTCTGAAGGGAGGAGTTAACATGTAATGTAAGTCTGAAGGGAAGAGTTAACATGTAATGTAAGTCTGAAGGGAAGAGTTAACATGTAATGTAAGTCTGAAGGGAAGAGTTAACATGTAATGTAAGTCTGAAGGGAAGAGTTAACATGTAATGTAAGTCTGAAGGGAAGAGTTAACATGTAATGTAAGTCTGAAGGGAAGAGTTAACATGTAATGTAAGTCTGAAGGGAAGAGTTAACATGTAATGTAAGTCTGAAGGGAAGAGTTAAGGGAAGAGTTAACATGTAATGTAAGTCTGAAGGGAAGAGTCAACATGTAATGTAAGTCTGAAGGGAAGAGTTAACATGTAATGTAAGTCTGAAGGGAAGAGTTAACGTGTAATGTAAGTCTGAAGGGAAGAGTTAACATGTAATGTAAGTCTGAAGGGAAGAGTTAACATGTAATGTAAGTCTGAAGGGAAGAGTTAACATGTAATGTAAGTCTGAAGGGAAGAGTCAACATGTAATGTAAGTCTGAAGGGAAGAGTTAACATGTAATGTAAGTCTGAAGGGAAGAGTTAACATGTAATGTAAGTCTGAAGGGAAGAGTTAACATGTAAGTCTGAAGGGAAGAGTTAACATGTAATGTAAGTCTGAAGGGAAGAGTTAACATGTCAGTCTGAAGGGAAGAGTTATCATGTAATGTAAGTCTGAAGGGAAGAGTTATCATATAATGTAAGTCTGAAGGGAAGAGTTATCATGTAAGTCTGAAGGGAAGAGTCAAGGAAGTAACAGAAGCGGAAGGGGTTTCATATTTTAGGGTTCGCACCATTTAGTCGAACAAAAATATGTTCAATTCTTTTTTACTGTATCTAGTAGTTAGTGATCAGTTTCATTTGAAACAGTACCTAAAATTAATATTTACAACGTAGGAGACAAATCACGAGGTTCTAAAACAGAAACGATCCTATGTGGATTATTGAGAGATTTGATTTTTTCCATCACAGCTACACACCATATTCTGATTCTGACTGGGAATCGTTCTGTCGTATCTAGCTTGGATTTATTAATCTTACTTTAAAAAAAGAAATCAATTAATTTGAACACAGAAATTTATGTCAGATTAAGTCTCATTTATTCTGCGTTGGATGAAACATCATTAAGTGCAATGAATTTGTTTTGAAATTAAATGCTATTTAAACTAAATATTATCTTAAAAAAATCACAGAAGAATTTTATGTGTCTGGTATGTTATTTTAATCAAATTCCTAATATTCGAGGTTGGAACTTAAATTTCAGTCATGAGATCAGATCTATATTGTAATAGGAAAGATTTTGTCGATACATTAGCAGTGTCAACAAGTAAAAACAAACATTTATACAGCTGAATATATAATCATCAGAAATCATGTAGACACTACAGGAAAGTGTTATAAAAATCAACGACCACATTCCAGACAAAAACAATCCTATGAATATCATTCCTCGAGCTGTACCTGGAATTTTCTTCTCCGAATGAACTAGAGACAAATCCGTTTTTAATCAAGGTAAACCTGTATATATATAACGCACCGTGTCTCGGCCTTGTCAAACTGTATAATTCATAATTTAAAAGTCGCTAAATCCCACGGGCACCTGTGGTAGAAGCATTTCAAGCTTAATTGCAAATCAATCCAAATTTCAAAAATGGATTGATTTAGCTTTATTTACTTTCCAAAAACACAAATCACACTTTATTATTTCATTTTGAATTTACTTCGTCATATTTCAATATATAACGACGAGTCCTTGTTTGTCGTGCACTGTCACTGTAGATTGGTTTAATCGCTTTAAACTAACAGAACTTATTTCCTTCGCTCCCGCGATCAGTGGGGCACGACTTCGCACCTAGTCAGACGATACAGTTATTCAGGTACGGTTAGCATTCGGAAGCTACCCAATCAATAATTACTTTAAGTAGTAGAATAACACCTGAAGGGTTCCAAATGATATTCGTAATATTAGCATACAAATAGGACCCTAGCAACGGCGAGACTTAGCTGAGATACGGTGTGTAACGGTACCCCGAACTATTGTGGGTGAGATTTTCAGATGAGGGAAACATGACCTCCATCCAGCTTTTCCCCAATGTCGAGCACACCCCCGTGGTGCCGAAGGAATGGGGGTCAGGCAAGCTAAAGGAGGACGTCAATGTATACATCCCGGGGCCCCCTACCTGGCAATACAAGTAAGTATAACGTCTCCCCCGTCCATTGTTTGGGGATTTAATAGCTCATTTCAAACAATTAAAGAGACAAAAGGAGGCAATGTAAAATTAAATGCTGTTTACAGTTATATCATGGTGTATACAAAAATGATATGCTCATGTCTATATATTTCTGTTACACATGTAATACCCATAGATTGGCCTGACACTTATAGTTGTGTACAGTAACTGCGATACTCCACAGTAGTAACTTATATACATGTATACTGTACGTATAATATACCTGTATACTGTACTTGTGATACCTGTATACTGTACCTGTGATACCTGTATATTGTACCTATGATACCTGTATACTGTACCTGTGATACCTGTATATTGTACCTGTGGTACCTGTATGCTGTACCTGTGATACCTGTGATACCTGTATACTGTACCTATGATACCTGTATACTGTACCTGTGGTACCTGTATACTGTACCTATGATACCTGTATACTGTACCTGTGGTACCTGTATACTGTACCTGTGATACCTGTATACTGTACCTGTGATACCTGTATTCTGTACCTGTGATACATGTATACTGTACCTGTGTGATACCTGTATGCTGTACCTGTATACTGTACCTGTGATACCTGTATACTGTACCTGTGATACCTGTATACTGTACCTGTGATACCTGTATACTGTACCTATGATACCTGTAATCTGTACCTGTGATACCTGTATACTGTACCTGTGATACCTGTATGCTGTACCTGTATACTGTATCTGTGATACCTGTATACTGTACCTGTGATACCTGTATACTGTACCTGTGATACCTGTATGCTGTACCTGTGTACTGTATCTGTGATACCTGTATACTGTACCTGTGATACCTGTATACTGTACCTGTGATACCTGTATGCTGTACCTGTATACTGTACCTGTGATACCTGTATACTATACCTGTGATACCTGTATACTGTACCTGTGATACCTGTATACTGTACCTGTGATACCTGTATACTGTACCTGTAATACCTGTATACTGTACCTGTGATACCTGTATACTGTACCTGTGATACCTGTATACTGTACCTGTGATACCTGTATGCTGTACCTGTATACTGTACCTGTGATACCTGTATACTGTACCTGTGATACCTGTATACTGTACCTGTGATACCTGTGATACCTGTATTCTGTACCTGTGATACCTGTATACTGTACCTGTGATACCTGTATGCTGTACCTGTATACTGTATCTGTGATACCTGTGTACTGTACCTGTGATACCTGTATACTGTACCTGTGATACCTGTATACTGTACCTGTGATACCTGTATACTGTACCTGTGATACCTGTATGCTGTACCTGTATACTGTATCTGTGATACCTGTATTCTGTACCTGTGATACCTGTATACTGTACCTGTGATACCTGTATGCTGTACCTGTATACTGTATCTGTGATACCTGTGTACTGTACCTGTGGTACCTGTATACTGTACCTGTGATACCTGTATACTGTACCTGTGATACCTGTATGCTGTACCTGTATACTGTACCTGTGATACCTGTATACTGTACCTGTGATACCTGTATACTGTACCTGTGGTATCTGTATACTGTACCTGTGATACCTGTATGCTGTACCTGTATACTGTACCTGTGATACCTGTATTCTGTACCTGTGATACCTGTATACTGTACCTGTGATACCTGTATACTATACTATGATCAATATCTATTTGTACTATAGATGTGGTTTATGTTGATGTTTTTGTGTTGAGGTGTCTTTTGTTGTTTTTTACAGGGGAGAACCAATAGATCAGTTTTACACCCTCACCAAGCTCAAACTTAGTAACGTCCGCAGTAACGATGCTTTGTAAGTATTACACTCCCATACTTTATATATACACAAGCCCATCTTCTAGTCTCATACAAACACATGTGCTTAAGCCTGAAAACTGGTTTTTCATTTGTTACTAAGAGATAAGGAATAAGCTACATATGAATCAGAAATGTTTCTAATCATCTGTTGGTATAATATTTTGTAATATTTTTTGGCCAATTGACAGCTGAAGTCACTCATACTTAAGGTCAACATATGAAAAATCTACAGCACTAAAGCAAAAAGAGCGATTTTTTTCAACATACCATACATAATTATCGGAAAACTTTTGTAGCACGGACGGGCTTTAGGATCTATGAGTATTGATTTCTGATGTGATTCTGAGTGATACTGTGTTTTTACCTGTCTCTGATTTAATGACTACATTACATGTGTATCTTGTAGACTACAATAACCCATTGTTTCCAAATTATTCACGAAGCAGGCAAATTAAAATGTGTAGGGAATAAACCATTCTTTATGAAAACGTAAGATTCACATGTTGCTTTCTTTTTTTCAGACTTTCGAAACCACAAGAGGCTCCTATGGGGTATGTATATTCAATTTATTATCAACAAAAATTCCTCAGAGTACAAAGTGATGTCCACGATGAAAGCTCATCCCTAATTGTTATTAACTCAACTCTCTTTTTGGAGAACATAACATTACTTGGACTGATTTGAAAGATACAAATTTGTTTAAGTGGACGAGTACAATGTACATGTACTGTTATAATTACATAACTTGTGTCATGGTTGTGAATTTATGAAAAAAATAGATATAAACAAATGAAAATTGTGAGTTCATCATCATCATCATCATCATCATCATCATCATCATCATCATCATCATCATCACAATAAGGTAATGTCTGGTATTTTCCTTTTTTAAAATAGAGAAATTCTCATCAACAAAGATTTCCCTGCAGAACATCCGTACAGTTCTCACATGCCGAGGTATTCACTCTTTCCTAAGTTTGATTCCCCGGAGGATCCAAAGAGGGGAGTGGCTGCAAGAAAAGTCCAGCCAATTAATGCTGAGATGCCAGCGACAGCCCATGATGTCACTATTCTCCACAAAACAAAAGGTAGAATTTCAGTGAGCTGATGATTAGATATGGTTTTGTAGGTAGCTTGATTCTCTACCAAAGAGAATCTCTGGTGTAATGTGTGATTATACATTGTTTGGCTAGTATAGACAGGATTGTTCACTATAGACAGGTTTTAGTGTACAGTGAGATTCTCCAATGATTGTTCACTATAGACAGGTTTCAGTGTACAGTAAGATTCTCCAATGATTGTTCACTATAGACAGGTTTCAGTGTACAGTAAGATTCTCTTCTGATTGTTCACTATAGACAGGTTTCAGTGTACAGTAAGATTCTCCAGTGATTGTTCACTATAGACAGGTTTCAGTGTACAGTAAGATTCTCCTGTGATTGTTCACTATAGACAGGTTTCAGTGTACAGTAAGATTCTCTAACGATTGTTCACTATAGACAGGTTTCAGTGGACAGATTCTCCTGTGATTGTTCACTATAGACAGGTTTCAGTGTACAGTAAGATTCTCCAATGATTGTTCACTATAGACAGGTTTCAGTGTACAGTAAGATTCTCCTGTGATTGTTCACTATAGACAGGTTTCAGTGTACAGTAAGATTCTCTAACGATTGTTCACTATAGACAGGTTTCAGTGTACAGTAAGATTCTCTAATGATTGTTCACTATAGACAGGTTTCAGTGTACAGTAAGGTTCTCTAATGATTGTTCACTATAGACAGGTTTCAGTGTACAGTAAGATTCTCCAATGATTGTTCACTATAGACAGGTTTCAGTGTACAGCAAGATTCTCTAATGATTGTTCACTATAGACAGGTTTCAGTGTACAGTTAGATTCTCCTGTGATTGTTCACTATAGACAGGTTTCAGAGTACAGTAAGATTCTCCTGTGATTGTTCACTATAGACAGGTTTCAGTGTACAGTAAGATTCTCCTGTGATTGTTCACTATAGACAGGTTTCATTGTACAGTAAGATTCTCTAACGATTGTTCACTATAGACAGGTTTCAGTGTACAGCAAGATTCTCTAATGATTGTTCACTATAGACAGGTTTCAGTGTACAGTTAGATTCTCCTGTAATTGTTCACTATAGACAGGTTTCAGTGTACAGTAAGATTCTCTAACGATTGTTCACTATAGACAGGTTTCAGTGTACAGTAAGATTCTCCAATGATTGTTCACTATAGACAGGTTTCAGTGTACAGTAAGATTCTCTAATGATTGTTCACTATAGACAGGTTTCAGTGTACAGTTAGATTCTCCTGTGATTGTTCACTATAGACAGGTTTCAGTGTACAGTAAGATTCTCTAATGATATGTTTGACATATTCCATTTTACTTAGTTTACAGTTACCCATTCTAAAGATAGGTGTAGATCTAGCTTTATTACCTACCTAATTCAAATAAATAATTTTTTCAATAGGGCATGGACATCGACAGGAGGTTGAAACGATTCCTAAGGCATCGGAGAAGAAAGCCCTGGAATGGTCAGGAGAACATGGATTTAATCAGGTATTTATCAGTTTCCTAGAACTCCTATTTATGTATCCAGTCTCCCAGATATGATTCGTAATCTTTTTTTGCCTGACCGTGATCCTCTGAGATGTTCTCCTCTTTCAAAGCTACTTGCTGACTGCTGAGCTCTGACAATTACCAAATAACATGGTCAACTCCTTGTATCCAAAGGCAACCTCCATTATAAGCACCAGTTACACCAGAATATCCCTTAATCTAAATTTTCACATTTGTGGACAGGGTTCAGCTTTACTTGGGTACTTGGATGATGTTTATTTAGATATATAGATGTATTATTAAAGTTAAAGAGAGCATCTCAAGAAATGTTTTCCTTTCTGAGGTAATATTTTAATTCATGAAGGCTTTGCATGTTTTCTTTTCCTCTTTTCACTACAGACTTTCACATATTTGTACCATCTCCCCCTCCATCACCTCTTCTTTTAACTGGAAATAAATAGTCTGTAAATGTACATTCTTTAGCGATAATCTAAAAGTGTTGATCTGAAATATTATCAATGTGGGTGTACTAAAATTTGATAGCACTAAATTAAGTACATATACAGAAATTGAATTAGTTATATCAGTATGATTGTGATATTGTAGAAACATGTCCATGATAATGAAAACTTTCATGAAATAATTAAAAAATATTCAAGATTGATCTCATTTTACTGAGGCAGTTCAGAAATCATCATTTTTGTGGAAACTTTGCAACAGTTCCTCTGGCAATACAAAGCTACAGACCTAATTAATCCATAGAGTCTGAGCCAAATTTAGTAGAGTATACAAAAGTCTTGTTTTTATTCACAGCTTGTGAAGACTCATGGTGGAAGACAACAATTTTACCCCATCCCACCAAAGACTGTGGCTCCAAATCTCCAGGACCGTTGGCCGGATATGAAGGTGTCTGATCGAACAGCTAATGCTTTACGTAATGTAGAGCGAAACCAATGGCACACAACATATGACCTCAATCACACTGGACTAGGCCCGGCTAACCCACTCAAGCTCGACAATATCGATGACAAGATAGCCAAATATGAAGCCACTGGTCTTGATGACGATATACTGGTCAGTGTTTGAAATAAAAGATTTCTAAACAGGGGAGGTAACTTTGGGTTTTATGTAAAACATTACATATTTCAAAATCATGGTGGAAGATTTAGATTTTTTTATAGGATTATATATAGCTTCAGCTTCATTTAAGATGTTTATCAACGTTTCATTTATCTTGCAGTACCCACGATCGATAAACACAATTGACCCTCCACGGCCATTTGAAGGGCGCATTTCAAAAATGCTCATCCCAAAGCCACCAAACCAGAAACCGGACAAATCTGCAGACCAGAATACAGGATATGTGAGGTAAGTTAAACTTGGAAGCATTATCTCACAAGTTTGCAAGGAAATAAACTAAGCTTATTTTATGCAACAAATATGGCTTCAGTCTGTTAGTTTGAATCTGAAATTAGTACCACGTCTAACAGGCAATAACCTATTGTATGGTTATAAGCCCATCCAACCTGTGTGATGATTGTCCAATCTTGCACACTAAAGATCTTGCACGCTAAAGATCGAAAAAGAGTAGGCATGATATTATCGGCCCAAGGGCCAAAGGTTAGTGTCAGACTATACAATTATTTTTAAGGCATTAGACGGACTTCAAAGTTACCCGAACTCAAACCAAATCTAGATAGACCCCCAACTCTTCCTTTTAGCTTCTGGACATGTCACAACTTCTAGAGTTAGGATAAGGCATTACTAGGCCCTGGAGCCGTAAACAGAAACTAGTATACTCAAACGATCACCTTAATAGACCATTCCACCCCACTGAGGGGAGGAAGGTTGCCCCCTCATGTCCCCAGAAATACTGATTGTCTTCGGTGAGTTGATACTAAGACACAGGAGGAGTCATGGAGACAGAAAACCTCTCAATCCACCAACCAATCAAACCCATCGCTATATTTTGCTGTTGAGTTAATCATAAACCAATGCTATTTTATTGATGTGTAATAAACCCATCCCCAGCCCCCATACGTCAGACTTGGAGGTATCTGTTGGGTTTTTAGTAAGGTAAATACAGCACACTTGTGTATGTAAGGATTCAGATTTTTGTAAGGTAAATACGGTACATTTGTGTATGAAGTATTCAGATTTTTGTAAGGTAAATACGGTACATTTGTGTATGTAAGTATTCAGCTTTTTGTAAGGTAAATACGGTACATTTGTGTATGTAAGTATTCAGCTTTTTGTAAGGTAAATTCAGTACATTTGTTTATGTAAAGATTCAGCTTTTTGTAAGATAAATACGGTACATTTGTTTATGTAAGGATTCAGCTTTTTGTAGGAGAAATACGGTACATTTGTGTTTGTTTGATATGAGTTGTTGTCTTACAGGATGATGACCCTACATGAGAAAGAAGAGGACCGTTTGTGGAATGGTAAGGAGTATGTGAGTTTACCTAACACTAACAAAGGTGCCACTAAACAGCACAAGAATTTACGCTGGAAGGAACTTAATGATGGGGCACACCCTCAGGTAAATATCAACAAACTGAATGAGGCAGCTGAGGGGGAGTTCCCAGACGACATTCCTTACGTCCCGACAGTAGGGATGCCTGAGAGAACAGAGGAGGACTACCTCGCCACCACCAAAGTCAAACGAGACATGGACATCCAGGAGATGGAAGCACAAAACCGCTTCAAGGTAAGCCATCAATAAAATAGATCACTTTCAAAAAATCATAAAAAGATTACACCTGTTGAATAAATGCCTCCAACCAAATCAAACTGCTTAATAATTATAAGAATGATGATAATAGATGGGCTATGAACATACTTCATATATACAGATAAGTAAAAAAAATTCTACTGCTGAAAGGTAAAGGTCTTCAACCAAATTGAACTACTTCAAGGTTGATTATATATAAAATTAAAACCACTTGAAAGTAGACTACTAAATCACGCCAGGTGAGATCACCTCAAAACAATATTTCAACTTGGTAGAATAATACAAAAATATTTCAGGAAATAAGTCGCAGTAAACAATTTTTGGTGAGATAGAAGAATAAACCCAAGGCAAGTTTGCCTGTCGTACTTCTAAGTAGATCTGTAACGTATATAAATACAAGTAAAAATGTTCCTGTTACAGGTTTTGGAGGCCCAGACACCTGGTCATGAACTGACAGCTCTTAACTGTAAGTACCAACATCTGAACGACAAAGAAAAACCAAACACTTTCTATAGTCACGAGGGCAAGTACAATGAGGAAAGAGCTGGGATGTACCGTACCAGTTATATACCTGAACGCCTCACCAACAGTATGAGCGGACTCGAGCGAAGCCCACCAGAAATCATGAATACTATGCATTCTCATGTAGATGCTTTGAATTTACCAACAAAGCTGAATAGAGATATGAAAGATGCTTTAAGATATAGTCGCACTTTAAATACCAGCACCCCGAACTTAACCGGCGATATGCGCGATTCCTACGAGGTTTTAACTCCATTAAACCATGTTAAAGAGGCACAGAAAATGACACTCCAACCAACAGAGGAAACAGCACGAGTTCCTGTCCTGGAGAAAGAGACGATTCTCAAGGAGAGTGTCACTGGTAGTAGCTACAATACACACAAATTTCTACAGGAAAATCAGCTACCCAGATTTGCCCGACAGGAACCACTGAATGTTATGTCGACAGAAAATCAAAACTTAGCCAATGTTCGTCTGATATCAGGATTAAAACCACAGAAAAGTGTGTCATTTTCAGACAGCGTCACTGTGGCAAGTGGTGATGAGAACGGAAATGTGCGGATTATAAGCGCTCCGTCAAGAATGCAGCGCGGAGAAGGTAAAGAAAATATCCCCCCATGTAAGGTTAGTTCTACACAGTACACCAGCACCCAGGCACTGTATCATCCTATGAATGACCAGGAGGAACCTCCCAAACAAGAGCCCTCCATCTTTGAGCTTCAGATGAAAGCATTGAGTGAGGAAAGAGAGTTGGAAAAACAGATGGAAAAGAAAGAAAACCCTGTTATGGCCACACGACAACCGAGACGCCGAGCAGCAACTTCTCTTGATACTGAATACCATGATGAATATAGGAGTTTGTCTTCAAATATCGCCCCAACCAATTTACGACATTCCATGCAGTTCAGCACAGCTTATCAAAACCAGTTTCCAGTATACCATGACCTCACTTACAAACAAGACCCACGCTTCCTGTGGGAACCAGGTTTTGGTTCACCTAGACCGCAGACGGATCTGATCAAAATACAGGATCGCTTCAGCAAGTCTAATGTTCGAAAGAAGTTCCACAGCACATTCATGGAGAGTAATCCTGATCTTCGGGAGAATATAGTCAAAGGGAAAAAACATTCATTTTTTGGTATGAATGCCCAAAATTTGCACGGCTAAGAATGCAACAGTGAGTCTAAATCAACAGCATAGTAGTAGCTATATACTTGTATTTGATATCACTGGCTCTCAACATTTCTTTTACAGTGATAGTGTAATATGAACTGAAATAGAGAATTTGGCATTAATTTGCAGTTTTAACATAAGAAAATGTCTAGACTAACCAAACAGTTGAACATGGATTGATTGACAGCTGTTGCAAAAGAGCAATGATTTAATCAAAACTCCTATACATCCCAAAAAAATCTGAAGTAGTAATTACATGATTAAAAATTACAGATTAATTTCTAAAAGTCAAATATAGAACAACAAGATATACACAACTTTGGCCTGTTGAATGTTGTGAACAAACTTTATATGTTATATACATGAACCAGTATGTGATTTCAGTATTTAGATGTGACTTGTTGATAAATCTATTTATTGTGTTGTATATATATTGTTGAAGAAATGTAAATCTTTGCTAAAATATACAATTTTCTTTTTTTTAAACGTTTCTTTGGATACTTATTTGATGAAAGAATCGAAATTCCTGTGAATTTAATTATTGATCAGTATCAGAGTTTGTAAACAAGTTTGTTTTATCGTCATTTCTACATCAATGCATTCTGAACTTTTATTTGTTATTTCTTGCCCAAATATTTCAAAGGTTTTTGGCCAAAACATCCAAATTTTCACACAAACACGAAGATAATATGTAGAAGAGGTCAGTATTAAAGAACTGGTCCCATTCATATCAGAAAAAGCTATCAAGTTATTGAAATATAACTTATAAGTTAGATAAATTACTAACCCATTGATTTAATGACTTGCATTTAAAACAAATAAACAATAGTCATGTAGGTTTAAGGAAAAGGTGCTAATTAGTTCAGGTGTTGCTACTTATAATAGTCCATTATTATATATCAGCTGATTTCATAGTCAAACTAAAGTTTAAATACTATATAAGGCAGCCTTGATTTGATCAGGGTGTCATAAGTTGAGTAGTACTTAAATATACATTTTGTGTAAAAAAATTCTAAACAGAAAATGTATTTGAAAATTGATTTAAAAATTTGCAAGTTCTTCATTTCACTTTTATTTTAGACAAGAGATTAAGTTTGAATATTTCAAATGTGACATATATTATGTACATATATGTGGCAATTACATAAACTGTACAGATCATATAGCTTTGTTATCTATATCCCTCAACTTTAGTGAGTTGTTCAAGAAGAAAAACAATTAAATCAAAACTACAGAGTTTAACAGAAACATGTAGTCAAAATAACAAAGAAAGAATTTTAACAAAGTCACTTTCATATTTATGGACCAGTATTTGGAAGATATAAAAGTTCTGAATAAGGAATTTCCTTAAAGGTACCATTCAAATGTTTTTAAAAATCTACACGTTATGAAATTTTATGTTGCGTTTTTTGTATATTGTATAACTTAACCTTAATTTCTCTTGTTAAATTTGTAATACTATTGTCTTGTTCTGGTCAGAATGGTATTAATGGTAGGGATTATTTTTTTATTTTGTCAAGTCTTTGTTTAACTTTTCTGTCCATTTTATACCATTCATTTAACTTTACAGAGTTTTTTCATATGTATATTTATAAGATATAAATATTATAGATATTTAATTTGATGCCTGATGTTCGTTTTGCTTTTATTGATCATGGTCATATTGATGCTGAATTGTTGACAGGTCAAAATCTTGATCCATTGTCCAGTTATGTTGTTAGATCTTGGTTCAGTTGATGTTTATACTAATGGATCTGGGTCATGTTAATGCTTGTATTTGATGAACTAGTTAAGCTATGGATCAAGGTCTTTAAAAAGTTTATTTCAAAAGATTATGGTCATGAGAATGTTTTTATGATCATATTCCTGGTGATGTTTGTAAAGTATGTCCAGTGTGTGGTATTACCAAGCTGTGCTCATTATATACCTATCAGTATTACACTGTCATGTTATTATTGAATCACTCTTATTTATAATGCTTCCAACACTTGAGATAAATTCCTACATATATTTATGGTAAACTTACTACAATTGTAATATATATATATTACACTGTGTCCAGAGAAAGGTATTGTCCTTTCAGGATAAGCTGTCTACTCCAGTGACTGCTCAAATAAATGTCTCCAGCAATAAGCCCGTGTCTGGTGATGAGCTAATTCTCATATGGAAATCATTCTGACAGTGAATCTCAGTAACAATGGATTTTTATCACATCTAGAACAAATGAAACAAGATTTTATGTTTTTCCTCTCCATGTAGCTGAGAGATTTGTTTGATAACTCATCACCCCGTCGAGGAATGTAGGTAAAATCTAAGTCAGTTTAATTAATGAAGGATATAAGTTATCTCTTCTGAGATTTTACAAAGTAACATTTACATTGAAACAAATTGGACTAGATGGTCTAGCAGAGCAGGATCAAACATACCAATATTTTACCTTATCTGTGATATATTTATTACTCTGGCTCAAGTTAGTCAGAACTTTCATCCCTGTGTGTGGAAAGTCTTAAACATTCATCATATTTACAGTTGTTGTACATTACATGTGTAATTCATATATTTTTTATAATTGCTTGTTGTTAATTGTTATATAATTAAATTAACACTCTTTTGACAGGATTTGACACAAATTGGACTTCATGTTATTAGTCACACAAACTTTTGTTGTATTTTACATTTGATCAGAAGTTGAGGTTTGTAGGTATAAAGCTTGAGATAGTCAGACCTAAACTGACCAGTAACTCACACCACTGACCAGCCTAACCTCGGTCTTTACAGTGGTCTACCTAAGTTTCAAGGGTACTGTTTTCTGTCCTTTAAACAACATTTTAAAGTCAGAAAACATCAGTAAAAATTCTTGACTTACCAGTTTATAAGAAACCACATAACAGAATCAGACAAGAAACCAATAAATGTAACATTTAGACGTATTCTGATTTTTTTAAGCTTAGAGACAAGAACGCCATTGTTTTTGATGAAATCTTGAATCTCCTGTGTAGTGATACAAGCTGTACTACAGGTTGTTGTTGAAGAATTAATTTATGTGTTGGTTGTGATTAAGTATCTATATAATATTATCTTGTGATTGAATTGCACATTCCTTTATGCAATAAACTTTGCTCAAGAACTTTTTGTTGTTCACAGATTTTCATGTTTACATGGTGGTTTAGTAGCTTTTGTACAAGAAACATGATGATAGACAGATAGGCAAAGTGATCGTAACCCCTGGAGTATCCAGGATGTAGCTCTATATTTCAACACGTATCAACTTGTACAAGATATCAAGGGACATAATTCTGTAGAGAAGGTGTGGTACTAGCAACAGACGTTAACATATATTATTTATATGAAGACACATGACATTTACAGTCCAATGATTGACGACTTAAGACATGGAAATGTGCAGGTTGAATTCTTCTATGAAATTAGTGTTAATCATGATACTGTGACATCTAATCTTAGCACGAACAGAGATATTACTGAGAACAGTAGACAAATTCACAAACTTGAGTATAACACATAAATTACAGTGAAATTTATAACAAGAAAATTCTGTTCTTCAAATTCTCAAAAACTGCAAAAAAAATTTTAAAAAATAATTTAAATTGTTAGCCAACAATTTGATGGGCTTTCACCTATACACAACATCTTAGTTAAAGGTCAATCATTTCCACAAACCTGATAGCTAATCGTTCAAGCAATTTATATGTTACATATCTAGACTTTAGAATGTACAACTTCAGATTATTTATTTGTGTTATCTGAAAAAGACTTCTTCCTAAAACTGGAAATAGACATTTGACACCAAATTTCTTACTTCTATCAATAGCAATTGTGTGCAATATGAAAATAATCAAGCATCATCACCTTGTACCTCTTAGTTACTGAAAAGAAGTCATCTAAAGATTTTAATAAAAAATCACCCCTGTGACCTTGAAAGTGGGTCAAGGTCATTAATATTTTCAAATCTGATTTCCAACGTTACATGTAAAATATCAAGGTTCTAGACCTTGTGGAACTTGAGAAGAAATTTTTCAAAGTTGGTTACCCAAAATAACAATTTTCAACCTTGACCCCTATTGAAAACCTGAAGTTGAGTTTTCAGACAAGGCATCAGAAAAGACAATCAATAGTAATTTACTACAGTATGCTACTGACCAAATTTCATTATTGTGTGCCAGTTAGTCATTGAGAAAATACTATTTAAAGATTTTGACATAAATGACCTCTGTGACATTGAAAGACAGCCAAGGTCATTCATATTATCAGACTTGATAGCCAATAACCTGAATATATCTAGCCCTTAGTCGTTGAAGAATTGAAGAAGAATTGAAAAAAGAAATTGTATCGAACACCGGAAATCAACATTTAACGAAAAATGTTACCTGAAAATATTATGTTCATTTGTTAACATACATAACATATCCAAAGATGAATCCAATTTCTTTCCCCATTAATGAGATATGGCAATAAAAGATCAAATCAAATAGTATGTCATTGTGATCATTTTGTTTTTCTAATGAAGTTGAAGCGATCACTAAATGTTAGAGGACATCTGGGACAACCTTTTCCATAATGAGTAAACAAAATATAAGTAATTTGATATAGGTCTAAAACAAGTTTACCAAATTAGTCAGCATTTTAAACAAGAGGCCCACAGGCCTTAACGATCATCTGACTATAAACACCTATATATAGAAGAGGCCAAATAAGCCTAAAATAAATTCCTCAACTTCTCTACAGCTGACAAAGATGTTGGTTCATAAAAATAATTTCTGCAAACTTGAAATCATATTCTATATATATGCTACTACACAAATGTCATCACTTCGAACTTATTGTCTGTTGAAAAAGAAATTTTCAGATCACAACTCACTTAACTCAGGAGATCTTGAATATAGGACAAGGTCAATCACTTGAACAAATCAGCAGCCATTCATCCACTTATATTTTAGAGCCAATATCAACAGCCTGAACCTTTTTGTTATTGAGGAGAAGTCATTGAAGATTTCAACACATTTGACCCCCTGTGACCTTTAAAAATGGATCAAGGTCATTGTTTAAATATTTAGACGTAATTGACAAACGTGACCTTAAAATTAGGTCAAGGTCAATAATGACTAAATTGGTAGCCCTTTTTACCAGCTAGCTACTTGCCCATTTTCAGTACCATTGGCCTATTGGTTATTAAGAAGACGTTGTTGAGATATATTTCAACACATCTGACCCCTATGACCTTGAAAGTGGGTCATGGTAATTCATACTAAGAAACTTGGTAGCTCTCCATCCCAGCATGCTGCAGGTTCAAAATCAGCATCCTTGGCATCTTGGTTTTTGAGAAGTAATTTGAATTGAAAGTTTTTGCATAGCAGACAGGGCCTGACCCTTCAGGATATTTCAAGATATTCTTAAGAGTTTAGTAAATAGCCTATAAACCTTACTGCTTCCTTACCAATCAAAAGATTTGGAATCCACAAATTTCTAAAGAAGAACAACACTAATAAGAAGGAACATATAGGTCTTTGCACCAGATGGTGAAAAACACCAAAAATGGCTATCAACATATTAACAGCTTTTTAAGTTCATAAATGTATTATCATAACATCTCAACGAAAAAAAAAAAACAACAAAAAATGAGAATATCACTTTACCATTTTATTTTCTTCATCATCCAATCGATTCTTACTCACCAAGGTACAGTTTGGTGGCACATAAAAGTCAAAAATAACACTTAATGAGAATGAAAAATAGCATTTACAAAAATGACAGAATCTTACTGAAACCTGGACCTGAGGGGCTAAAATAACTACATTCTGTTTCTACTACTGTACACCATAGACATGTATAACAGCCAAAGGCAAATTGCCCATCGTATACGATGAAGATTGTAAATCACCCGTCCTACCCCACAATGACTGTAAATTACCCATTGTACACCATGAAGACTGTAAATCACCCATCGTACACCATGATGACTGTAAATTACCCATCAAATACCATGAAGACTATAAATCACCCATCGTATACCAAGGAGACTGTAAATCACCCATCGTATATCATGGAGACTATAAATCACCCATTGTATACCATGGAGACTGTAAATCACCAATTGTATACCATGGAGACTGTAAATCACCCATTGTATACCATGGAGACTGTAAATCACCAATTGTATACCATGGAGACTGTAAATCACCAATTGTATACCACAAATATTATTTTCACTGTTTATATAATTCCACTGTACATCCTAATTACATGAATGTTGTACTAAGGTACATTAACAACATGATTAACAACATGATAGTTTTATTCTGATCTGTATCTCCATACAAATTACATATTACTACGATGTGTGCCACAATTTAACTTGTGTACCATGTGTCCGAATAGCCACATTGATATCCACCACAGGTAACCATGAAATATGCCACGAGTTACTGCAAGTAACCATAACATGAGCCACACTGTGACACCAAGTGTACCACAGGTCATCATGTGTATAATTAGTGTCATAAGGTTCTATTTGAACTGCAAGTTACCACAACATATACCAAAAGTTACCACGATATTTACCATCAGATACCAAAACATGTACCACAAGTCACTACAATCTGTGCCACAAGTGATATATGCCACAAGTTTCTACATACATACCAAAAGTTACCATACTGTGTATCTCAGTGTGTGCAACAAAGTATCAGGACGGGTACCATAAGGTACCATCAGATACATACCATATCAATACCATATCAAAACAATGTACTCAATACCAAGTACTCAATACCATGTCCTCAATACCAAGTACTCAATACCAAGTACTCGATACCAAGTACTCGATACCATGTACTCAATACCAAGTACTCAATACCACGTACTCAATACCAAGTACTCAATACCACATACTCAATACCAAGTACTCAATATCACGTACTCAATACCACGTACTCAATACCAAGTAATCAATACCATGTACTCAATACCATGTCTCAATACCATGTACTCAATACCATGTCTCAATACCATGTACTCAATACCATGTCTCAATACCACCTACTCAATACCACGTACTCAATACCACGTACTCAATACCAAGTACTCATTACCATGTCTCAATACCATGTACTCAGTACCACGTACTCAATACCAAGTACTCAATACCAAGTACTCAATACCACGTACTCAATACCACGTACTCAATACCACGTACTAAATACCAAGTACTCAATACCATGTACTCAATACCATGTACTCAATACCATATCAATACCATGTACTCAATACCATGTACTCAATACCATATCAATACCATGTACTCAATACCAAGTACTCAATACCATGTACTCAATACCATGTACTCAATACCATATCATTACCATGTACTCAATACCCTGTACTCAATACCAAGTACTCAATACCATGTACTCAATACCATATCATTACCATGTACTCAATACCATATCAATACCATGTACTCAATACCATGTACTCAATACCAAGTACTCAATACCATGTACTCAATACCATGTACTCAATACCAAGACATTTACTTTGATGGTAACACATGATACAAGTTACCATAGTACCTGATGGATAATTCAAGATCCCATGACAGGCAATAAATTATACCATGATGAGTAACACAATGTACCATGATGGTTCACACAAAATATCACAGTGGTTTACACAATGTACCATGACAGGTAACACAAGGTACCACACAAGGTACCATTACAGGTAACAGGTAACACAAGGTACCATTACAGGTAACAGGTAACACAAGGTACCATTACAGGTAACAGGTAACACAAGGTACCATTACAGGTAACACAAGGTACCATTACAGGTAACAGGTAACACAAGGTACCATGACGGGTAACACAAGGTACCATGACGGGTATCACAAGGTACCATGACGGGTTACACAAGGTACCATGACGGGTTACACAAGAAATCATGACGGGTAACACAAGGTACCATGACGGGTAACACAAGGTACCATGACGGGTTACACAAGGTACCATGATGGGTAACACAAGGTACCATGACGGGTAACACACAATATGATGGACAAGACCACAATGAGACTGACAAAGTAGCTGCCACTACTTTCATACTTCATAAACAGTTCAGAATATACATAATAAATCGCATTGCTTTCATCACTCACACAACATTTAACAACTTTCTGTCTTATCTGGAAATGTTACACATCAGTAACACCCTGTACAATATGCATCAGTGGCGTGTGGTAACACCTAAGGTACACCATTACTGTAAAACGGAGACACTCTATCACAAACAATGGGCTTAATTGTCACTTGTGTACCATTAGAGAGTGTTTCACCAAGACTCTCTGCCGGTTCAGAATTTTCAATAACTCCACTCCTTGTATGCCATCAGAGAATGTTTCATCAAGACTCTCTGCCAATTCAGAATTTTCAATAACTCTTTGTATGCCATCAGAGAATGTTTCATCAAGACTCTCTGCCAATTCAGAATTTTCAATAACTCTTTGTATGCCATCAGAAAATGTTTCATCAAGACTTTCTGCCAGTTAAGAATTTTCAATAACTCCACTCTTTGTATGCCATCAGAGAATGGTTCATCAAGACTTTCTGCAAGTTCAGAATTTTCAATAACTCCTTGTATGCCATCAGAGATGGTTCATCAAGACTTTCTCCAAGTTCAGAATTTTCAATAACTCCACTCTTTGTATGCCATCAGAGAATGGTTCATCAAGACTTTCTGCAAGTTCAGAATTTTCAATAACTCCTTGTATGCCATCAGAGAATGTTCCATCTTTTGTGTCAGCAGAGAATGTTTCAAAATAGGCTCCATCATAAACAATAATCTGTAGAAGTTTCTTTACTCAGAGAAAAGTTTTCAGCAGAACTGTTGGCATCGTATGGCTGGCAATGGTATTCAGTAACATATTGTACATTACCAGGTCACAGTTAACATTAAAATGTTGTTAACAAACCAAGATCTTCTACAGTAATCCATTGCAGGCTATCAGGGAATAGTCTTTAATAAAACTTTGTACTGATTGGAGGAGTCAGCTACAACAAAAAAAAGTACAGATATTAACAGGACCAACAACAATTATACAACTCACATTGCCCTTCATTTTTATATGCCCTACTTATAATGTTGCCATAGTTTTTTATGTGTATCTGACTCAAAATTATAGTCAAAGTTGTAAGAGCAATCCATGTGATTCATTCTAAAGAAAAAAATTCATTTAATATCTGATGACATTATACAGAGAATTAAAGCAACAGAAATCTAACGACTGAATATTACAAAGAAACCATGAAGTTTACATATCCTTAAAGTCGAAACAATTCTGAGAGTTACATTTTATGATTCCATGATCACTTCTTGCCATAGTGTAGAAAATACAACAATGAGACCTTAAAGACGTACAACAAAAGCCTAAGAATATTGAAAATTGTTCTTCAGAGTCGTACTTTCTGATATCTGCCCCTGTGGTTTAAGAATATTGAAAATTGTTCTTCAGAGTCGTACTTTCTGATATCTGCCCCTGTGGTTAAGAATATTGAAAATTGTTCTTCAGAGTCGTACTTTCTGATATCTGCCCCTGTGGTTAAGAATATTGAAAATTGTTCTTCAGAGTCGTACTTTCTGATATCTGCCCCTTTGGTTAAGAATATTGAAAATTGTTCTTCAGAGTCGTACTTTCTGATATCTGCCCCTTTGGTTAAGAATATTGAAAATTGTTCTTCAGAGTCGTACTTTCTGATATCTGCCCCTTTGGTTAAGAATATTGAAAATTGTTCTTCAGAGTCGTACTTTCTGATATCTGCCCCTGTGGTTAAGAATATTGAAAATTGTTCTTCAGAGTCGTACTTTCTGATATCTGCCCCTGTGGTTAAGAATATTGAAAATTGTTCTTCAGAGTCGTACTTTCTGATATCTGCCCCTGTGGTTAAGAATATTGAAAATTGTTCTTCAGAGTCGTACTTTCTGATATCTGCCCCTTTGGTTAAGAATATTGAAAATTGTTCTTCAGAGTCGTACTTTCTGATATCTGCCCCTTTGGTTAAGAATATTGAAAATTGTTCTTCAGAGTCGTACTTTCTGATATCTGCCCCTGTGGTTAAGAATATTGAAAATTGCTGATGTAACAGCTAAAATATCTTCAGGAAGATAACAGATATTTATGTTACCTGTATTTTATAATGACTGTCCAACAGATAATTATATTACCTGTATTTTATAATGACTGTCCATGACTGTCCAACAGAAATGACCTCTTTAAATGTTGATTAAAGTGACTGACAATATCAAAGACAGAAGTTCTCCACAATATTATAGATACGGCTTTAACCTTTGACCTCATATATGAGGTATGAAACTTACCTGTATAAGGGAGCTTCAGGCCCTCTGGATATAGACTAATAAGTGTCATGATGGATTATTTTAATACTAATAATAACTAGATGATTAAGCTGACAAAATTATATTCAGAATGATAATTAGACAATTCGTCAATAGTGAACAGATTTTTAGCAATCTTCCAAATTTTGATATCAAACATTTGTGTAAACAAATATTCAAGTATCATTTTTTCTATTCCAATACTGCTCTACCGAATGAATATTCCAATATTCCTTGACATCCCTTACTAGTTTTAATGTATATCCTGACAAAACATGTTTTCTGATATTGATTATTGTAATCAAAACTTACATTTGATGGCTTCTACGCAAAATCTTGACTGATCCACCAAATTTCCCACAACCTGTCGAAATAAAATTTCTCTGCATATAATTCCAGTTTTATCAATCAAATTCAGTTTACAAAGAAATGTATGGAGTGAAAAAGAGATGTAAGTTCACTATACACAAATTTCCTGATAATACAGATTCAGTTCCTGTCTGGTCTATCACAGATTCAGTTTATAACGAAATGCAGGATTGAGTTTGGTTGATGCAGAGTTTCTGGTTACTAAGTTTTTGATCAACTTACCTCATCTGTTACCAGGATATAGATATCTGAAGGTCCCTGACAATATAACTCTGCGATCTGTTCTGGCCCCACGCTGTATAGTGCTGCCAATTTACAGGTCAACTCGTGACTACAGAGACTCTCCATGTACAGGGCATGGTACACTGAAACATATGATATCACCAATAATCATTCATAAACAGAACACTAAAAAAACAAGTCCCTAATTATTACACCTGGCAATTAAATGTAAGTACTGCTTTATCGTCCCATGTGTAGTTTTTTTTCCCCAAAAAGAGCGGGGGGGGGGGCTTAATTGCGAATATCCCCCTATTCCTGGCAAATTGGAAAAAGTGCGAGAAGGGGCTTATTTGCGGTGAACAAAACATCAATAAATCATGGTTCACTGAACAAATGAATATGATCAATAAGTCATGGTTCACTGAACAAATGAATATGACCAATAAGTCATGGTTCACTGAACAAATGAATATGACCAATAAGTCATGGTTCACTGAACAAATGAATATCATCTATAAGTCATGGTACACTAAACAAATATCATCAATAAGTCATGGTCCACTGAACAAATATGATCAATAAGTCATGGTTCACTGAACAAATATCATCAATAAGTCATGGTACACTGAACTGTTGTTAATATAGCAATTACTGTACTTTTTGCTTTAAAATTTATATTGTGCTAAAATTTGATTGCATCAGTACATCAACAGCATATGATAGATCTTCAAATAATTGTCTTTTTCACCTAAGATTTATGAATCATTTATCACAGATCTGAACCAGTTTAACTCCTCTTAAATAAATATTGATGTGATTTTGGATTAATTTAGGATTAAGAAGGACATTTTACCTGAGTCACTTTCTTGACACACAAAGATGGTCAGTCTTGGTCGGACAGCTCTACAAAGAGAAATCATCAATATAAAGTAAATCTGAAATATCAACGAAAGCTTTCATCCTGCATTAAGCCTAGGAAATCAACACAAATACTCGGACTCAAATTCAGCAGGAAGATTTATTACAGGAAAACAATTTACGTAGCATGTGATACACACTGGTAATTTTACAGAGAACAATAGATATTGGTGGGCTTAATACCAAGGATTGGCCTTTGTATCAATGAACACAGATCAATGGTTTGGTCTTTAAAACAATAAATGAACGAAATTCATGAAGAAAATTTAGCTGATGATTGCAAAGATTCTCTTCCTACAAACTAATATGGTGTTTACATATTCATAAAACCTATTCCTTATGAGTTTGGAAAGTCAGTCAGTAGTCTGTCACCATACACAGATCTTTGTTGATTTTACAATGTACTTGTCTTACACAGATCTCTGTAGAATTTAAAACATACTTGTCTTACACAGATCTCTGTAGATTTTACAACATACTTGTCTTACACAGATCTCTGTAGAATTTACACATAACTTGTCTTACACAGATCTCTGTAGATTTTACAACGTACTTGTCTTACACAGATCTCTGTAGATTTTACAACGTACTTGTCTTACACAGATCTTTGTAGATTTTACAACGTACTTGTCTTACACAGATCTCTATAGATTTTACAACATACTTGTCTTACACAGATCTCTGTAGAATTTACACATAACTTGTCTTACACAGATCTCTGTAGATTTTACAACATACTTGTCTTACACAGATCTCTGTAGATTTTACAACATACTTGTCTTACACAGATCTCTGTAGATTTTACAACGTACTTGTCTTACACAGATCTTTGTAGAATTTATAACATACTTGTCTTACACAGATCTCTGTAGATTTTACAACGTACTTGTCTTACACAGGTCTCTGTAGAATTTACAACTTGTCTTACACAGATCTCTGTAGATTTTACAACGTACTTGTCTTACACAGAGCTCTATAGATTTTACAAGGTACTCGTCTTACACAGATCTCTGTAGATTTTACAACATACTTGTCTTACACAGATCTCTGTAGATTTTACAACGTACTTGTCTTACACAGATCTTTGTAGAATTTACAATTTGTCTTACACAGATCTCTATAGATTTTACAACATACTTGTCTTGTAGAGCATTGTTTAGCCGGATTCCATCGACAATGCCACAAATTTGAATGAGATCTTCTCGAGATAATCGTAAAATATCTGCTCCTGAAATAGACAGTTGGAAGACACATTACTACCAAGTATGAATGAGATCTGGAGATACCAGTAGTTATGAAATATCAGCCACTGGAACCTAGAGCTGTTGGCTGAAATACTGCCATAACCCTATGTGAAATCAAATTGAATAAAATACATTCAGACATTGTCACAAAAACAAACTTATCATGATTTTGAAAGAGAAGTGGCCACTGCACATTGGAAACTGGGTAGCCAGATATATCTGGTATATATACCTTACACAAGAATTCTGATATTGGTTACATCAGTACCAGTCTAGTATAGATAGGTAGCCTGAGAGATACTTTATAAAGAATTCTGGTACTTTCACACACTATATCTGGTACTGGTTATATCAGTATAAACCCAATGGAAGCACTGCCTGAGAAATACTTTTATACGAAATAAAGTACTAGATATATAATATTTAATCGATCTAGTCCAGACTGAGTAGCCAAAGATTTTTACCTGAAAAATTTTGGAATACACGACTATAGTTGAAGAATCTATTGGCTTGAAGCCAAGCAGTCACTTGATTGGCTGTGGCCTCAGCAGAGAGGGCTCCCTGAAAAAAGTATCAGTGAATGTGATGGATGCTCCCCAAAAACATCTTTATTAAAAACAATTTTCTAACAAAGGGCAATAATTCTGTATTTAAGGAGTTGTATGACTGATGTATACATCCTGTTTCATTATCCTAGTTTAACTGCAAGCAAAGTTATATTCAAGACAAAAAATATCAACAAAGGGCAATAACTCTGAAATCATGAGTTTGTGGCTCCTTACATTGGTACATCGCACATTGTGTTCATAAGATTAATGTATACACTAAGTTTCATTATCCTAGTTTTAATTCAGGCAAAATCATGCTAGAATTTTTTAACAAGGGATCTTTGTAATTAAGGGGTTGGATGCAGTCCCTGAATCTGATGCACTGCACATCCTCTTAGTATAATCGATGTATTCACCAAGATTAATTGTCTTCACTTCAATGAAAAGTTAAGTTATGCTCCAAACACCAAAGAATAAACAAAGGACAATAACTGTAATAAATGAAATACAGGTCCTCAATTTAATACACTGCATAAACTCTTAGTATGATCTATGTATACTCTAAATTCCATTATACTATTTTCGATGTAAGCAAAGATATACTCCTGACAAGAAATTTTTAACAAAGGGCAATAACTCTGTAATTGAGGTGTTGAGAGCCATGAATTTGGTACATTGCATATTGCCATGATTAACTGTAGGCAAAATTATCTGAGGATATAAGTTCAACCAATAGAAATATGTTTCTAGTTATATATCAAACAAATAACTTCTGCATGCCTTTTAAATCCATTGATGACAAATATCTGAATAAAATGACAATATGATCGCAACCATTGTTTCTTTTTCCACAAATCCTAAACATTCATAGTCTCAGCACATGTGTCATATCACTTTACCTGTAAACGCACCTACTACACCTGTACATTTTTCTGTTTATGAATGGTCACATGTTTTGTGGCAGCCAATAGAACTTTGCATAACACTGGTTTGTACTTTTAGTGGGACCTACATTCATTAATTTGTGTTTAACAGATGTCACTCAGCTGAAGTTTGTTTTTATGTTATATTAGCATAATCATCAAGTACAAGTTTTTCTCAAAAACTTTCTGAATCATATAAATTTATCAAATGAAGTTGTAGAATGAGGCTTAAAGACATAAGACAATGTTTTAAAAAAAAAAGAATGCTACACATTCTATTCATTTAAACTTTCCTAAAAAGTTTTAAATATTTGTATTTAATTGATCAATAATCAAAACAAAGCCAGGTTTTAAAAATGTGTACTTACTGGTGATAATGTCTCAATGGGGCTTTCAGACGAATTACGATTGAGAGGGATGGGAGTGAGGCCATCACCATGGTTGTCCCCAGAGTGATTTGGTGTAGATGAGGCAGAGGGCGGACCACTGGTCCGTAACGGGGAATGACCAATGACTGTGACAGCTGGGGATCTGTAAAGGTGTAAATTAAACTAAACATGGTTCAGTATACACTTCAAATTATCTGACAAAATTTAATGGCAATGTTTCCCAGAGGGCCCAAGACTCTATACTACCAGTAGACCTGTATACCGCCAACATACTTAAGACATTTCCAGTATATACTTCCAATATTCCAATGTTTTTATTTTGTGGTACAAAACATATTCCTAGCATAATCATCTGAAGAACCATAACACTACATAAGGTTTTCAATCATCAGGAAGAAAGAAAACCCATGAAAACCATAATTTGTCTCTTCCTAGAGCTTACTAAAACATTCCGATGGAACTTACCTTGTAGCACTGAGCTCTGAGAAGCTCTGAGCCAGACTTGAGAATGTGGAGGGAGACTTCACTCCTATAGTAGCTGTGCTGGCTAACACTTGTTCTAGAGGAACCTGACAATAAAGCATCACAACACTATCATTCGGTCACTGACGTAATATACATTGTTGATTTATAATACCTGTAACTCTTCCCACTCTGAACAAATCCACATGCATCGTATATGTAAATCTCATTTGAAGATAATTTTTATGTCCACTTGTTATTCCACCTTTTTAAATGTTTCTTTAAAAATCAAATTTTACCAAGGAAGAAATCTTTACATGACAATGTCTGGTAAAAGTTATGATGATCTCTACTTTTTTAATTTTAATTATTGTTTTAATTGTTTGTCATTGTAAACAAGAAGCCTAGCGGTCTTGACGGTCATCTGAGATAAGCAATACTGAATATACAGGTTAAAGAGAAAGTAGCTTTTAAGTGTCATGAAAATGAAAATTGTGACATTAATGATAGTAAGCCAGAGTTACTACGTTCATACCATCAAAACTGTCATTTTTTACTAATAGTTCTTACAAAGTTATTTCTGATGGGAAATAAATGGCATGCACAAAAATGCAATTTTTCTAAAAAAAATTAGAATTAAGTTAAAATCCTCTCCAGGAAGATAAGTGAATTTGACCCCTTTAGGCCCCACCCATCAGCTCCAGTCCTGGAGGTCAGTCAGGATCAATATGTACATACCGTCAAGTCATTATCCATCGCTCAAAGATTGCTCATAATTCTAACCAGATTTAAAATATTTCCAATGGAAATTTAACAAATCATGGTCATAAATATATTTTTCTTGTATAAACTATCGCAGAATTTACCCCTCCAAATGGGGAAATCAAAGCTCAATCCATTCTAGTTAACTGGTATATGTTTCAGGTAGATACCTTATACAGTGTTGTGTAAACATTGGTAACTAAAGACCAAGCATCTCCATATCATGTTACTATAGTAGATTTCCTCAAATAGTCTTATACCAAGTACACTACTCACCTCAGTCAATACTGTACATTCATAGGACGGCTGAAATTTCTCCTGGAAAACACAACCAAAATGAAATTCAAATTTATTGTCATAAAATAATTGTATGACATTGTCATTTTAAAATACTTTTTAAATACACATATGACAAACTTAGAGTGATTTGGTGGTAGAACTCCACTGGACTCACTTTTTCTGTTTCTGACATTTTTTCCATCTTCTCTCTATCCCTCTTGTGCTTTCTGTCTGCTCCTTTGGGCTGTAAATGAAGAAATGTGGTGTTAATTGGTTTTATAGAATAAGACTTTATCTAACTCATTTTTTCTTCAAGATATGTATACAATATTTTGTAGGTAAGACAGTCTTGTTTTACTCACCAACAATCATGAAAGATTTTGATATTTATTTTCCACTATGTCAAAATGCAATGAAAATTACATGACAAGAAAAGAGATGGTACATTTACTGTTGTACAGTAAAACTTGGATAAGTAAAAGTTGACAAGACCTTATCAAATATTTGACTTATTTGATGGACTGACTTAACTTTGTTTCTATAACATTATGCAATGATGATTGGCCCTATTTAACTGATTAATTACAACCACTTCATTGAGATATTAACTCACTTTGAATGCCACATCTAATAGACTACATTGTAATTGTCTCATTATCTAATTACAAAAGTTAAGATGATTAATTAAAGAAACTGATCACAATTAAATTCATGATCGACAATATTGTCACTCTCTTAAATGATACACTTAAGTAAACAGTCCTAATGTGCGACAAGAAAAGTGTTACAAAGACTCATCAGCATCTATCACAAAGTTTTGCAAAGAATGAAAAAAACTTGCAGTGTGTATCTATTTATCTAATAAATGTATCATAATGTGTTAATGACAAACTTACACTTTTAGTAATCTGCATCGACACGGTATTAGTGCTTATTTTTTCCGGCACTTATGCACATATTTCATCAATTTCATCTATTCATCCATTTTTTACTTACTAAGAGCAAAAATCTAGATTGAACAAAACATTCAACTCATCTGATGTACAGGCGTGTTCCACACAAGTGAGTTTTAACGTATCTACTCTATCACACAATGTACAGGTGTGTCCCACACAAGTGAGTTTTAACGTATCTACTCTATCACACAATGTACAGGCGTGTTCCACACAAGTGAGTTTTAACGTATCTACTCTATCACACAATGTACAGATGTGTTCCACACAAATGAGTTTTAATGTATCTACTCTATCACCCAATGTACAGGCGTGTTCCACACAAGTGAGTTTTAATGTATCTACTCTATCACACAATGTACAGGCGTGTTCCACACAAGTGAGTTTTAACGTATCTACTCCATCACCCATTGTACAGGCATGTTCCACACAAGTGAGTTTTAACATATCTAATCTATCCCCCATTGTACAGACCTGTTCCACACAAGTTAGTTTTAACGTATCTACTCCATCACCCATTGTACAGGCATGTTCCACACAAGTGAATTTTAACATATCTAATCTATCCCCCATTGTACAGACGTGTTCCACACAAGTGAGTTTTAATGTATCTACTCCATCACCCATTGTACAGGCATGTTCCACACAAGTGAGTTTTAATGTATCTACTCCATCACCCATTGTACAGACGTGTTCCACACAAGTGAATTTTAATGTATCTGCTCTAGGATAATTTTACAATAGAACACTAGACATTTAGAAAGAGGATAACCATTGTTTAATTGTTACCTTGAATACTTTGACCTGACATGAGGCGCAGTGTAACAATTTATTGTCATCCCCCTTGGCATAAGTTTCCACCTGGACTCTGAAAGGCACACCCTTCTCACCGCCGTGTTTCTTGGCTGTGAACTCTGTACTGATACAGTTGACTCTGATATAAACCCCTGCTTCCTTGGTGGGGTCCCACACCACTTCTGCTCCATTCAATCGAGCAGTGTTCTGGGTGGTGAGACCCCCAGGTGGATGTCCAGCCTCCATACTATCCAGATTCACCTCCATTAAACCATAGGACAGTGGAATATCTATATAAAACAAATCAGGTATCAAGCATTAGATATGTAACCATATTTACCTTGATTTGAGCCCAAGGTACAAATACACCACCTCTGTCTCATGGTCAGGGTTGAATATACCACTTCTGACTCAACATTAGGAAGATAAATAATCTCTGACTCAAGGTCAGAGGTAAATACATTATTTCTGACTGAAGGTCAAGGTAAAAAATCACCCCCGACCCAGGTCAGGGGTAAAACATCACCTCTGACTCAAGATCAGGGTTAAATACAACACCTCAAAGGTAGTGATGTCAGGCGTCAAGGGTAAGGCCTCTTTTGAACAGATATAGGCTTATCACTACTGATAATTATCATAAAACATGGTGCATTAATGACTACATCAAAATAACATTTTCATTTAAGTGTCAAACTTGGTTTAACAAAGATAACAATCTTTACTAGGTGAAATCAAAGATGGCTGTTTATTTTGGCCATTTCGTTCTCTGATCAGTCCCAAACTCAAACAGGCACAACTAGGGACCAAGAGGAACCTATACATGACATTTGAGAAAGATCTATACAGTATTTCTTATGAAATAGGAATAACAACATTCAAAGCCAAAATGTAAGAAGGCCATCTGTCGGCCATTTTTTTTTTTTTTTATTAGACTCAAAATCAAAGTCAGCCATTTTGTTTTTTGATCGGACTCAAAATCAAAGTCAGCCATTTTGTTTTTTGATCGGACTCAAAATCAAAGTCAGCCATTTTGTTTTTTGATCAGACTCAAAATCAAAGTCAGCCATTTTGTTTTTTGATCGGACTCAAAATCAAAGTGGCACAACTAGGGACCAAGAGGAACCTATACATGAGAAAGATCCATCCTGTGCTTCTCAAGAAATAACGATAACAAAAATTGTTTACGGACGGACAGATGATGAACCCTGGACACCTGATCTGATGATGGTGGACTAATAATCAGATATCAGATACAGAACATTCTAGGGAACTAGACACTTCATACAAGTCACAATTAAATTCACAGCTAATCCTCCAGTTAAATTTTTTTTCCAAAGTGTTGTGGCATTGATCTGTCAACATCTGACTACAAATTAACAATACCATGATTGATTACATTTATGCCTGTAAAATGTGAAAAAAATAAACTTACATCATCACTTCAGTGTAGTGAGTATTATATTACATATTACCTATATCCATGATTCTCTCTCCCGGTCGAATCTGTTTCCACGACTCCAACTGTTCCTTCTCCATATACTGTAGCCGTCGCTCGTGGAAGCATACTTTAACCACACTCTACAAATAAAATTGATCCCTATCAGTAAAGCACCAGGTATTCCTAATTTTAATTTTTAATTTTATCTTTAATCTATTTCAATCGATTAGCATTTTATCATAACAAATATCACACCTATAAGTGAACAGAGACAAGTGTCTGACACACTATGTAAATCTACCATCCAAGAAATGTATTTCTTACAGCGGTAAAATACAGTAATATATAGGTTGTAATCTATTCACCATTATACGAGATAATTTATCATGCTGATGTTAAAATCACTACTCACCCTGCTTTTAAGGTCAAAACTCAATCTGACCTTGAGGTCAATTCTCACACTGACCTTGAAGCCACAACTAAACCTAGCCTTGAGGTCATTATTCACACTGACCTTGAAGTCACTATTCACTCTGACCTTGTAAACTACTAACCCTGACCTCAAGGTGTCATGGTCACACATATATTTTCATAGTTCTACATTGTCAAATATGTTTTTGTTGTTTTGTAAATATTTTGAATGAATTACCAAGATGGAATTCTCATCCGTTTACGGTTTAGTCTTAGGATAGACAGATTAGCGACAGGTAGCCATACCATACCATATGACACCATAGAGAAGCAAGCACAAACTACAGATTATGGTGAGTCACACATATGAAATATTGTTTGGGCGGAGATAACCATGTATCTAGATTTTGCCAATGTTTCAGTATTGTACTTATCTTTATGAACATACATGTATCTACATGTCTCATTGTACCTGAAATGCTGTATGATCCTGACTGTGTGACCACTGTATAGATATGTATCCGATATGTCATATGATCTTGACTGTGTTCTGTATGACCTCAGTATGGACATGTACCAGATATGTCATATGATCTTGACTGTGTTCTGTATGACCTCAGTATGGACATGTACCAGATATGTCATATGATCTTGACTGTGTTCTGTATGACCTCAGTATGGACATGTACCAGATATGTCATATGATCTTGACTGTGTTCTGTATGACCTCAGTATGGACATGTACCCAAAATGCTGTATGATCCTGACTGTGTGACCTCAGTATGGACATGTACCAGATATGTCATATGATCTTGACTGTGTTCTGTATGACCTCAGTATGGACATGTACCAGATATGTCATATGATCTTGACTGTGTTCTGTATGACCTCAGTATGGACATGTACCAGATATGTCATATGATCTTGACTGTGTTCTGTATGACCTCAGTATGGACATGTACCCAAAATGCTGAATGATCCTGACTGTGAGACCACGGTATGGACATGTACCAGATATGTCATATGATCTTGACTGTGTTCTGTATGACCTCAGTATGGACATGTACCAGATATGTCATATGATCTTGACTGTGTTCTGTATGACCTCAGTATGGACATGTACCAGATATGTCATATGATCTTGACTGTGTTCTGTATGACCTCAGTATGGACATGTACCCAAAATGCTGTATGATCCTGACTGTGTGACCTCAGTATGGACATGTACCAGATATGTCATATGATCTTGACTGTGTTCTGTATGACCTCAGTATGGACATGTACCAGATATGTCATATGATCTTGACTGTGTTCTGTATGACCTCAGTATGGACATGTACCAGATATGTCATATGATCTTGACTGTGTTCTGTATGACCTCAGTATGGATATGTACCAGATATGTCATATGATCTTGACTGTGTTCTGTATGACCTCAGTATGGACATGTACCCAAAATGCTGTATGATCCTGACTGTGTGACCACTGTATAGATATGTATCCGATATGTCATATGATCTTGACTGTGTTCTGTATGACCTCAGTATGGACATGTACCAGATATGTCATATGATCTTGACTGTGTTCTGTATGACCTCAGTATGGACATGTACCAGATATGTCATATGATCTTGACTGTGTTCTGTATGACCTCAGTATGGACATGTACCAGATATGTCATATGATCTTGACTGTGTTCTGTATGACCTCAGTATGGACATGTACCCAAAATGCTGTATGATCCTGACTGTGTGACCACTGTATAGATATGTATCCGATATGTCATATGATCCTGACTGTGTGACCACGGTATGGACATGTACCCAAAATGCTGTGTGATCCTGACTGTGTTCTGTGGGACCACTGTATGGACATGTACCAGATATGTCATATGATCTTGACTGTGTTCTGTATGACCTCAGTATGGACATGTACCCAAAATGCTGTGTGATCCTGACTGTGTGGACATCTTTGGGTCGTGCTGCTAGTGTAAGCAATTCTTATTTAGGATTCAGTGATCCAGTACCAGCCTCATGAAAGGAAGTTTGACCGGGGATTTCTGATGCTTCATTGTACTCAGTGTCTATTCACCGAGTGTCTATTCACCGGAAGTGGCTGTATAATTAGCGTACTATTTTAAAATGAATGAATGTCCGTTAGATGCGCGTATTTCATATATAGTTGCAAAATACTAAAAATATGTGTACATAGAATAAACATAGTATATATTGTACATTGGACTTTGTGTCATTCTACACCACAGTTGCATTGTCAAGCTTGTCTATGGTTACACAAGGTCACTACTAACTCTTACCTTGAACTCCTTACTAAACCTGACCTTTAGATAACTTTATTAACCCTAACCTTGAGGTCACTCCTCACACTGACCTGGTTCACTACTAACACTGACCTTGAGGTCCCTCCTCACACTGACCTACTATGCCACTAATTCTCTACTCACACTGACTTTGAATTCCCTACTCAGCTCATCTAGAGGTCACCATTAATTCTCTACTCACACTGACCTTGATGTCCCTACTAACACTAGCTGTGAGATCAATACTCAAACTGACCTTAAAGTCATTTTTCACTCTGACCTTGAATTTAGTGCTCCAATTTGCATTTCAGTAACCACTCACCCAGACCTTGAGGTCCCTCACTTTGACCTTGAGATCACAACTAACTTTGGCATTGAATTCATTACTCACCCTGAGACATTTTCCCTGCATGTCTGACAAGTCACCAAGCTTCTTCAGTTTAATCTCGTATGACTGACCTGTAAAACAAAAACGGTCCAAAACAGAGCAATACAGACACAAGCAACTTGCTATTATCTATCTGTTACTTATATATGCTATCATGATCTAGGTTAATTACTGTTTTGCAGATAATCTTGGCAAAAATAAAATTCAATGATCTTGCTCCAAAATTTGCTAGCATTTACATAATTAAAATTAGAAATTTCTCATAAGCTCAAATCTTGATCCAAATATCTTTCTGAATATTTCAAAGCTTAAATCATCAATAACATCAACTCATCTGCCTTTTTTCTATTAACAATCTTTTTCTCTCTTTCTTTAAAAAAAATTACAGGTTGTATTAAGATATACATCATTCAATCTCCATGTCACACTTAGTGATTTATTTAGCAGGCTTTACCTCCACTATTGCTGCCTTTCAGCTTTTCAGCAGACAAGTCATAATAAGGATACATACATTCTTACGGCTCCATGTCACAAAAACGAAGCATACATCCTTAAGTTTACATGTCACAATAACATAGCAGACATCCTTAAATTTACTTGTCACAACAACATAGCATACATCCTTAAGTCTCCATGTCACAGTGATGTAACATACATCCTTAAGTCTCCATGTCACAGTGATGTAGCATACATCCTTAAGTCTCCATGTCACAGTAAGGTAGCATACATCCTTAAGTCTCCATGTCACAGTGATGTAACATACATCCTTAAGTCTCCATGTCACAGTGATGTAACATACATCCTTAAGTCTCCATGTCACAGTAAGGTAGCATACATCCTTAAGTCTCCATGTCACAGTGATGTAACATACATCCTTAAGTCTCCATGTCACAGTGATGTAACATACATCCTTAAGTCTCCATGTCACAGTAAGGTAGCATACATCCTTAAGTCTCCATGTCACAGTGATGTAACATACATCCTTAAGTCTCCATGTCACAGTGATGTAACATACATCCTTAAGTCTCCATGTCACAGTAAGGTAGCATACATCCTTAAGTCTCCATGTCACAGTGATGTAACATACATCCTTAAGTTGCTATGTCACAGTGATGTAACATACATCCTTAAGTCTCCATGTCACAGTGATGTAACATACATCCTTAAGTCTCCATGTCACAGTGATGTAACATACATCCTTAAGTTGCTAATTCACAGTAATGTAACATACATCCTTAAGTTGCCATGTCACAGTGATGTAACATACATCCTTAAGTTGCTAATTCACAGTAATGTAACATACATCCTTAAGTTGCCATGTCACAGTGATGTAACATACATCCTTAAGTTGCTAATTCACAGTAATGTAACATACATCCTTAAGTTGCCATGTCACAGTGATGTAACATACATCCTTAAGTTGCTAATTCACAGTAATGTAACATACATCCTTAAGTTGCCATGTCACAGTGATGTAACATACATCCTTAAGTTGCTAATTCACAGTAATGAAGCATACCCAGGTAGATACTTCTTCAGTCTCCAGGGGAATGTGTAACCTTGAGCATAATCTTTATAGATTTGTGCTTTATAATTAAAATTCATTAACTCTGTAAAACTATGAAGTGGTAACTCCACTAAGCATTAAAAAATGTATTGAGTGAGTACAAAGAAATGGTGTTATTTAACTCAGAAAGACTTACCCTGATTAAGATAAGTGAGAGTTTCTTCATTAATTTTAACAGCTGGAGACGTTGCTGCTCCTAAGATGTACTGAAATCTGGAAATACACACAGAATGATTTTCTTACTACACTTTCTTGATCTATGGCAAACAAAATGCATCATTACATATATTAGAGATTAGTCTGTCTACTTCTATTTAACAGAAACTTTTAATTCCAGATCACCCACGTATCACATCTAGCTTATAAATTTTGATAAAGTTACCATCAAAATGTTAGTGGATACAGAGGATGGCATTTTGACACAATAATGGAATGATAAGACCTAGTATGTTAAGAGTCTGAATAAAGGAGATATCTTCAACACGAGTTTTCTGCTGTGATGAACTGAAGTAAGAAGAGATTGACTGAAGGGTACAAAGAAACAATTATATACTAATTTCACTCATTAATGATTTCAAGACATACTTCTTGGAATTTGACAAAGATTTCCAGATATCAACACAATGAAGGACTTTTATCTGGCAGTTTACTGTTAAGAAATTACAGTACTTAATAATATGTTAAACACACACTTTCAAAACTGATAAACAACAATAAAGAGTCATGATACAAATGATGATGATTAAGAACATGACAAATTCCCGTATTTGATAGGGAAGTATCAAATTGTAAAAATCATAATTACCCATTATCTAAATTTTCCTGCTTGAAAACCGGTAGAGCCAGCAGTGCCTCACTGAAAAGTCGACATTGTCAGAGAATCATTGTTGTTATATCATTACAAGATCATTGTAAAGCATTTATTTGGGTTTCTTTTGTAACAACAATAGGTGTTGATGGACTTATAATCAGGCATGGGCTTATCAATCATTAAATAAGTGTTTATATAATATCAGTTTTTATGTTGCTGACTGTCCTGACTATACAACAATTGAGTACATCTTGACCAAATTAGATGATCTAACCACATGTGGACATTGCAGAATGTTTACATGCCAAAATAAACACTATTAATTCCCTATTCAAATTGTCTGCCTGTACATTAGTCACCATTTTGTTGACACTTGCATTTTAATCTCTATTGAAAATACTAGATTTTTATCGATAAGGAACAAGCTGCATAGCAGATTATTTATAGATAAGTTGCTAATGTATAATGGAGTAAACAGTTAATACTTTCATGGTGCCCTAATTGTATAGTTTTAACCAAGGAACCTTGAAAACACCAGATACTTATCGACTATCTTTTTCTTGAGTAGCAAGTATGTGTGTGGATTCTTTATGGGCTAACTGTTCATGTAATGTGGAGCAAACAAGCAATAAAATCATGGTGCCATAGCTGTATAGTTCTATATCTTGTCAAAAATGTAAACTAACTGATAGTATGATGAAAGTTACAGAATCTAATTCATCTGAACGTAGTTTCCAACTGACATCACCAGAAGTTGTATTTAGCAATAAATACCAGTGGAAAAAAGAAACGTAAGTTTGGTTTTTGTAATATAACCTTTAGACACATAGACAAAATTTAATTAAATTTGACACTGAGCTTCCTCTGTTCACCATGAATATGTTTATCAGTTAAAATTCAACTGACTGTGACCCTGCACGATGCAGCATGCTTTCAGCAGATTTTTCAAGAAAGGGTATACCTGCACCAAATATGTTGGTAAATCATTACAAATTGAACATTAGAACAGTACAAATCAGCTACACAAAATTTCTTCTCAAAGCACTTGTAGAGCGTAATACAGCCATTGAGTGAAGTTGATAGGGGCAGGGCCATTACTCTGGTAATGCAGGGACATTTGTAATGCCATATAGCCCATCAATTTGGTGTACGAGACAACAATATCCTGTTTAGTTGGGCGCCTCAGAGCCAAAGGGAAATTTGGTGACCTTCCCAAGAGTAGTGCCCATGCATAACATCGCTATGTAAAGATAGAGTGATATATCTCTCGCACCTCTGTAAGTGATTCAAGACAGCGACGGAGATTACACACCAAGTTGTCGGCACTCATGGTTGGCCAGTGTATCCATGATCAATTTGGAATTAGTTGCAGGATTTTTCATTTCATGGAGATGTGTGTTATTCACTGACCAGTCTTGCATCATCCTTTACAGGTCAGATGAACGACAACATATCTATTGATGTCATGGTGAGCAATATTCTGACGCCTGTGTGATTGATAGGGACAGACTCTGGAAGGGTCTGTTGTGGTATGAGCATGAATATCTCAAGGCGTGACGATAACTCTCATGATTATCCACGGCAATCTCACAGTAGCTACATTATCCAGATCAGGTCTTGAGACCACACATCCTTCCTCTTATCCATCAACAATGCAGCAGAACAACACAGGGCCCAATGATGCTATGGTTTGTCATGACTTTCTGGTTCAAAACAATGTCCTAGTCCTTGATTGACCACCATACCAATTAAGCATTTTTGGGATGAGCTGGACAGGAGGGTTAAAAAGTGCATCAACGTCCTATATTATGGCACTCAACTCACGCAAGCCCTTATTCAGGAATTGAATAAAATCCATCAAAGGACAATAAACACCTTGATAGGGTCAATATTAAGGAGAGTAAGACCAGCAACTAAAGCCAGGGGTGGGTACACACACTACTGATTTGGATCAGGAACCGGTGTAGGGTATCCTTGTTTTAATGCTATTCACACAAATGCTGTCTGTGATAGGACAACAAACATCATTAAAATGTATTCAGTAATAACGAAATAATTGAGAAACTCCAACAATGAACTAATCACCAACGAATCATGTAAAATAATAATTATCGAAAATAAACTTGCATTTCTGTTTTCTGCCAGTATATATATATCAATATTTTATATTTGTATCCTAATATTACTTTGAAGATCTTTTATTCAAAAATGCAGATTTCATGCATTAAACATTGAAGTAACAATAATAATTTGATATTCTTATATACCACTTTATCACAGCAGTAAAGCTGTTTCAAAGCGGTTCACAAATTATCACCCACGGTTGTTGCTACTAGCCATAATTTTTCTCTATTCAGTGAATACCATACTGGCAAAGCTGCCATTCAGTACTTGCACCATGTAAACAGCAGTCCGAGCACTGCACAACCCTTACTGATCTTCAACTGAGTTGAATGGATGAGAGTGAAGTACCTTGTCCAAGAATACCATATTGCATCTGTGCCAGGAGTCAAACACTTGGATCACCAGTCTAAGATCCTATCACTAGACCATTGTGCCTCATATATGGGCTTACTGCTTGATAAATATTGTATTCTTGATTTCCTGTTGTAGTGAACAAGTGTCTAAAGGGGTATTCCCTTCCCAGTGGTTTATTACACGAGACAAGATTTTGAGTACTCCCTTCCTAGCTGTATAACATATTAAAGGACGAGACATTTTCCTGTGTAATACAAAAATATGGTACATGGTCCTTTATGGAAACAAAACAAAGCAAATTTAGAAGAAAACAGTAGTTTTTCCTTTCTAATTCATTTAAACTGAAAAACAATCCATGTTTGCAAAAAAAAAAAAAAAAAATGCTGTCAAGCACCCCAACTGGACTGGTAATGAAAAATGACACAAGTTAACTACACAAGTGTACCTCATATTGTATGTCCCTGTACCAAGCTCTGTGCCTAGACCTGAGAGGGAGCCATCAAAGTCAGCAGCCAAAGAGTCATTGATGTCCCAGCTTGTTATTGGGTGAGACATCTTTGTTCGCTTACCACCTTGGGTACCAAGGCTGTCTCGTTCTACTGTTGTCCAGCTGAAAGACATTTGGTCAATGTTGGCCGAGAAACAGCTACTGAAATATATGGAAAAAGACAATATCAGCTAAGGTATCAAAAACCTTTCCATTGAAAGGACTTGTTCAGGCTTTATCATCCATCAGTTCTTAAAAATTAGACAACACATTACCAAATAGTGTATGAGATATAGCAGAAGTGAACTGTAAATCATTTAATTATAATAATTCCAATCATGATGATAACTTACAAATGGGTTTTTATGTAATTTGGTTAAATACTTTTTCAGATTTTGAGATATGAAAAAGTAATACAGACACATGGATTATTGATTACCAGCATTTTTAAGCATGAATACAATCAACTACAAATCTATCAACCTTCTCAGTGTTCACTGATTATAAGACTGATAATAATATTGATACAGAAATTGCAGATACTTAATGCTGTATTAAACATCTGAATATCTATTTCTGTTGTCTTACCTTTCTATGTTCAGTAAACAGCTCTCTTTCTCTTTGTAATTCTTTGTACCTGTCAATTTGTACATTCAAATAAAGAACATGAGAGAATGAGTTATCATATCTTCATTTCTTTGATCAAAATAAACACAACTGTATGGGAAAATAAAGGTTTGTTTTTCACTCTGTTTAGAATGGTATGTTACTAATTTTTAGTAGGTATTTACTGGATCAACATCTAAAGAATGAATTTTTTTTTATGTAACACCTAATAACACCAACAACTATTTGCAACCAACTATAAGATGACCTGTTCTTCTTATCACTCATTACCACTACAAGAACATGCAATGATAACATTTACCTTGTCTAATTCATCTTCCATTGCAGTGAATATTCTCCTTAAACTGATCTGAAAGTAAATTTTTGAAATCATGAAAATCCAATTGACATGCACATAACAGTTGCAAAATGTTTCTTAAAGCAAGTTCATGTTGGAATGAATTATTATTTTTTTGAAAAAAAGGTTGTACGTGAAACGCTAAGTTATCTCCCTTGACTGATAAAATGGAATTTCACATTATGTTGAGCCCAAATTAAAACATTTTTATGTAATCCTATGCGATGAAATTATCACTACAAATGAATTGGAAATTTAAATTAAATTCAGGAATTAAATCATGTAGCTAATGAAATACTTATTTCGTAGTTAAAAAGCCTGTATGCATGTATTCTTTATTGAATTATCTCCCCATCGAATCGAGATCAACAAGTCAACAACACTGTAGTTACAAATTTTATGAAATAACAACATGTATAAAAGTAATATCAGTTACATTACAAGATTAATTTCAAACCAACGTATTAAAAAATGCCATGACTCTGATAGGAGAAATCGATTAGATAACTATAGTATTCGAGGCGAGGCCATGCCATCAGTGCTAACTCTCAGATGTTCGGCCTTGGCCGAATCGGAACATGGCAAAACAAACACTGATCGAGTTGGCATGAATGCATACCAACACATATATGTTCATTTCATACTTATTTGATATACGGTAATTAGTTGACAATATTTTGAACAGAAAGACAACAATATTGCATATATTCTTAACAAAAATTCTTACCTAAAAATACGAAGCTGTTTTGTTACCGGAAACCAGTTCGCTTCTTTTACGACACTTCAATTTCAACCACAAGACGTCGCATGCAGTCCTTTTTAAATATAGACATTGCATATAAATCTCCTAAACCATTAAATTATATCTGCGACTGTTCCATCTCTCTTGCAACTCCCTTATTTCTTCAAGATAACATCAGTTTAGAAATATTTGTCTGAAAATGTTTCCGACACGATAAATTGAACGGAAATAGTAAATGGAAAATAACGATAGGAGCCAAATTATGTTTTGATCCGTATGACTACGGTGTTAGTGGACTAAGCACATTCATTAATCAGTCTTTAACAGAAACTCTGAAATAAAATAAAACGTCACAGAGTTAACAATTTTGAAAAATTGTTTTCATGTACAAAATTATACGTAAGTAAGTGATGATAAAAAATGGTAAGAACATGGATGCAGTTCGAACCCGATAGACGGAAAGTCATATGCTTGGCCATTTAATAGATTATCTCATTACCAGAAATGATATATTTTTTAATGTGTATATATCATTTTCTTGATGAGACCCGCGATTCCTTGGGCTTGGTATAGGCAAACACGATATGTTATACATTCTTTTATAATATTGATAAGACTACGTAAAATAAACATTTACAAAAATAGGGTTATGTTTTACAAAACTGATTTCATGCAGTTTTTGCAGGGGTCGAATCTAATATGTGAATAAAACATAAACAAATGGACATGTCGGATGACGTCATACAAAAACCAAAACATTGGCAGTGCGAATCACAGCCATTTGTTACGGTGGTTTTCATTGGATGATGACAGGATGTCAACAAATAGATTGACGGGATTGCATTTCCGTTGATTTGATGGTGTTATTCATTTGGCGATTGATAACTTTTCCATTCATGAAAATCACCGTAAAATGAAAGATATGCACCACTTCCTCTTTGTAAATGTCTTTGTACGTTATCGCTAATTTAGCATACCTGTCAAGGGCAAGAAATTACGTCACAAAGATTGACCAATCAGGTTTAGTTTTGCTGAGCTAGTAGGAATGGCCATTCGTGTTATTATTTTTCTTTTGTTCAATGAATTGATTCTGAGTGAAAAAATGACGACATTCGACTTCTAGATGCATTATCAGTATGAATCACTACAACAATTTCAACCACCACAATCATAGCAGGACAGAGGTGAGTTTAGGATATGAAAATCAGTCGTAATGTTGGAACATAGGCGAGAAACCCGTATTGTTATGTTTCTTCCTCTCGGACTGTCATCTCTCAGCTGATCGGATGTAGGCATTTTGACAGGAAGATGCTCGAAGTGAGATCAGCTCACAACCTCGTGTCTCTTTTGACATATCAAAAGAAACAGATCTAGAGTTATATGTTTGGTACTGCTGTTTTGCCATACGTGTAGTACATCGTGATTAAAATATCTTGCTCCTGGTACTGTAGGAATCTTTATTGTGTACTGGGCACATGGCATCGTACACAAAGGAGAAAATTAGTGCGATTATACCGAGGTCGAGACTTAATATTTGTGGAGGATTAGTGGCTGATATTTAACTTATATAGAACTAAATAAGTTTACATTTAATGCTTGACATCAATTTTGCGGAATGGTCAATTATTACTAATGACTGAGAATTGATTAATCAATGGAGCAATAGTGTTCACATACAGAGGTTGATATGAGAAAGATGCCTTATAAAGTTGGACATTATTCATAAGTGAGAATATACTGGATACCATCCTTGAAGTAACTGTGGTGATTCATACTAGGTTGTTATATAAATTGCATAATTGACTTACTGTTAAGGGCTTTCAGATTTGTCATTTACTTGGATGGCCATGCTCTCCACTTATTAACACAGATCTAAAAGGCTGAAATCTTTGAAAAAGCTAGAATAACTTTGTTTAAAAGTCCATAGGTAGGCACAGATTTGGTTTTTCATTTCAATAATCCGGGCATGAACACAAAAAACACATTTGATAATTTGATAAATTACCTCTGCCAACTTTTAGCAAACCTCTGATGGTAAAAAGAAGGAATCTTTCAAAAGATTGGTGTCATTTTGAGAGCAAAGATATTTCAACTTTATTCTTGCTTGATTTTAATTAGTGTTGTGCTGATGATCGATTATATTTAAATATTAATAGAAGTTCATATAACATAAAAAAAAGTTGGACGCCTACTTTTTCTGCGGGACTTGCATAAATTTTGAAACCCTACTACCTCTTTGTATTGGGATTCATGAAAATTTACGAATTCATGTTCAGGACTTGCTTTATAAAAAATTTTAAAAGCATAATGAAGGTTTTAGATGTAGTTGCTTTGAGTTATCCCTAAGACGACTCCCTTAAGTCCAAATGATCTTGTGCTATTGTTCTGTCTGTTCCATCAGACTTGTCACCATAACTTCATTTATGTCATCAGAGACATAATCTCCTTCAACATACACGTCACAATATCCTGCAGTAAGCAAAGGGGGACATCACATTATTTCTCAATAAATGGGAAGTGCCATTATTAACTAATTTAGTTCAGTTGATTAATTACAGTAGTATACATAGGTGGCTGTATTATCAGACATTGTCTTATCATTAGATAAAAACTATTGTTTTGTTTAATCTGCCCTGGTATTTTACATTATCATCAGTTCATCTCAGCTACATGATTACATTGTTATTGAACAAAACATGATCTAATCTGATAAGACTGGATTCACAACAAATTAGCAAAAGGGAAACACAGACCTAGCTTCAGTTACAGCAGTGGTTTTTTGGCGGTATGCACTTGTACTTGAGTTCAAGAATCTAGACATTTCTCGTAGACTTTTCTCTGATCTACATCACACAAAATTTCCTAGTAATTGTCTCCTCAAAATTATAAGGAAAAAAGTGTTTAGGTATCACAGAATCAAAATAAATAAAACCATATAAAAATCACTTAACATAATCATAGCAGATAGATGATGTGTTCACAAACATTATTGAACAACTGATGAGTGACACAATCTGTGTGGATTTTTTGTACTTATTGACCTTTATTGTGTTTACATGCTGATATATATATACCTTTTTACTGGTGTTTATCTATTTACAGTCCATACCCGTGACACCTGTAGGAATCGCAGATGATGATGCTACTATAAATAAAAAGCTGCCAAAAGAGTTATTATTAAGGTATCAAATAATTTGGTCACAATAATTGATATGTATGAACAGTTATGATATGTAACAGTACTGCTGTGGTAGTAAGATATGCCAGTGAATGATGTGAGAGATAAAATAGTCAAAAAATTATGAAGTGAGGTCTGAGGATGCAATGCTTTTATAAAAACTAAGCGGGGTTGTCAGGGGTGAGGAATACTGAAATGAAGAATCTGTACGATATTCAGAAAGTAGGGTCATCTATTCAAATAAGGATTAAGGGTGTATGGTAGGCCATTCTTCTTTACATCTAGGTTTTTAGGGTGAGACTGCTTTCTTGGGTTTTAAGGACATAGGAGGAACTGCTTTTGACCCGATTCTCCTATATATGTGGGCTTTTAGGATGTTTTTGAGTTTTCTTTCTTTTTTAGTGTTTGAGATCTAAGTTAAGAGAAGGCCCTTCTCCTGGCTACATATAGGTTTCTAGAGAAGGGCCATTTCTCCTATACATGCATAAGTTTTAAGGGAAAAGAAGAAGCTCTATTTTTAGATAATTCTCCTATGCATGTGGTATTTTTGGATAAAGTAGGCTGGGGAGAGTTGTGTTTCTTTCAATGTGTTTGATATTGGCTCTTTTCCTGACTAAGCATGGGTTTTAAGGGAAGGGACATCTCCTATAAATGCAGGCCTAGGTTTAGGAGCTAAAACGAAGTGTCGTCCTGCTCAGTGGTGTTAGAGCATGCCTTAGGGCAGGATATGGAATTAGTATTTAATTAGATGTATTTATATCCTAAGAAGTAGCAGGCAGAGCATCAAGAGGATGATGGGGGACAGGTATGGTAGTGTTCATGTTTTCTTCTTATTTTCTAAACTTTCTTTTTGCCTTATTATATGTTAAGTGTTTTAAAATATGTACTTTCATTTTCTTTCAAACAAAGATAGAGATTAATAAATTGTTTTCATCTTTCAGGATATTTTCATTTCTAGATGTCGTCTCATTATGTCGATGTGCCCAAGTAGCAAGGGTAAGTCGGTGACAAATTTTATCAGAATCTTCAACCTGCTGTCCTGTAATGCAGGAAAAGTATTTAGCTCTAACAGTGACTTTAATGCAGGAAAAGTATTTAGCTCTAACAGTGACTTTAATGCAGGAAAAGTATTTAGTCCTAACTGTGATTTTAATGCAGGAAAAGTATTTAGTCCTAACTGTGATTTTAATGCAGGAAAAGTATTTAGTCCTAACTGTGATTTTAATGCAGGAAAAGTATTTAGTCCTAACTGTGATTTTAATGCAGGAAAAGTATTTAGTCCTAACTGTGATTTTAATGCAGGAAAAGTATTTAGCTCTAACAGTTTTAATGCAGGAAAAGTATTTAGCTCTAACAGTGACTTTAATGCAGGAAAAGTATTTGACTTTAATGCAGGAAAAGTATTTAGCTCTAACAGTGACTTTAATGCAGGAAAAGTATTTAGCTCTAACAGTGACTTTAATGCAGGAAAAGTATTTAGCTCTAACAGTGACTTTAATGCAGGAAAAGTATTTAGTCCTAAAAGTGATTTTAATGCAGGAAAAGTATTTAGTCCTAACTGTGATTTTAATGCAGGAAAAGTATTTAGTCCTAACTGTGATTTTAATGCAGGAAAAGTATTTAGTCCTAAAAGTGATTTTAATGCAGGAAAAGTATTTAGTCCTAACTGTGATTTTAATGCAGGAAAAGTATTTAGCTCTAACAGTGACTTTAATGCAGGAAAAGTATTTAGCTCTAAAAGTGATTTTAATGCAGGAAAAGTATTTAGTCCTAACTGTGATTTTAATGCAGGAAAAGTATTTAGTCCTAAAAGTGATTTTAATGCAGGAAAAGTATTTAGTCCTAACTGTGATTTTAATGCAGGAAAAGTATTTAGCTCTAACAGTGACTTTAATGCAGGAAAAGTATTTAGCTCTAACAGTGACTTTAATGCAGGAAAAGTATTTAGTCCTAACTGTGATTTTAATGCAAGAAAAGTATTTAGCTCTAACAGTGACTTTAATGCAGGAAAAGTATTTAGTCCTAACTGTGATTTTAATGCAGGAAAAGTATTTAGTCCTAACTGTGATTTTAATGCAGGAAAAGTATTTAGTCCTAACTGTGATTTTAATGCAGGAAAAGTATTTAGCTCTAACAGTGACTTTAATGCAGGAAAAGTATTTAGTCCTAACTGTGATTTTAATGCAGGAAAAGTATTAAGTCCTAAAAGTGATTTTAATGCAGGAAAAGTATTTAGCTCTAACAGTGACTTTAATGCAGGAAAAGTATTAAGTCCTAACTGTGATTTTAATGCAGGAAAAGTATTAAGTCCTAAAAGTGATTTTAATGCAGGAAAAGTATTTAGTCCTAACTGTGATTTTAATGCAGGAAAAGTATTTAGTCCTAACTGTGATTTTAATGCAGGAAAAGTATTTAGTCCTAACTGTGATTTTAATGCAGGAAAAGTATTTAGTCCTAACTGTGATTTTAATGCAGGAAAAGTATTTAGTCCTAACTGTGATTTTAATGCAGGAAAAGTATTTAGTCCTAACTGTGATTTTAATGCAGGAAAAGTATTTAGTCCTAACTGTGATTTTAATGCAGGAAAAGTATTTAGTCCTAAAAGTGATTTTAATGCAGGAAAAGTATTTAGTCCTAACTGTGATTTTAATGCAGGAAAAGTTAGTCCTAACTGTGATTTTAATGCAGGAAAAGTATTAAGTCCTAAAAGTGATTTTAATGCAGGAAAAGTATTTAGTCCTAACTGTGATTTTAATGCAGGAAAAGTATTTAGTCCTAACTGTGATTTTAATGCAGGAAAAGTATTTAGTCCTAACTGTGATTTTAATGCAGGAAAAGTATTTAGTCCTAAAAGTGATTTTAATGCAGGAAAAGTATTTAGTCCAAACTGTGATTTTAATGCAGGAGAAGTATTAAGTCCTAAAAGTGATTTTAATGCAGGAAAAGTATTTAGTCCTAACTGTGATTTTAATGCAGGAAAAGTATTTAGTCCTAACTGTGATTTTAATGCAGGAAAAGTATTAAGTCCTAAAAGTGATTTTAATGCAGGAAAAGTATTTAGTCCAAACTGTGATTTTAATGCAGGAAAAGTATTAAGTCCTAAAAGTGATTTTAATGCAGGAAAAGTATTTAGTCCTAACTGTGATTTTAATGCAGGAAAAGTATTTAGTCCTAACTGTGATTTTAATGCAGGAAAAGTATTAAGTCCTAAAAGTGATTTTAATGCAGGAAAAGTATTTAGTCCTAACTGTGATTTTAATGCAGGAAAAGTATTAAGTCCTAAAAGTGATTTTAATGCAGGAAAAGTATTTAGTCCTAACTGTGATTTTAATGCAGGAAAAGTATTAAGTCCTAAAAGTGATTTTAATGCAGGAAAAGTATTTAGTCCTAACTGTGATTTTCAACTTCTTTGATAGCTGGTAGAATAACATCACAAGCATATTATCATTTTTCATGAAAACATCAGACCATAATTAAGTGTTTGAATGAAATCTTTCTATATTGCAGTTCAAAATATATTTTTTATTAACACATGACATCCTGATCAACAGCCAGTAAATGTATCCATTTTATGTTTCCTTAAACAATTGTTGGACTTAGTTTAGTTTCGAAAAGCAGCAAAGTATTTTGTTATACCACCTCAAAAATGAAATGTTTTCTGTGATGCTTAAAGCCATGTAAGCTGTCATAAACAAAGCAATGTTATACTGCCACAAATAAAGCCTTGTTATACTGCCACAAATAAAGCCTTGTTATACTGCCACAAATAAAGCCTTGTTATACTGTCAGAAACAAAGCCTTGTTATACTGTCACAAATAAAGCCTTGTTATACTGCCACAAATAAAGCCTTGTTATACTGCCACAAATAAAGCCTTGTTATACTGCCACAAATAAAGCCTTGTTATACTGTCAGAAACAAAGTCTTGTTATACTGTCACAAATAAAGCCTTGTTATACTGCCACAAATAAAGCCTTGTTATACTGCCACAAATAAAGCCGTGTTATACTGTCAGAAACAAAGTCTTGTTATACTGTCACAACTAAAGCCTTTTTATACTGCCACAAATAAAGCCTTGTTATACTGTCAGAAACAAATCCTTGTTATACTGTCACAAACAAAGTCTTGTTATACTGTCACAAACAATCATCAACCATAAAAAAACAGAAGTTATCATACTACAAAAAAAACCAACTAATGAATGAGGAAAAAAAAAAAAATTATCGGATGTTATATTTAATTTTTTCAAAGCTAGAAATTTGTTATCTGATGGTTGCTTAAGTAAAAGCATGCAGTGGTCAAGGGGATAAGTTGTGTGACCATCTCTATCACTAGTCATTCTGACTCCTTTGAATTCACTTCCAGGTCGGGAGTCTTAGGTTTATGTAGGGCAGTTGCCAGGAAATAGCCCATGTCTGTGTTTTTTTTTCCTGGGAACTACCTAAACCTGGCACATCCTTAAATGACCCTGACTGTCAATATAATGTAAAACAACAGTAAACTAAACTTGAGCAAAAAGACAGTTTTTTGTCTCTGAGTCAGGGTCATGATAACTCTTAGATATATGTTTATCAAGCATTTGAGATATTGTTGTGTACTACATTTCTTATTTGTGCAATAACAATTATATTTATATAGTTCTGGAATGTCCTGGCCCTCGATGGCAGTAACTGGCAAAGAGTCGACCTGTTTGAATTCCAAAGGGACATTGTGGTAGGTATTCTGACATTTGAGTTTATTTCCTAAAATCAACGCAGGTTATGTGTTCTGTATCCAGGTTCACTATTAGTTTGATTTTGTCAAAAGTTTTCAATTAAGATGATGACAATTCTTTAACAGACATCATGTACTTTAAGCCCTTTGGTTATGATGATTAAAGTTGATGTATGGATGATGATGATGATGATGATGACGACGACTTTAATGATGATGATGATGATGATGAATTTAATGATGACGAAGTTGATGATGATGATGATGATGATGATGATGATGATGATGATGATGATGATGATGATGATGATGATAGTGATGACATAGGATTCAGTTGTGATGATGATGATGATGATGATGGTGACGATGATGACGACGACGATGTCGTCGTCGTCATCGTCGTCAGTGAGTGTGAGACCATGTGAATGTGATATTATGTCATCATGGATTCCATGTAAAATATTCCGAAAATAAGAAAGAGAAAAATTCTGTAACTCATCTTGTGTCTTAAAGCTTACTTGTGCAGTGCAGTAGATGTATCATTTGTTATCCATCTGATTTCTTCTGTTTGCACACTATGGAGGATTTTAGTCTTTATATATAAAAGTGACTGTAATTTGCAAAGCAAGCCCAAAAGATAACATGGCGGACTTGGCAACAAATAGTCTTGCTCACCAAGATGCTGAAGTATGTGTGCAGACAACAAGAGTCTATCTGACAGAGACTACACAATTAGTATCTTACTTGGGAAACATACAGTGATTGTCCTGAAGGATAAACTAGTAATTATAAAACATCATGAATTAGTTAGGAACACAATAAATATTTTTGTCATGTTTGTTTACCACCATGAAACACATCAGTGAGAAGAATATGCTTTCTCCCAATGGCTTTGCCATAATTTCGTATTTGTATACCAAGTCCAGCAATAAGCCGATTCTGACTTTGAGTAAGGATTTGTTTATTGATTCTTTGGGTTGTTGTAAGACAGTGTTTTGCCTGAAGCTCTTTATGATTAAGATCATAAATTTGATCTGATGAAACATTCATGATGCACTCAAAAGGATATGGTTGTTACATTTGTTCTTTAAAAAACATGCTCAAACTAAAAATCAAGTTCAAGATGAGTTTTAGCAACAGAATATGTCTAAAATAAGTGCATTTATTCCAGTAAATGGTGTATGAAATCTGTATCATTACTTTTTTGATGCAATATGGAATATAAAATCACCCTCACTATGTCTTTAATCAGTATTTTCGCTATGTTATAAATGATATATTCCGTACCCTTGCTATGTTTCAAGGTTATGTAATCAGTATCCTCACACTGTTTGTAGATTATGTCATTTTTCTCATCATTATGTTTGTAGAGTATGTAATCTGTATCCTCACTATGTTTGTAAAGTATGTAATCTGTGTCCTCACTATGTTTGTATAGTATGTAATCTGTATCCTCACTATGTTTGTATAGTATGTAACCTGTGTCCTCACTTTGTTTGTAGCGTATGTAATCAATATCCTCACAATGTTTGTATAGTATGTAATCTGTGTCCTCACTATGTTTGTATAGTATGTAATCTGTATCCTCACTATGTTTGTATAGTATGTAATCTGTGTCCTCACTATGTTTTTATAGTATGTAATCTGTATCCTCACTATGTTTGTAGAGTATGTAATCTGTATCCTCACTATGTTTGTATAGTATGTAATCTGTATCCTCCCTATGTTTGTATAGTATGTGACCTGTGTCCTCACTTTGTAGAGTATTTAATCTATATCCTCACTATGTTTGTATAGTATGTTATCTGTATCCTCACTATGTTTGTATAGTATGTAATCTGTCTCATCACTATGTTTGTATAGTATGTAATCTGTATCCTCACTATGTTTTTAGTGTGTGTAATCTGTATCCTCCCTATGTAGATTATGTTATCTGTATCTTCACTATACTTGTACAGTATGTAATCTATATCCTCTCTGTGTTTGTAGATTATGTAATCTGTATCCTCACTATGTTTGTAGAGTATGTAATCTATATCCTCACTATGTTTGTAGGGCTTGGTGGTTGAGAACATATCCAAGCGATGCGGAGGGTTCCTGAAATCATTGAGTCTCCGGGGCTGCCAAAGCATAACAGATGCAGCGCTGAGGTAATCTTACAAGATAAGAAAATATGTTTTACCAGAAGTAACTGGAAACATTTCAAGCTTATAAAAGTTTAAATAAAACTGATATCATTTCATCTGAACCTGAAGTTTTGATAGATCCTAATTGGGGGCCCAGAATTTCAGATTGGACAAATAATGCCCTTCTGCAGTGATGACAAGTTAAGTTGTCTGTCTACAATGTTTACCAGTAAAAACACTTGTTTACAATTTTTAATAGTAAGGACATCTGTCTACAATGTTTAAAAGTAAAGACATCTGTCTGTCTTCAGTGTTGATGAGTAAAGACTTCTGTCTGTCTGCAGTGTTGACAAATAAAGACATCTGTCTGTCTGTAGTGTTGACAAATAAAGACATCTGTCTGTCTGCAGTGTTGACAAATAAAGACATCTGTCTGTCTGCAATGTTGACAAGAAAAGGCATCTATCTGCAATGCTGACAAGAAAAGTCTTTTTGTCATCAGTGTGATATTTTCTATCAGAAATTGTAATATTTATTATGCACCCTGAATGGAGAGCATAGAGTTGCCACTTTGTCTGTTTGTTAGTCATAATTTTCTCCATAATATAACACAAAATTATCAGAGGTATCAACATAAAACATCATAGGTAGATAGATGTCAGCAAGGAGAAATGCAGTACAAAAATACCATCTCTCTCTTGTTGCATATTTTGATGTCCTTTGTTATTTCTCATACTTAAAATTTGTCCGGAGCATTACACTAAAACTGTAAGAGGTTCCAACATGAACAAAAGGTAGATAGATCTCAATAAGAAGGAGGGCAGTACTCAATAATCACAATTCTCTTATTGCCCTTTGTTATGTTTTAATCTTAAATTTTGTCCCATTCGGGAGCATAACAAGTCTCTGACGGCCCTTGTCTGTTGTTATCTGTGTTATTATCAGTTAGAACTTGTAAAATTTATGTACTCTTTTGTTATCAGTGTGCTATTACCTATGATAACTTGTAATTAAGTATTGTTACTGTGTCATGAGAAAATATATTTCAGGACATTTGCTCAGCAGTGTAGGAATATAGAGGAACTGAATCTCAACAACTGTAAAGAGATCACAGACTTGTAAGTACAGATAGCTCAAAAGTTAAAAAAAAAAAAAAGGGTAAAGATATCACAGATTTATACAGATAAGTCAAAGGCTAAAGTACCATTGTACAGAAATCACAGACTTGCAAATACAGGGAAAGTGGTTGGATGGCCTAGTGGTAACACACTCATTTTTCTCTTTGACATCCATAGTTCTCAAGTGGACGTGAAAGCGTATAGGTTGTCACCTACCTGACCATGTTGATGTTCTCCAGTATCCTGTTTTCTTCCCACACTAAGAACTTTCACACCCTCCCATCTGACTCCACAATAAAGTTAAATATAAAGCTAATGGCTTGTTTTGCAATTGTCGTAAGATAGGGAAAAATGAAAATTAAGTTTGTATTTAAGTACGGAGATGTCAGCAGTCAAAGGACAAAAAAAAATTAAGGCTTATAAGTACAGTATCAGGTCCAAATATCAGTGTAAAAAGATCAAGGTCAAAGTGCCAATGTAAAGAGATCACAGACTTGTAAGTACAGGCAGGTCAAAGGTCAATGAACCAATAACTAAAGAATGATACAAAATAGACCTTAACCTTTATATGCACATAATGGATTTCCAATTTTTTTTCCTGCAGGACTTGTGAGAACTTGGGCAAGTACAGCCATAAGTTACACCGACTGGACATCAGTTCCTGTCCACAGGTCACCAACTCTGCTCTCAAGGCTGTCAGGTAAGAAATCAAGGTTCAAGGTCATTTGATATTTAGAATATTGTTGTATATAATTTGATTTGCTGGTTAAAAAAGAAATCTGTTTCTGATTGGAATATGTGATATAAAAGATTCCTTACTGTAGCCAGTATTTAATATAAAATGATTTTAGCTGTAATGTATTTTATCTCATGTTCGCCTTGTTATTTAGTGAATATACCCATGTGATAATTTGTCATATTACACATGCGTTATAGCTTATTGTGTCATAACTTTAGATAATCAAATGTTGTCACTCATTTACATATTACATTGTAACTTAAAACCTCAGACAATAGAGTGGACATGGCTTTAAGTTTGATGTAAAGATGTCTATTTTATACAATACTTGTCTTGAATTTGTTTCACTTTAATATGAAATATGAAATTCTTCACTTGAGACAAAGTCTCTCGTCATGTATCCACAAACAATTTGAAATTTTCAACTTCTTCTCAAAAACCCCTGAACCAATTGAAATGAAATTTCGCAGAAACCTTCCTTGGCCTAAGATGAACTAAAATAGTGACTTATACTGTGCCTACTCCATTGAACTTATACTGTGCCGACTCCATTAAACTTATACTGTGCCGACTCCATTGAACTTATACTGTGCCGACTCCATTGAACTTATACTGTGCCAACTCCATTGAACTTATACTGTGCCGACTCCATTGAACTTATACTGTGCCGACTCCATTGAACTTATACTGTCCCGACTCCATTGGGGCCTGAGTGTCAAATTTACATACTCTTCTTCTCAACACTCACATTAGATAGAATCAAATGCTCTTCCTGAATGAAAGTGTTTGAAGTTGCTTTACCAAAATAGAGAATTTCCTGGCCCCAGGGTCAGGCATTTCCCTGTGGGGATAGGGTCAAGTTTACTGTAGTTTATGTAGGCAAAAGAGGTTTTCAAGCATGATTTGTTTGATTTCCAGTGGAAGTCTCTCAAACGTGGTTTAAATTATGAACAAGGAATGATGGCTAGATGGTTTGCATGTGTTGACCCTGACTGAACCAAATGGGGTCAATTGACTTCAATTTCAAAAATTGTCTTCTTAACATCCAGGATGGTAGAATTGAATGAAATGATCTTCATGGATGAAAGTGTCTTAAGGTGCTTTAGTTACAAAACAGGGTCTCACAGTTCTTTATCAAAAAATAACATTCTTTAACATATCGTTGTTTATTTCCCACTGGAAATAAATTTATAAGAATTATTAGTATAGGATGAGTTTTGATGGTATGCATGGACACTGGCTTACTATCATCAATTTCTTTTTCATGACACTTGAAAGCTACTATAACATTTATTATCAATATATATCAAAATTTTGACATATTTCATGTTTTCATATTTTCTGTTTTCAGTGATGGCTGTCATCAGTTAAATATTATAAATTTATCGTGGTGTACAGAGGTCACGAATGATGGCATAGAAGCTCTGGCCAAGGGCTGTACTGTATTACACACCTTTATAGGGAAGGGTTTGCCACAGGTAGGTCATCGTAACATAAGCTCATCCACAGGTTAATGTTTTAATCTTGTCAGTGGAGGAATATAGCTGGCATCCCAGAGTGGAAAGTCCATTTGTTCTAGCTCTCACAATTTGTCTATAATTTTTGAAGAAAACTGTCAAAATAGTTCTCTTTTTTTATGTGTTTGTCTAAGTGATTATGGCTCATCAAGTGTTTTATTTTAATTAAGGAAAAGAATTTTCTTCTAGTTTTAAAAGCTCTTTATCCTTTTGTTTTTTATAGGTAACAGATGTTGGAATCTCGCATATAGCAAGGAATTGTAAAAACTTGAAAAAAATCAATCTACATAGTTGTTCAGTAAGTAGCAAGGCTTGTTAAGAAAAATTCAGTTAAAATTGATCTCCAGGAGCCAAGAAATGTTCAGTTAACATGTCAGACCAACAATATAAGTCCAAAACTTCAAAGGATTCTCTTCAAAATTTCATCTCATTTACCGACTTTAAATAAGCTTGTGTGTAATTACATGTAATTATGTGATAATTGTGCCAAGACTGTTATTACTATTAGACGTATAGATATGCTTGGTTAACATGAGTAAGATCTCCTGATATCTGGTTTGTTGTGATGTCTGACATGAAGGAGAATAAAACGAAACCTGTTAATTTCTAAACTGTTGAACAAGTGTTGCAAAAGATAATCGTATCATACTTTGACATTATTATGTTCCAAACAGTGTACAGTCTTTGTCCCTTGTTAGTTTTCTGTCTTGCCAGTTGTTATCACGTTTATAAGCACTTTGTCCTGATTTTGTGTGATACTGACTCGGATAGTTGGCATTGATATATACAGTAAATATCATATTTATTATTGTTGTTCTTAAAATAAGGTGTCAAGTCATTTTGGTGTCAGTTTTGCATACCTTATAATCCTGACAATCAATGACGGCCATCTCACAGAATCTTTGATTTTTCCGCAAAAAAACCCTTTAAAATCCTATAGCTACATAATGTGCACACACCCCATTGGACATTTATTTTCTCACAACACAAAAACCCTGATGTGTCACAGGGCAGTTTATTACAGTATATAGACACATCCAATATGTAACACAATAAAATAGCTTTGTCCTTATTTATAATACTGGAGTTTAATGATGGTACTCCCAGCTGAGAAATTTTCCGAAACCTTAATTATTCTTGTGAACAAGAAATTGACCTACAAAGATCAGATGGCATCAGATTAGGTGAAATTTAATTCATTTTTTAGAATAACATACTGATATCTCTGTTCAGGTCTTGATTTCTATGACTAGGAGAAGATTTCTTGTAGAAATGGTATCATATTGTGATAAAGGAAGGGCTGTTATCACAGTATTTAAATTATTTTGATGTAATTTCACACTGAAATTGTAACAAAATATTGTTACAGCAACAGCGTTGTGATATAATCATGTAGAGTTGATTTATCATTATACCTTACAACTGGGATTCTTGATGATATTTTTTCTGCCCTAAAATTGTCCAACTAGATAAACAGAATTGATTTAAGTTTAGGTGAATCTGGAAATATTATACTTACTTTAAGGTCAACGACACACATAGAGATAATTATGGTCAGTTAAGTTTTTGAAATTTTTCGAACGATCTATATTCTATGTTATGGTTATTATTTTTTACAATATACCATAATATTTCCATGATACTTAGCCAAAGTTTAATGTGGCTGAGCAAAATCGAGAAGTGGCAAAATCAAGGTGGAAAGGTGCACTAGACCCATAATTCAATAAATTCTGTAACTTTCATGTGTTTCATTATTTCAAAAAATTAAAGTACATGTGTATATGCTGAACCATGCCCCCATTCAAATGAAAAACCTTAAATGTACATTATAATTATGTTTGATTTGGCATAAGGTTTATCATGTTGACGGTACAAAAATGCTTTGATTCTTAAGAAATGTTGCCAGATAAGTGTTTGTTTACTGCACAAGGTGTTTGTTCATGATGTTAACTATAACTGTATAATTGACATGCCATGTTTATTACACACATTCTTATTAATTATCAAAAGGAGAGCACATTTAAGCTGAAGTTCAGTAATTTTCAATAAGTTCTGAAATAATACCTCATGTGTTGGCTAGGTGGTGAACTTTACTGCCAGGAAAGTGAATTTTATAATGCCATTTTCCACTTTAGTTGTATGAACGGAAACTTTCAATCAATGGTAATTAGTATCTTGCAGTCAAATTTCTGACTCATTCTGAAGCAGGTTTCTAGAAATTCCCCACTTTCATTTTATCTGCATATGCACACATCTCTGAGATCATTATCACCTACATGATGAAATCTGAGGAAGTTCTGACAGAAATGATGTAGAATAATGTTAAGCAGTGTTCAGAAAAAAAACTTTATCACAGTTAAATTCAATGACATCTTGATGTTATCCCAGGAACACAAAGGAATGTCTTGGCAACAAGGTTTTACTGTATGTAAAATTCTGTTTCATTATTGCATTATTTCTGTTAAATGAATGTTAATGACCTGTACATATTTTTACAGAATATAACTGATGAAGCTATACAGGAAATAGGAGAACATTGTCACCAACTCCTTTTTCTATGTATATCAAATTGTCCAAGGTTGACTGATGCTGCCCTGGTTTCCCTCGGCCAGGGATGTCACAACTTAAGGTTTGTATAGATGTCATTCTATAATATACACTTACTAAGTGATAATCCTGTCTTTATTAATAACATTTCAGTTGAAATGCATTCATCAAGTTATTGACTGATTAACAGGGTGCTGAATACATTTTAGATAATATTTGGTTAGTTTTAGGTATTGAAGACAACTATCGGTGGGTAGATATCTGAAATATTATCGTTGTTTTAAAATCTATGTTTCCTTACAGGACGTTGGAGGTTGCTTGTTGTTCCCATTTCACAGACAATGGTTTCCAGGCCCTGGCCAAGGTAAGCCTTCACTGACACCTATTTATAGCAATCAGTCAAAGGTAATTAACTCCAGTGTGTGTCAATAGGTAGGTGGATATTCCTACTGAAGAGTTTAACAGTCAGTAAAGGGTAGATAACTATCCAAAATTGTCTGCATTTGAGGATGTATCAAAGGGAGGTAACCACATGTAGAATCAAATGCAAAAATGCTACCAAATTTAGATAACATTTTAGCTACAAGTATATATCCTAGAAGATACAAAAGATATTATATGCATTAAGACGGACATCACTAAGGTATTCTTTCTATGATATGAACTGTGTATTTTCAGAATTGCAATTGCTTAGAAAAAATGGACTTGGAAGAATGCATACAAGTAAGTAAATTTTACAAAATTAGTATTGTTTCATACACCATAGTTTTTGTCATCAAAGATCCTAGGTGTGTTGTTAAACATTCCCTATCCTGTCATGGTTTGTGTTTCTCAGGAAGCTGAGAACCTGATTGGTCTGATCTGTCATGGTTTGTGTTTCTCAGGAAGCTGAGAAACTAACTGGTCTGGTCTGTCGTGGTTTGTGCTTCTCTGGAAGCTGAGAAACTGACTGGTCTGATCTGTCGTGATTTGTGTTTCTCAGGAAGCTGAGAAACTGACTGGTCTGATCTGTCATGGTTGTGTACTTGACACTTTACCTAATTGATTGCATGACACAGGCCTCCTGTATGTTGTGCCATGAGGAAGGTACCAGCTGCTACAAGAAGGCCCTGTCTCAAAATGACCCTAGCTGTTCAGGAAGGGGGATGGGGGATGATAGACCTGTCTCAAAATGACCCTAGCTGTTCAGGAAGGGGGATGGGGGATGATAGACCTGTCTCAAAATGAACCTAGCTGTTCAGGAAGGGGGATGGGGGATGATAGACCTGTCTCAAAATGACCCTAGCTGTTCAGGAAGGGGGATGGGGGATGATAGACCTGTCTCAAAATGACCTTAGCTGTTCAGGAAGGGGGATGGGGGATGATAGACCTGTCTCAAAATGACCTTAGCTGTTCAGGAAGGGGGATGGGGGATGATAGACCTGTCTCAAAATGACCCTAGCTGTTCAGGAAGGGGGATGGGGGATGATAAACCTGTCTCAAAATGACCCTAGCCGTTGAATAAGGGGGATGGGGGATGATAGACCTGTCTCAAAATGACCCTAGCTGTTCAGGAAGGGGGATGGGGGATGATAGACCTGTCTCAAAATGACACAAACTGTTCAGGAAGGAGGATGGAGGATGATAAACATATTAAACAGAAAGAAAAATCTTTTAGGGTGTTAATCATCAGAATCCTAGACCTGTTGTTTTCCTTGCGGTCTGATTTTTTTTTATTCTGTTTTCTGTACCTCTGATTATGCTTTGATACATATTGTTTGTAAATCAAACAATTAGCTGTGCAGAAAAAACTGGTATAACATGTTTAACATGTTGAATTATTGTACTCAATCCAGCAACTTTATATTAGAAATTTTGATCAGACTTTATACAAATATGATGTATATATATGAGAAATCTGTGGATTTAGTCTGAATTCACAACCTTAAGATCTCTTGTTCACTAGATATAGATGCTTGTGATTTAACAAAAACTCCAAAGGCTGATAAAAGCAGTGTTTGTTGATTAGGTGTAAAGGTGTTGAAAGTCTTCTTTCACATTAACATTGAAAAATCTTGTTTAATATTTATTTTTCAAGCTATAATCCATTGTTTATAACAGATAACTGACTCTACACTGAATTACCTGTCCAACTATTGTCCCAAAGTCAGCGCATTGGTAAGTATATTGTCTGTAAATTAGTACATGGTAAGTATATTGTCTGTAAATTAGTACATGGTAAGTATACTGTCTGTAAATTAGTACATGGTAAGTATACTGTCTGTAAATTAGTACATGATAAGTATATTGTCTGTAAAGTAGGACATGGTAAGTACACTGTCTGTAAATTAGTACATGGTAAGTATACTGTCTGTAAATTAGTACATGGTAAGTATACTGTCTGTAAATTAGTACATGGTAAGTATATTGTCTGTAAATTAGGACATGGTAAGTACACTGTCTGTAAATTAGTACATGGTAAGTATATTGTCTGTAAATTAGTACATGGTAAGTATATTGTCTGTAAATTAGTACATGGTAAGTACACTGTCTGTAAATTAGTACATGGTAAGTATACTGTCTGTAAATTAGTACATGGTAAGTATATTGTCTGTAAATTAGGACATGGTATGTAAATTAGTACATGGTAAGTATATTGTCTGTAAATCAGTACATTGTAAGTATACTGTCTGTAAATTAGTACATGGTAAGTATATTGTCTGTAAATCAGTACATGGAAAGTACATGTATATTGAAAATAAAATCCTAAAAATTTTGTGTTCAATGAAATCATTTTTGGGGATAATTCATCAGTTTCACTGATACTCTTGTTTATTTTATGTAAATATAAATGAAAACAAACGATATACAACAAATTCTATACCAAAGAAAGGCTCTCACACTGTGTTTTTTATATACCAGAGTCTCTCCCACTGCGAGTTGATTACAGATGAAGGAATTCGCCACATTGGGACAGGAACTTGTGCAACAGAACATCTCCACATTCTGGAGCTTGACAACTGCCCTCTGATCACAGACGCATCCCTTGAACATTTGATGGGCTGTCAGGGGCTGGAAAGAATAGAGCTGTATGACTGTCAGTTAATTACACGTGCTGGCATCCGGCGACTCCGAGTAAGTAACTCTTGAGTATGTCACTCTTGCTGGCATCTCTTTACTCTGAGTAAGTAACACTTGAGTATGTCACTCTTGCAGGCATCTGTTTACTCTGAGTAAATAACATTTGAGTATGTCACTCTAGCTGGCATCTGTTTACTCTTAGTAAGTAACACTTGAGTATGTCACTGTTGCTGGCATCCGGCGACTCCGAGTAAGTAACACTTGAGTATGTCACTCTTGCTGGCATCTCTTTACTCTGAGTAAGTAACACTTGAGTATGTCACTCTTGCAGGCATTTGTTTACTCTGAGTAAATAACATTTGAGTATGTCACTCTAGCTGGCATCTGTTTACTCTTAGTAAGTAACACTTGAGTATGTCACTGTTGCTGGCATCTGTTTACTCTGAGTAAGTAACACTTGAGTATGTCACTGTTGCTGGCATCTGTTTACTCTGAGTAAGTAACACTTGAGTATGTCACTGTTGCTGGCATCTGTTTACTCTTAGTAAGTAACACTTGAGTATGTCACTGTTGCTGGCATCTGTTTACTCTGAGTAAGTAACACTTGAGTATGTCATTGTTGCTGGCATCTGTTTACTCTTAGTAAGTAACACTTGAGTATGTCACTGTTGCTGGCATCTGTTTACTCTGAGTAAGTAACACTTGAGTATGTCACTGTTGCTGGCATCTGTTTACTCTGAGTAACACTTCAGTATATCAGTGACACCTTGTGCACAGACAAACAGACTAGTTTGATCCTTATATTAAACAAACCTCAAGGTCGCATAACAGTGTATCATAATGGCTTTGAAGTTGGGTGTTACTCCCTGGTAATCTTCAAAAGCTTGTGATTGATCAGTTTTTATTTTCATGGACCCTATGAAATTGCTTTGCTTGTGCCTATAATTTTGCCATCACATGTTCCAGAGATGCAGAGAGTGAAAGTGATTGTAACCCCAGGAGTATCAAGGATTGTTCAAGGGGTGTAGAGAGTGAAAGTGATTGTAAACCCTGGAGTATCAAGGATTGTTCAAGGGGTGTAGAGAGTGAAAGTGATTGTAAACCCTGGAGTATCAAGGATGGGTCTAGAGGTGTAGAGAGAGAAAGTTTTTGTAACCCCTGGAGTATCGAGGATGGGTCTAGAGGTGTAGAGAGAGAATGTTTTCGTAACCCCTGGAGTATCGAGGATGGGTCTAGAGGTGTAGAGAGAGAATGTTTTTGTAACCCCTGGAGTATTGAGGATGGTTCCAGAGATGCAGAGAGTGAAAGTGATTGTAACCCCTGGAGTATCGAGGATGGGTCTAGAGGTGTAGAGAGAGAATGTTTTTGTAACCCATGGAGTATCGAGGATGGGTCTAGAGGTGTAGAGAGTGAAAGTGATTGTAACCCCTGGAGTATCGAGGATGGGTCCAGGACTGTAGAGAGTGAAAGTGATTGTAACCCCTGGAGTGTCGAGGATGGGTCCAGGACTGTAGAGAGTGAAAGTGATTGTATCCCCTCAGGGCTAGCTCTGGGTCAAAATTCAGTTTCGCCAAAATTTTTTTTTGCTATAAGCGCGCGAACAGATTCCGGAACTCACCCTCACCCTCACCTGACGAGCCCTTAATTCCCTCATATAATAATAACACATATGCTAATTATATAATTACATTATTTATTCACTGTTTTAACAACAATACATCAAACATAATACAGTATATGGTAAAAGAGTTTATAAACATGGAATTATTACAGGCCTTCTGCATCTCGACAGTTTGCTGTTGTGTTGCCAAAGCAGCAGAGTGAGAGTTCTCATCTGTAAAATTGAAAATGAAATTTAGACTAGAATTGGACGTTTGCAGAGAGATACAGGATTACATCGAACCTTATTTTACACCATCAAAGTATTATACTTATTACAGTAACTTCCTAAGTAATATATATCTTAAAAACACTTCAGAGATAATAAAGACATAATCGTTAAACTAAAAGATTGTGTTTCTAATTCATGTGCCAAGCAGGCTGTAATGAGTAACTATATTGTACCATCCTCTAGGCATTTCTGAATTACTTAATCTAAATTTACATAATTTTCTGTTCATAAATGATGAATAGTTGTATATACCTGATCCTTTCTCATGCTTAACCAAGCACTCTTTCTTACTGCAGCCATCAGTGAAACTATTTCTAACTAATGCCTTCATACATATGTCACAAAACATGAGATTTTGCTCTGGGTCATATTTTAGCCATGGCCTGCCAATTTTCCAACTATCTAGAAACTTTCTTGAACTACTGCCCTTGTTAGTAACCTGATCAGGGCTGTCATTTTCCTTTTCAATAGATGGTGTCTTAAAACCAAATGATGACAATCTGGGTACTTTCCCATCCCTATCACTAAAGGGGAGTTTACGTTTTCCCATTTCATCTAACGATCTATCTTAGTGAAGGGCCAGATCTGATGTGACTAAATATGTACAAAAATATAAAACAAAATCGGCAACATAGTGTAAAAACAACAAAATTATATCTTGTGTTTCTTGCTATTTTAAAAAAAAAAAAAAAGGTTAAGAAGCCTATTTCGGGCCCTTTCAAATACACTAGTTTACTAAGTTATGTCTGCAGAAATCACAAACTCGTGCCCAATTGACGACATCGACACACCTAATGATCGACCTACCGTAAGCCAATTCCCGATAAAACAACATCTTTCCTTCAGCTAACTTACCTTATTGTTCACGGCAGAGGCTATCTCGGATTGAGACAATGGAGACATCGTTGGATAATTGGCGATTTTCATTACAGGCGTGTTGCTGTTTAGACAGGTAAACGTTGCTGTCAAAACACAAAAGAGTTCCGATAGCTGACCTTGCCCCAGCTGCGGGAGTCAGTTAGCCATGACCGTGTAGTACACAATGATGTCGGAGCAAAATTTACCTGTGTCACTCGTTACAAATAAGTTAAACGCCAGTGATTTTTCTCTATACAGTCATCGGTGACTGGAAATGTCTCTAATCGGCATTTTCGCCAATAGAAATTTGAAATCGCCAATCTCATTTCACTTTCGCCAATGGCGCCAATGGCGCCATTGGCGATCGCCAGTGCAAGCCTTGCCCCTGGAGTATCAAGGAAGGGTCCAAGGCTGTAGAGAGTGAAATTGGTTGTAAACCCTGGAGTATCGAGGATGGTTCCAGGGGTACAAAGAGTGAAAGTGATTGTTACCCCTGGAGTATCGAGGATGGTTCAGGGATGTAGAGAGTGAAAGTGATTGTAACCTCTGGAGCATTAAGGATGGTTCCAGGGTTGTAGAAAACGAAAGTGATTGTAATCCCTGGAGTATCGAGGATGGTTCCAGGGGTGTAGAGAGTGGAAGTGATTGTAACCCCTGGAGTATCGAGGATGGTTCCAGGGGTGTAGAGAGTAAAAGTGATTGTAACCCCTGGAGTATCGAGGATGGTTCCAGGGGTGTAGAGAGTGAAAGTGATTGTAACCCCTGGAGTATCAAGGATGGTTTCAGGGGTGTAGAGAGTGGAAGTGATTGTAACCCCTGGAGTATCGAGGATGGTTCCAGGGGTGTAGAGAGTGAAAGTGATTGTAACCCCTGGAGTATCGAGGATGGGTCTAGGAGTGTAGAGAGTGAAAATGATTGTATCCCCTAGAGTATCGAGGATGGGTCCAGGAGTGTAGGGAGTGAAAGTGATTGTAACCCCTGGAATGGATACATAACATAAGAGAGATACCTAATGTGATGATGTGATGCAATATTTATTAATTATTTTCCTTTGTAGACACGGCTACCCAACATCAAGGTACATGCCTACTTTGCACCAGTGACGCCACCACCATCAGTGGGAAATGGTCGGCAAAGATACTGCAAATGTTGTGTGATTCTCTGACGTCACAGAGCCAAGGTGATGACCTTGAACGCAATTAGGACAGTTACAGGGAGGAATGCAAGGTGTGATCAACTCGCTGGCCGGCACAGGTGTAGTGAACATATACTGATGTAGTATTGAAAAAAACAAGAGGTATTCAAACATCTCTATGACTACATTGTACTGGCAGTGGGTTGTCAGGAAATTCTGGAAAAATCTTGCAGAAGTCCAGATTGCTCTGTGAACTGCATTTGACTGTGAGTCAGCAGGCAGTCGGGAGTTGTGTTTTGTGAGTGGAAATGTACTGTGATTCGATGTATCATGATTGGACAAGCTTCGCTGGTTATATCAAGTCTGTTGCTTACAACAAGATATCCACATGCAAATTTATCAAGCTGGTGTAATAATATATAACCACTGAATTCATGATTATTTTTGCAGAAGTGTCCAAACTGCGATTCTTTTGATGTGTTGTTATGCGAAAATGTCTGTGTAAAAGTCTCCAGATTTACATATCACCAACACATTACACTGCAGCAGTAACCACTCAAAGATGACAATTTCGTAAAATGATTCAATCAACATGACATTTTTTAACTTTCCAATGGTAATTGGATATTCCAGATCATGTGACTGTGTTAGGGATCAAAATATGCGTAATAAATTTATTCAATTTTCCATTCAAATTTTTATTAAGAAATGCAAAATTTGTATTTAAAATGTGCCCTTAAAATTGTATTTAATGAAAGTCAGTGATTATAATCTTATAGAAATGATCGTTCACTTTGTTGGAGGAAATAATATCTGGAGTAGATTGGAAGATACTACTTTGAAATGTGATTTAAATGTTTTACTTTAGGAAAGAATAATCCTAGTTATGTTAGTAATAAGTTACTTGTTTGGAAATACTAACTCTTAATGTGATTTCTTTGGAAAATATTTTTCCGTAGATGTGATTATAAGTTTCCCCTGTGGAAATTTGATCCATAAAATTTTAATATGATTACAAGATATTACTTAAAACAAGTAATATGTAATGAGATATTACTTCAAACAAGTAGTATCTATAAATCTGAGTACAAGATATTACTTAAATCAAATGATATGTTATAGAATATAACGTAATACAAGTGATATCTGTTGTTATGAGTAAATGTACCTGTTTTTCTTGAAACAAGTATGTGTTTTATGTGTGTATCGAGAAACAAATAATATCTAAATGTGATCTGGATTGATGATAACTAAACCCTCCGTTTACTTGGAGGTTTATAATCTATTTGCTGAGAAGTATTGAATGTGAAAGCCTACCAGTGTAAGAAGTGTTGGGAGACATATTAATGAGGTAGTCAGGTGTCATACAAAGCACACTCAAAAGTGTCGGCATGTTACACAGGTTATAAGCGACGCATCAGAAAAAGCTTGAATTTAAAGTAGCCTTTCTGATAGTGCAGTACAGTGTCTCTATATCATGGTTTCTCTGTAAGTTACTCTTTGTGCAAAAATCAAATTTGCAAGAGGATACTGGATAAATCTAGTCTTAGAAATGGTTTTCATTTCATATTTGTCCAGACTGGCTATTAAGAGAGGTGTAACCAACTTTGTAGGTAGGTTAATTAGCTCCCTGTCAGTATTGTTCACTTCAAACAGAGGTTAAAGGTCAAGGTCACCAGTGGCCTTATATGCTAAAGTCTCAGGATGCAATAGTCGGATGCTCATAGAGTTTATATCATAATATGATTTCTTGTGTAAGTGTATGAAGTCTTGTGTAGCATGTATTTTGGATAGAGATAAAACAGCATGAGATCCAACCAAATTTTACATTACTTCAGGAAGCCTAGAAGTTTCAAAGATGTGTAGGGATTTACTATTATAGAATTCCTAGATATAGTTCAAAGTGAATTCTTTCTATATGTCAGAGAGTTGTGTGTTTAAATGATTGCCATTTGTATGGTTAAAGAGCATTGTTCAATTTTGAGTTGTTAGGTTTTGTAGCTGATTTGTGTGATTCAGGTTACTATAAACGATCGCAATCAAAACAGTGAGAGTTAATCACCTCGAACAAAGACATGTATAATAAAGAAAAGGAGCAGTACAAAAAAGTTGATCACCACAAACTTGCTGAGATACTGAAATCACAAACGTTGTGAAGTTAACAGCAATGGGAGTTGTCTCATGAAGGCTTTGTAGTTGTTTAATTGAAAATTAAGTATGAAACTTTGACATGAACAATGCAGCAAATTCAAAGGGGCCAATAATTAAGATGAAGATATTCTAGGTAAATAATATTTAAAACATCTATGTATAAAAAAAAGTTATTTGTCCTGTTGATAAGAAGTATGCATGTCTGGTGAATTACATTTAGATATTATAACTGTATCGCAGGTTGGTGTGTTATTTAGGTACAAGATATTTTAAGACCAATGTTATACTATTTTTCTAGGGAAAACTATTGAAGATATATGCTAACTGGTGAAATTTATATGTAAATAAAACTGTTTGTTAGGTAAGGAAAGGATTAATTTATACGTAAATAATGGTATTTGTTAGGTAAGATGAGAAATAGAATATTTGGAATATTTTTGACACAGGTGTATTATCGCAAATATACATGTGTCTTAGTGATAGGTTGGCCCAGATTTGGTCGAACATGCAAATTACATAGATGTATATATTCAATGTTTAGTGAAACCATTTGCAGGGTTTAAGACACTGTATTGTATACATGGCTATTGATATTGGTCAAATTTTGGTCTGTCTTATAGTTGTTTTATATGTAGCTGGTTCTCATTGACAGAGAATAAATTTGATAGGTTAATGATAAAATACAGTTTATTTAAAAATGTTAGAATTTGGGTGGAATTGACCTAGTTACACACTTGAACTAGTTCTGTTTGATCTAGATACACATGTTGAATTTACACACCTGATCTATTTACATAAATGAGTTATGCATACATGATTGACTTAGTTATACACGTGAGTTACATATTTGACCTTATATACACACGAAATAATTATGTACTGGCTGACATGTGAAATGTGAATTGACCTAGTTTCACATGTAATTACATATTTGATCCACATACACATGTGATTGTATGCAGTTAAATTTTATTAATCTGGAGTCCTAGGCTTGGAGAAATTTTTTTCTCTGAATGAATGAAAAAGAAAATTTCATCAAAATTTATTCCAGTCCCCATGTATAAACATCTTAATGTAGACTTTGAATCAGAATTAAAGGGGATCGACTGTATGTATGGAAGGCTTGAGTGAGTAGATCGTAACTTTTTCATCAGTATTCCACAAATTTGTTACGTAAATATGTATCCTCATGGTGTTGCTTCTCTTCTTTGTATTTAACAGGTGCATATATATTATATCTGTTCCTATAACCTTTGACGTTTAGCTCTCTTTGACTTATAACCCATGACCTTTTGTCCTCTATAACCTCCTTAATTTCTGTTGCTCTATTAACTTCCTAATTCTGATAAACTATAATCTAGTATTAGGGAGTTGTTTCCCCTGATTTTAGAACAACATTACAGGCATTCCTAATGTCTTTGAGATAGGTACTGTAATAAGTGATGGTTAATCATCAAGTTTGTCTCATATTTTGTCATCGGTAATTTCAACTTATTAAAAAGACTCAAGATTTTGTAAGTGGAAGAATGTGTACTTTCTATTAGAAATGACTAGCATGAAAGATTTTACACACTGCCGAGGTGTGAAATTACATTTCCAGTGTTAAGGTACAGATGAGTACATGTTGTTTTCAGTGTTGGATTTGAAAAAACTGACAGGGTAGAAATCTCCACCATTGGGAGATGTGTTTGTTCTGTCAACGTGAAATATTTCCCTGTATGTTTGAGATTTGCCTGGATAATAGATTCCATGATGTTCCAAATACCAAAAGACTCATGAGAGTTTAGGGTTAAAATGTAATATTTTGACACAAGGTGGTCCTGTATGGCTATTGTACACAGAGTCAAGCTTTACTGTGACCATTATGCTACGTCTTAAGAATTACACGTAGTGCGGTATCACTGTCTGCCCACCACAACACAAGAAATGTCAGCCACAGTTTGAAGTACTTTGAAAAAGATTTTGATGGACCATAACTGTGAACTTTTGATGATTATATATGTTATTAGAATTTTTATAATTTCACATCATTACAAATTCATCTTCACAGTGATAGGAATTATATCTGCACCCTCTGCCATTTTGATTCCCGAGTTCTGTTGTGGTAGGCAGACAGTGGTTTACATCTTGTTTTTTATATTATGTATGTTAATTTATGAGTTGTTCAGCTGTGTCTTTCAAGTGAAACAGGATAGCTTTTATTTTTGTACGAGCTTATGTCTGTTGTGATAGGATGTGTAAGCTATGATATTAACGTGGAACCTGGAAAGTCAGTCTGATGTATTGTGCCGTATCTGTATAAGGAATGAAGTTCCTCCAAAAAAAAATGTACATGCCATGATAAAAATTGTTGCTTGTTAGTGTGACGGTATCAAATTCCTTCAGGTGCATTATTCTGATGTTCTATTGACTTTTATATGTTGTTTTGGATTTATCAACTCTTGATCGAAATGTCAGTTGAACATGAAATAATTTTGACAAATTCCTTGTGGTAAGCTTTGACGGCTGTTATTTATCCAACAATAAATCCATGCCTGGTAAAAGCACGATGAATTACATGCTGATGCCTACATGTATATTGATGGGCTCCTAGGCTTATTGTAAGTTTAATAAGGTGTATTGTTTTTAGCCTACAAAACACCAACATGAAATTTGATATTCTTCAGAAAAAAAACACACCAATGCAAAACATGTCGTGGATTTGGTATTGCCAACAGGTAAATATTCTGTCTTTTCGTAATGCAGAGTTATCTGCCCTTGTGAGCAGGTATTGATTGCTACATCAATTGTTTGTGAGAGTGAAGTCATGAGAAAATGACAAATGATGTAACCATTAGTACCTCCTCACAAGGGCAGATAACTCTTCATTATGAAAAGACAGGACACCCATGTCAACAGTAATACTGTCCTGTCTATTCAGCTTCGTATTGGTTCAGACAGAGACAGAATTACAACAGTAATTTCATAATGATTTATAAAGAAGGGTACATCAACAGTAGTTATTTGTTTTGACTTAACAGGTTCCACATCAGGGGAAAAGGTCAAATTTACAGTAACAATTATAGAAATATTACTGTAACTAATTTGTCCTGGCCAGACATGTTCACAGAAAGTTGATATGTTGGGTACAACTTAGCAACACAACAGATATGCCCTGAATCATGTATGATCATTGAAGCACTTGTTTATTTGTTGTTAACAATAAACTGTACTGAAATGTCAGGAATATTGTCAAATCCTATATTTTTGTTGGGTTCAAATTTCATGTTTTTCCAAGACAGGAGTAAACATTGACATTTGATTTCGTTGATGAATAGTAGGTACTCACGAAATCTACTAGTGCTTAGATAATCCTTCATCAATTATTGTTTTGTTTTGTAACTTTACCACAGACATAAAAATTCATTGAACTGATGCTACTCACGATATCAACCAAAATAAATACCTAACGGAAAATAAAGGATTTGACAGTATTTTATTTTTATGTGAAGTCCCAACATAACAAATCTCTAGCATGTCTGGCTGGTATAGATACTTTACAAAGTCTTGGCTGATTACTTTGATACATTTCAGTGATCATATAAGAAGTACATCTTAATATTTAGCTGAAACAAAAATAAGATTTCATATTAATTTCCATTCAGTGTCAACTGTGTATAGAAACTTTCAAGGAATATTACTTTTCTGTAAAAATAATGTCTGATGAAAATTTTATATTACCACAAAAATATAATCATGAGAAAACGTGATCTAAATCAGGAAAGTGAGAGAACCAGTTTGTTGTCAATAACATATAAAACAGAATGCCTTATGGTATGTTACACTACAAAAGTTTTTGTTGTCATGTTTCCATGGTTACCAGTGATATGTCTGTATCCACGGTAAAATGTGTTTGAAGAAAAGCTTGCTATGTACTTGCTGTATTTCCTTGGTTACACCAATCAATCAATCTTTGTAGATCTAAGATTATCTCCCCTTGTATATGTTAGCATTTGCATGTTTATTTATTATCTGATCAAGTTTTATAAGTAAAACAACATAATCCTTCCTCTGTGTTGATATTTTTTGTGCATTGTGACTGTATTCCAAGTGGTAATTTTCTTGTCTTCTGAGATAAAGTCTCATGCATCCCTTACTTTTAACATTTTCGACTTCTTCTGGAAAACCCCTAAATCGATTTCTATACAAATTTGCAGAAACCTTCCATATTGCCAAAGGCACACCATAATTGTAAATCATATGGTCCCTATCCCCCAGGGGCCTGAGAGGTGGGGTCAAAACAGTCGAATTGATCGAAATTTTTGTCTTCTGAAGAGTTTATATAGAAAAGTTACATTTTTAGATGTAATTTCTATTAATTCAAATTTGGTTGGAAGTCTTAGCATGGAACAGATGTTAATGTTAAGTACAGTTAACATTTGGATTACCTATACATACAGTTCAGGTTGTTTTACCTTTTTTTGTCAATATTATTTTTGTGACCATTACAAGAAGCATTGTAACTCTGGAGACCATTCAGGCCCTTGGGCCTTTTGCTCCTGGACAACAGAGCTTCAGGCCCTTGGGCCTTTTGCTCCTGGACAACAGAGCTTCAGGCCCTTGGGCCTTTTGCTCCTGGACAACAGAGCTTGACACACTGGTTGCTGCTTTTGGATGTATTGAATTGCTGAATGATAATGCTGGAATCACTGACGAGCTAATTAATTTTGTTAAAAGTGTTGAGACACTTGTTGATGCTGGCTGCACTGAGACAATGATTTAGTATTCTGGGAGTATTCAGATAATAATGATGATTCTGTGAGTATTGAGACAATAATGATGATTCTGGGAGTATTGAGACAATAATGATGATTTTGGGAATATTGAGACGATAATGATGATTCTGGGAGTATTGAGACGATAATGATGATTCTGGGAGTATTGAGACGATAATGATGATTCTGGGAGTATTGAGACAATAATGATGATTTTGGGAGTATTGAGACAATAATGATGATTCTGGGAGTATTGAGACGATAATGATGATTCTGGGAGTATTGAGACAATAATGATGATTCTGGGAGTATTGAGACACTAATGATGATTCTGGGAGTATTGAGACGATAATGATGAACGATCAGACAATGAGAAAATAACCTTAGCAGTGTACCTCTTTTCAAAGAATCCATAAGCATCTTTAAATTCACATGCTAATTAATTAATGGTACTTCATGATATTTTGGTACCTCTTAAAATCTACGTTACTCATAACCTGCATAAGTCATGCTAGATTGTTATGCGTTTTGTATTTTACGGAATTGCGTGAAAACGATATTATTCGTGGGTGTAAATTACGCCCCGAAATAATACCGATGAGATTACACAAACATTATTTTTTTTAAAAAATCCACAAATATTTGGCTTTTGTATAATGAATTTGTATTAAAGCTTGTTCAAACTTGATAATAATTAAATTTCAATATTTCGAATGAGAAATTCTGTCTGGATCTTCGATTTTTTTTCAACGTTGTTCTGAATGGAGTCATATACGGACTATTTGTATCATGATTACACCACAGACAGGTGTATCATGGTTACACCACAGACGAAGGTTTCACACCTTCGAAGTCCTGCCATTATCTAAAAAAAACATTCAGTCTTTTGTATCGCCAGAGGTCTAATGTCATTTGAAATTAAGCTCGTTGCGTTGTAGAATTCAAATCAAAGCCTAGTCTAAATTGTTCTGACGTTCTGTCGACTTTTGAGTTTGACTCAATGCTGGTATTTAAAAGTTCTACTCAATGTTGGTATTTAAAAGTTCAACTCCGTGACGATATAAAAGTTAAAACTACATGACGATAGATAAAAGTTCTACTCCATGAGGATATATAAAAGTTCAACTCCATGACGATATAAAAGTTCAACTCCATCATGACGATATAAAAGTTCAACTCCATGACGATATAAAAGTTCAACTCCATGACGATATAAAAGTTCAACTCCATCATGACGATATAAAAGTTCAACTCCATGACGATATAAAAGTTCAACTCCATCATGACGATATAAAAGTTCAACTCCATCATGACGATATAAAAGTTCAACTCCATCATAACGATATAAAAGTTCAACTCCATCATGACGATATCAAAGTTCAACTCAATGACGATATAAAAGTTCAACTCCATCATGACGATATAAAAGTTCAACTCCATGACGATATAAAAGTTCAACTCCATCATAACGATATAAAAGTTCAACTCCATGACGATATAAAAGTTCAACTCCATCATGACGATATAAAAGTTCAACTCCATGACGATATAAAAGTTTAACTCCATGACGATATCAAAGTTCAACTCAATGACGATATAAAAGTTCAACTCCATCATGACGATATAAAAGTTCAACTCCATGACGATATAAAAGTTCAACTCCATCATAACGATATAAAAGTTCAACTCCATGACGATATAAAAGTTCAACTCCATCATGACGATATGAAAATTCAACTCCATCATAACGATATAAAAGTTCAACTCCATCATGACGATATCAAAGTTCAACTCAATGACGATATAAAAGTTCAACTCCATCATGACGATATAAAAGTTCAACTCAATGACCATGTATAAAATTCATGTGAATGTCATAATAATTTGGACTAAACTAATTTTAATGTCATTTATGCAAACCAGAAATGTAATTAGTTTTGCTTAAAACACTCACAGACAATAGATTATTAGACGGTACAACGCTCTCTACAGCCATGACGGTAAGTTACACGATGAGAGGTATACTGTAGGGACTTTGATGTGTTAGTTCTAACGCCCATCATCTCGTCTGTAGTTGTATCAAACGATCGAAAAATGACTAAAACAAAATACAAAACTAATAAGAAATATTAAACTGTAAAGTTAATGATAAGAAATAACTATAACTGACCCTCAATGGTTTCCATAGGAAACTGCAGTTAACGTGTAAACGAAAGATGGTTTCACCCAATTTTATCTGCAATAAAATTTTACATGTCGATACAGTAAACCAACATGCTAGATATCCTCTGCCAAACGGTCATGGCTTTATTGTACGCAAACTTTTCGGTATTTTTTCTTCTTGTCTTCGTACGATACGCTCTTAAATGAGTTCACTAAAGCTAAAACATCATAGGTAATTCTTGGAAGTAATCTAATTCAACGGATACAAAATACGCTAGTTATTGTGAACAAAAACTTTATATAATTGATACCACTTAAAGGTAAACCTAGCGTCAATATTGTCCCACCTGTCCCTATAAATCTCCTAGTGGATATATTTAACAATTGTATGCTCTATCAATAGACTTCAGGTAAAATTTAAATAACGTTATTGAAATAGCTTTAGATTTATTCATATCTGGTTGGCTTGATCTGTCCATATACCAAAAATAACCATATTTTTTTTTAATGTGCATAAAATAAAGACAAAATTTCAAGTTTTAATACTTCATATTTCTATCATGTATTTGTGAGCCTATTCAAGATTTTTTTTTCTTGTTTCGAGTTCTCGTGGCACGCTACCCAGTTATGCCCAGTTTATGTTTGTAAAATGTGTTGGGGTAAAGGACATTGATAATGTTGTTATACCTTGTGCCCAGTTCTCTTGTCACCGTTTTGACAAAGAAATTTCACGAAATTATAATCTTTGTAATAAAACTTTTCTGATATATCTTGTAATCTTACAGACCTCATCGGCCTGTCATTTTCTCTTGAGCTCCATCGTTTTCCTGAAGTTGTTAAGATTCAACCAGTTCAGTTTCCGTTTCTTTAATACTCTCATTGAGCCACACAACCTTACTCGACATGTGACTAAAATGTGTATAACAATTATATCATTCAAACCATATTAATTACCAGCGTAGAAATTCGTTGTGTACATATTGTAAGGTGAATTTCTGACCACATTACGTTGAGATATTACCAGACATCTAGTGTAGGTGTCCATAGAAATATCGGTCGCTGAGGATTAAAAAGCTCTTCCATACAACTACAATATTATTGGGATCGCACACAGATAGATGTTTTATGCTGATGGTAATTATGATGTTGCATTCATAAGACAATGAACAGAGCAATAAAAAAAAAAAACACTTTTATATTTGATTGTATTCACTTATTTTGGAGAGGTCATCATCCAGAATCCGTATGAATAGGCTGGAAAATTCACATTCACAATATAATGTTTAGCATTGGCGTGCTATAACTTATTTACGTCACAGACAGTAAGAAAGTCTACTTATGATGAAATTGTTCCAATATTTAGACAACACAATTAGAGATTTCCATTTGACTAGTTCAAACTGGAGCCAATGATTTGGTTATTTTAGGGTATTAATATTGTGTGAGAAATAACATTATTTCACTAACGTTTGCATTAACATACGATGCTTATCTCAGATAATTATGTCAGTAGACCTGTGCGGACTTTGACAGTCCGTGGTCGGACAGTTCAGGACAAATCGACTGTAATGCTTGTTAGAAATGAAATACACTCTTTTGAATAATTTCCTTATAAATGTCAAAAATACAAGATTAGCATTAAATCTACAAGTTTTCAGCTTGATTTAGCCAGTCTTTCTCATTGTCAAATTGTTAAGGGATAAAATACCGAAATAATAATAAGAAGAAATTATCAACGAAAACAGCTTGTGGACCGGACCTGGTATTTGGAACCTGGCCTTTAGTATACAAATACAATAAAATAATTTTGAATCATTTGAATACTATCAAATTGAACATTCCTAAATAACCACATTAAAATAGTGCTAGAATGTCATCCTGAACAACTAGCATGACGTTGTGCACTTAGCAAATGATAACATTAATATCACATTTGTGATGACAGCGTTGAATGAAAGCTGCTGATGCGAAAAAATTATCGTCGACAGCGAGACTGCTTGGTACACTTTATTTGCAAATACTTGGAAATAAGAAAATAGGAAAATCAAAGGAAAAAATCACTCACGCACAAAAATACGAACATTTCAATACATTATGTCATTCAAAGAATTGTACATAAGCACAACTTGGAGTGGGTGTGTAATGCTTTCCGCGAGATCTCGTTCCAAACGTTATTTGAGCTTGACTTAGTGGACAGCCATATTGGAAAATAGATTCAATGCTGGGTGTGATATTCAATGAAGATTACCTAGACGATACGTATTTTTCATAGCCAACTGGCTTATAAATGCAACAATGAATTGGGGAATAGAGTTATGGGTAAGTCATCATGTAAGCAGTAGTATTTCCGGAAGCGTAAGCAAAATCGTATCATGTTTACATTTAAGCAGGAAGCGATCGTCGTTTGTTCTTGTATCGAGTTGTCAACTCGGACGTCTGGCGACGGTTCATTCTGCTGGACGATAGCGTACGGACAATTGAAAGAACACATATGCGAAACATAGTGTGTGTAAACAACGTAATTGCTTATTTGGTGCTTTATAAAGTCGATAAAACGGAACGCATGTAATATATCTAATGAATGTCGATACATGGTCAATGTTAGTTTTACACTAACTTCCTGTCAGCCGACCGTCAATATGTATATGTCAACAGTTTATCACTTAACGCTCTTTCGTCGGTTATTTAGATTAATCCATGCCCATTTCATTAATTTCTGTGTATCCAGATATCTCAAAGTCTTAACCAATAACAGAATAAGTTGCTTGTACAAATATCTAAAGTAAAATTTAGGCCTTGTCTAAAGACGGGACAGAGATATGTTCAGATGCAGGGTATTAAGAGCGATACATTACCTGCATAATTACATTTAGATGGTTGGTTAATTGATGAAAATCTATTCTTTCACCTGCACAGTCATGTCCTAGCAACATGAGAGAGTTTGTGATAGCCATATCCCTGCCACTATGTCTGCATGTGTATGTGGTCTTGCCCATGCAGTGTCATAACATTGTCAGACTTTTGGCTCAGTATCTGGTGTGAACCTGTCTTCCAACAATGACCAGAAAAATACTGGTGTGAGGCAGAATAAACAGAAACATTTATTGTGAATTTGATGACGATAACCAGGAATTTATTTGGTTGTCTCATAACCCACCATTTGCACAGATAAAGGATACTTGATGCAGTTCACAAGGTGCATTAACTCATGCATTTTCCCTTTGGTACCAAATTTCATGACTCTAAATATTGTAAACCTGACATGCTGCTTCACTGTGGAACACATTTGAAATGTCCCATTACAATGAAGTGATTGGGTATAATCAGTAAAGTACCACAACTGGCAACAAATCAATCAAAATTGGAGAAAAAAACTGTATTGTTGAGTACTACAATTTTATAAAAAAAAAAAATCTGCATCACTAACTGATATTGTGATGGATTTTATTTTTTTTCTTCTTTAAAATTGATATCATTATGAATTTTTGAGCCATGTGTTCATGATCAGTGTACCATCATCTGACATTCCATATTACTTACACACAACATGAATTTTACCTACATGTATAAAAATTAGCAAAATTTGATGTTAACTACAGCAACTGTATCCCCAAATAGCCTGATTTTACTGAATACAGAATAATCAGATTTTTAACTACAGTGACAGTGTCCCTAGTCTGATCTTACTGAATACTGTAATGAACAGATTTTTAACTAAGTGACCATGTCTCTAGTCTGATCTTACTGAACATTGTAATAATCAGATTTTTAACTACAGTGACAGTATCTCTAGTTTGATTTTACTGAATACTATTTCCAATCAGTCAATATGACCTTGTCTGATAATAAGACAATGGTTTTCCATATCTTATATCCTTGTTAATTAGTAGAATTATAAAGAAGTCTCACCCCCTAATTTGACTATGACTTAGTATGTTGACTCCTCTGTCCCTGTATCACCCCCTTATTTGACTATGACTTAGTATGTTGACTCCTCTGTCCCCGTATCAACCCCTTATTTGACTATGACTTAGTATGTTGACTCCTCTGTCCCAGTATCAGTGTGTTGACTCCTTATTTGACTATGACTTAGTGTGTTGACTCCTCTGTCCCAGTATCACCTCCTTATTTGACTATGACTTAGTATGTTGACTCCTCTGTCCCAGTATCACCTCCTTATTTGACTATGACTTAGTATGTTGACTCCTCTGTCCCAGTATCACCCCCTTATTTGACTATGACTTAGTATGTTGACTCCTCTGTCCCTGTATCATCCCCTTATTTGACTATGACTTAGTATGTTGACTCCTCTGTCCCAGTATCACCCCCTTATTTGACTATGACTTAGTATGTTGACTCCTCTGTCCCAGTATCACCTCCTTATTTGACTATGACTTAGTGTGTTGACTCCTCTGTCCCAGTATCATCTCCTTATTTGACTATGACTTAGTGTGTTGACTCCTCTGTCCCAGTATCATCTCCTTATTTGACTATGACTTAGTGTGTTGACTCCTCTGTCCCAGTATCATCTCCTTATTTGACTATGACTTAGTGTGTTGACTCCTCTGTCCCAGTATCACCCCCTTATTTGACTATGCCTTAGTATGTTGACTCCTCTGTCCCAGTATCACCCCCTTATTTGACTATGACTTAGTGTGTTGACTCCTCTGTCCCAGTATCACCTCCTTATTTGACTATGACTTAGTATGTTGACTCCTCTGTCCCAGTATCACCCCCTTATTTGACTATGACTTAGTGTGTTGACTCCTCTGTCCCAGTATCACCTCCTTATTTGACTATGACTTAGTGTGTTGACTCCTCTGTCCCAGTATCACCTCCTTATTTGACTATGACTTAGTATGTTGACTCTTCTGTCCCAGTATCACCTCCTTATTGTTGACTGACTATGACTTGACTTAGTATGTTGACTCCTCTGTCCCAGTATCACCCCCTTATTTGACTATGACTTAGTGTGTTGACTCCTCTGTCCCAGTATCACCTCCTTATTTGACTATGACTTAGTGTGTTGACTCCTCTGTCCCAGTATCACCCCCTTATTTGACTATGACTTAGTATGTTGACTCCTCTGTCCCAGTATCACCTCCTTATTTGACTATTACTTAGTATGTTGACTCCTCTGTCCCAGTATCACCTCCTTATTTGATCTACAGAACTGAGATTATTTTGGGATTATTTTATTCATTTTCCCCTAAATTTTCAGATAAGTTATTCATGGTTTGAAATACACTTGAATCCCTTGGTCAAACCAACCAGAAAGACTATGATAATGTGTCATTATAAATAAATTAATAATACTGTTTCATTTAAAATTGAGGTCAATATGTTTTGACTATATATATGTATTTATTTAAACGTATACATCCAAATTACAAGTTCCAGTTGTTGAGAGTTTGTGTACTTTGGTTATGCCTGTATCAAATTCTGTTCAAAACCAGGAAGTGCCTCAGAAATTCAAGTGCTTTTAGTGTTGAGTGTCAACATAGATATAATGATCAGTGGAGGTAAAAGAATGACTATATTTTCCATGCCATTATGTACTAAAAACAAGATGTAATTCACAGTTAATTTTTATCTTCACATACACAACTCCAATGCTCTGAAAAGAGTAACCAGTGATATTTGTTTGCCCTATTTCCCCCCCCCCCACCCTAGTCAAAATTTGTTATTTTCCCAAAATGAAACAAAATACAAAAACATTTTTTCAGTTTTTCTGAAAATCCCTGTTCAATAAGGCATAGGCTGCTTTAAAATCAATGTAGAAAAACACTGGTAACATTTAACACTGAGTTTTGTATAGTGCTGGAACATTTGGAGTCTTGTGTTTGGTATGGAATGGGTTTTGTTTCATGGTGTGGGTACTTTGGGTCATCATTATTATGTTTGACACTCCAGACATTTTGAGTCCTCTGTCTTGTATGGGATGGGTTTAATTTCACAGTGTAGGTACTATTGATGGTAATTTATATCTTGAACACTTCAGATATTTGGAGTCCTGTGTTTGGTATGGGATGAATTTAATTTCACAGTGTGGTTACTATGAGTCATCATTAATATGTTGGACACCCCAGATATTTTGTCCGGTGAGGGTATGGGTTGGGTTTAATTTCAAAATATGGGTACTATGGGTCATCATTAATATGTTGGACACCCCAGATATTGTGTCCTGTGTTTGGTATGAGATGGGTTTCACAGTGTAGGTACTAAGGGTCATCATTAATATGTTGGGACACTCCAGATATTTTGTCCTGTGTTTGGTATGAGATTGGTTTAATGTTATGCATTCACATGGATGGATTAATTCATTATATCAGTGGTGTAGATAGAAGTGTGAACATAAGTAAACTACATTAGTATATATAATTGATACAGGAAAATAGTCATATTTCAACAAGGAAGTGAGTATCATTTTACTGCCGGATTAGAAATCTATTGAATTAGAATTGTATACACAGATTTAACAAAGAAATTATTGGTTTCTACTTAGAAACAGTATTATTGTATTTAAAAGTTGTAGTTTGTTTAATATGCAGGATGTACAGCTATAAAGTCTTTTTTTTAAGGACCCTTATCAGCCTGAACTGAATTTCTATACATGTATTGGTCCCATTTTTATATCTGATTGTTGAAGTAGACTACATCATGTTGACATATTTTGGTAGTCTATTGGTATATATGTAATACGTTTGAGGCAGTAGGTCATTTTTTCATTTTTGCACTATGTTAATCATTGACTCAGATTATTAATGGTATATGGCTCTCAGTTGACCTTGGATGTGTTGGAGGCTTTGTTCTAATGGTTTTGTCAACCCCTACTCAGATACTGCATCACACATTATTATAAAGATTATAGGAAACCCTTACTGATACATTAAATTACAAGACATGTGACATAACACATACAACTCCGTTTTTAATTTTACAGTCTTGCTTTTCCCCAACAATTTGTTAATTGGTCCTGTGATACGGGGTTTGTTGTGTATCAGTAGGCACCATCAATCTCATTACGACTTCTATTACAAAGCTCTTACATTATGATGAGATGCTTTTTACAGTGATTAAATATGACAAAGAGCAGAAAAAATCGCACTGGCTCGTTACCAGATTCCTATCTCTGTGTTTGTGGAACACTGGACTGGAGTAAGGACAGGTGTTAGCTAAATCTCTACAGCTGAGATATCACAGATAGTCTGCTACAGTAGAGAGGAATTCTGTACATGTAACAGCTGATCTTAGACTGCTTTACATTCTCACTATATGTTCTACAGCTGTTTTGATAAAGTTCACTAGCTAAGAGATGCCTTTCTTATGCCAGTAGCAAGCCGATAGCATATCCTTTCCATTTTACTTTCCTTGACATTTGTTTAAATCTCTGGAATTATTGGAAGGTGATTATCTTTTCTGGGTTGTGCATAGTGTATCTGAATGTTTTGTAATGTGTAATTATACACTTCAGATCTACTTCTATAGGCACTAATACTAATTAATTAGTTGTATCCAGTGTCTTCCATTATAAACCGTAGTATACATCATTAGCTAGGTCCAGTATTGTTACCCCAGACAATGTGGATACATGGCCCCAGACCCTATGCATCAATAAAAAAAATGTTTAAGAATGCATTTTATTTTGTTTTTGGTACCATAGGTATCCATTAATTCAGCCTGAGGCCTTAGTATACCCATGAGAGTATGTTTTTCACATGTAAAAGAATTTTTATGTGGCTTCATAAATTGGGAATTGTCAATTGCAATGGTCAGATGAATTACCTTAACCTTTCACACAGCCACTAGTTAACTTTCTGGCCTCAGTTAACCTTTCCCACAGCCACTCGTTAACTTTCTGGCCTCAGGTAACCTTTCACACAGCCACTCGTTAACTTTCTGGCCTCAGGTAACCTTTCACACAGCCACTAGTTAACTTTCTGGCCTCAGGTAACCTTTCACACAGCCATTAGTTAACTTTCTGGCCTCAGGTAACCTTTCACACAGCCACTAGTTAACTTTCTGGCCTCAGGTAACCTTTCACACAGCCACTAGTTAACTTTCTGGCCTCAGGTAACCTTTCACACAGCCACTAGTTAACTTTCTGGCCTCAGGTAACCTTTCACACAGCCACTAGTTAACTTTCTGGCCTCAGGTAACCTTTCACACAGCCACTAGTTAACTTTCTGGCCTCAGGTAACCTTTCACACAGCCACTAGTTAACTTTCTGGCCTCAGGTAACCTTTCACACAGCCACTAGTTAACTTTCTGGCCTCAGGTAACCTTTCACACAGCCACTAGTTAACTTTCTGGCCTCAGGTAACCTTTCACACAGCCACTAGATAACTTTTTGGCCTCAGGTAACCTTTCACACAGCCACTAGTTAACTTTCTGGCCTCAGGTAACCTTTCACACAGCCACTAGATAACTTTCTGGCCTCAGGTAACCTTTCACACAGCCACTAGTTAACTTTCTGGCCTCAGGTAACCTTTCACACAGCCAAACTTTCTGGCCTCAGGTAACCTTTCACACAGCCACTAGTTAACTTTCTGGCCTCAGGTAACCTTTCACACAGCCACTAGATAACTTTTTGGCCTCAGGTCTTCTCTTTAAATGAACATCAACATATCCTCCCCTGATAAATTGAAACTAATCGTAATTAGCCATATTGTCTCATGCACAGTTCACGAATATATCAACCATGAAATCTGATACAGTATTATAATTACAAGTGTATTAGATGTCAAGCACACCCTTCAGTTTAATATGTTGGACTGAATTATCTGGATTGTGCATGTGTTCTTGTGGACATACTCTTGCATGTGTAGGTCTTTGAGTGGTCACTGTGGAACAGTGTCCACACGACCAATAAACTTTGTTGTTTTACTTTCTCATCAGTAAAATACATCAGTCTGACTCGTTTTATTGGTATGATGGAATAATCCTGTTGGTATGATGTAAACAAAAGCTTGCAGCTGGAAAACATACTTGTCATAGTGATATAGGCACCAAACAAAGTAGAGGTCAGCAACTTATAATGGCTTGAAGGGAAACACGCAATTATATTGCTAGTCTGACATTGTATACATATGGGCACCACATGAAATACACTGGATTTTAGATTTGTATATAATTCTTGTGTTTCACCGTAGACGTTATGCAGAACTGTTTAAAAGAGTTGCACATAAAGTCACAAGTGACTTAGTCATTACACTGCTCGTTTGGGGAGGTGGGTGGGGATAGGGGTTATTGAGTGCTTATTATGTCAGCTGATGCATGAAATAATTTAGAACAAGAGTACCAATATACAGATCATGACATTATGAGACCCAATCTCAAATAAAATCAAATACACATCTTTCATAATATGTCCAAGTTACCAGAATGTACATGTTATTTATTGACTCCTTAAACTTTCCATCCCAGTTGGTCAGTTTTCTTCCCAAACTGATATAAAAAGGCCCTTTCCTAAACGAGAGGAGCAAACTCCTGCAGTTGATCTCCATTATTTATAAACATTAAGATATCTTGACTAAACTCATGGCCTGGGCTTGTACTTGATGTGGTGTCACTCATCACTGTCTGATATAACACCAGACATTTATTGATTTAAGTTTTGAGATGACTGTACTGTATAATATTACCATTTTGTTTCAGGATCAGTATGACATCATAGCAGATCACACGCAGAAGGGGATAGATTTTTGTGAGAAGTATCATCACTTTCTCAAAGAAAGATGTACTATAGAATTTGAATATGCCAATAAACTCAAGTAAGTAAATTCAGGCTGTTCATTATCAACTTTAAAGTGCTTTCGCTTCTGCTTTATAGATTTGTGTCTTCAATTGCAGTAAAAAATTTCTGGTATGTTCAGACCACCGTTTCAAAAATTTTGGTGAGACCAGGACTCAGATGTTTTAGTCCTAGAAGTCATTGGTCATGAATTGCTTTTGGTTTTTGACGAGTCAGCGATGGCGATGCGATTTTAATTGTACTTTATGTAAGACAATTATCATTTTTCATCAGTAATGTGCGTATATCACAATAATGAAGAATGAACATGTGGATACATCTCGAAGTAAATGATTGGTTATATCTTGATGAGATATTTGTTATGTATTCATTATGCTATTAATTGTAGGAAATTAGTCAAGAATTATCAGCCAAGGAAAAAAGATGAAGATGAATATCAGTGAGTATTGTATTTGACCAGTTCAGATTCAGAAACGTTTGTTTTTGGCTATATTACAACTGGAGTTTTGTTACATGTAAGGTGATCCTGTAGAAATCAGCTGTGTATGTTGTTAAATTTTCTCCACATCCTGTTGTAGATATTATTAATGAGCATGACTAGTCCTAAAATCATTATAAAATTTAAAAATCCAGATGAAAATAACTTTTTGATCACAGAGTTAGGGGCTAGTGGAATCAGACTTTTTTACACACTTTATTCTATATTCAATACATGGGGCTTATGAAGGCAGACTAGAAAAAACTTTCTATACTCCATATGCTATATTCTGTACACTGGGGCTTGTGGAATCAGACTTTAGAAAGACTTTCTATTCTATAAACTGGGGCTTGTGGAATCAGCCTTTAGAAAGACTTTCTATTCTATAAACTGGGGCTTGTGGAATCAGACTTTAGAAAGACTTTCTATTCTATAAACTGGGGCTTGTGGAATCAGACTTTAGGAAGACTTTCTATTCTATAAACTGGGGCATGTGGAATCAGCCTTTAGAAAGACTTTCTATTCTATATACTGGGGCTTGTGGAATCAGACTTTAGAAAGACTTTCTATTCTATATACTGGGGCTTGTAGAATCAGCCTTTAGAATGACTTTCTATACTATATACTGGGGCTTGTGGAATCAGCCTTTAGAAAGACTTTCCATTCTATATATTCTATATACTGGGGCATGTGGAATCAGACTTTAGAAAGACTTTCTATTCTTTATATTCTATATACTGGGGCTTGTGGAATCAGCCTTTAGAAAGACTTTCTATTCTATATATTCTATATACTGGGGCTTGTGGAATCAGCCTTTAGAAAGACTTTCTATTCTATATACTGGGGCATGTGGAATCAGCCTTTAGAAAGACTTTCTATTCTATATATTCTATATACTGGGGCTTGTGGAATCAGACTTTAGAAAGACTTTCTATTCTATATACTGGGGCTTGTGGAATCAGACTTTAGAAAGACTTTCTATTCTATATACTGGGGCATGTGGAATCAGACTTTAGAAAGACTTTCTATTCTATATACTGGGGCATGTGGAATCAGACTTTAGAAAGACTTTCTATTCTATATACTGGGGCATGTGGAATCAGACTTTAGAAAGACTTTCTATTCTATATACTGGGGCTTGTGGAATCAGCCTTTAGAAAGACTTTCTATTCTATATACTGGGACATGTGGAATCAGACTTTAGAAAGACTTTCTATTCTATATACTGGGGCATGTGGAATCAGACTTTAGAAAGACTTTCTATTCTATATACTGGGGCTTGTGGAATCAGACTTTAGAAAGACTTTCTATTCTATATACTGGGGCTTGTGGAATCAGACTTTAGAAAGACTTTCTATTCTATATACTGGGGCATGTGGAATCAGACTTTATAAAGACTTTCTATTCTATATACTGGGGCATGTGGAATCAGACTTTAGAAAGACTTTCTATTCTATATACTGGGGCTTGTGGAATCAGCCTTTAGAAAGACTTTCTATTCTATATACTGGGGCTTGTGGAATCAGACTTTAGAAAGACTTTCTATTCTATATATTCTATATACTGGGGCATGTGGAATCAGACTTTAGAAAGACTTTCTATTCTATATATTCTATATACTGGGGCTAGCACTGTACACAGGTACATGTAGGACTTACTATATTTCAGATGATTTTATATACACAGGGACATGTGGGACTTAATACATTTCAGATGATTTTATATACACAGGGACTTCAGGGACCTTTTACTTTTATGTGGATTTATACATAGGGGCATGTGGCACCTAATTTAAGAATGGCTGACATTCTTACATACACAGGTACTCCTGGGCGAATGGATTTCTGGACATGATCAAGGAGCTACATGATCTGGCTGGACAACATGAAGTTATTGCAGAAAACACACAGAGCTCTGTCATCAAGGAGCTGCAAGCCCTTGTCGCTGAACTCAAGGCAGACCGTAAAAAGGTATGACCTATGTAACCAAACTAATTTTACTGATGTCTCTCATTGTTTGTGATCTTACAATACAAGGAACTTTCTACTGTGTCAATGTAAATTTGCTTATAAAGGTAACATGGCATGAATTCTGCATGGAATACTTTCCTTGAAATAAAACTTATTACATACATTATATTTATATAACATACCTGCTGTTATAAAATTTTCTATGGTCACCTGTATTTCAACATCCGAAAAGTTCTCCCAAATTAAACGTGCATTAAATCTTGAGAAGTAATTTTACTCCAATTGCAACACATACTCTAAGAATCAGTTGTTAGTTAAATTTTTACTGTGACTGGATTTGCCCTAAAGCAAAGACATATTGGGTGATTCTAGCATGTGTCATGATTTGAGCAAGTAATGAAATGCCCAATATCAGGCCGACCTGATCAAGTGAGTTGGTGACTGATCATGTCTATACAGACTACAGATTCATCATTGAGTCATTCAGCCAGCTTTATAATAGTTGAAATACTGAACGAAAAATTTTGATTCGAGACTAAACAATAGCACAATCTCAAGATAACTATTGCTGTCTTTTATTTTTCGTCTCTAAAACCAGTAAAAAACATTGCATTTTCGACTATTGAAATCATGCTTCTGCTTTGCTTTATTGACAAGTATAAAAGTATAATTACATGCAACTTCCTATTTGGTATTTCAGGTAAATATTTTGAAAGGGCAAGAAACCCCACATTTTCATGTGTTTAAGATTGGAATACAGTTGTATTAGAAATGTAATTTTTGTACTGCTGTGGAAACATCAGAAATAAAAAAATATTGAAAAAAATGATAAATGAGGAATATCTATCTGATTTGTTTTTTATGTCTTTCAGTATCTGTTAGATGGATCTAAAGTACAGGAACAGCTGAAAGCATCAAAGACACAGTTAGAAAAGGTTTGTTATAAACAGCATGTCTGACAGGTGTAATATAACTGTTTATCAATTATTGTAAACATTTTGATTTTTAACAGCTGATATTGATAAATGTTAATAAATTGTTGATATCAGTCAGTTGAGTAGACCAAACAGTATAAAAATCTTTGTTTTCTTTTTATCAGTTGAGTAGACGACACAGTATTAAACTCTGTGCATTCTTTTTGTTTATAGAGTAGACGACAGTATGAAAAATCCTTTAAAGAGTCAGAAAAAGCTCTGGAGGCTTACCGCAAAGCTGACGCGGATATCAACCTATCTCGTGCCGAGGTGGAAAAGGTGAGCATAGGACCGCAAACCACACATTATAATAAATAGCAGACATCTACCATAAAATAAACAAAGGCCAAAGATAATAAAATGCCCACATCAGACACTTCAGAGGACTACATCAGACACTTCAGATGACTACATCAGACACGTCAGATAACTACATCAGACACTTCAGATGACTACATCAGACACTTCAAATGCCCACATCAGACACTTCAAATGCCCACATCAGACACTTCAGAGGACTACATCAGACACTTCAGAGGACTACATCAGACACTTCAGATGACTATATCAGACATGTCAGATAACTACATCAGACACTTCAGATGACTACATCAGACACTTCAAATGACAACATCAGACACTTCAGATGACTACAAGACACTTCAGAGGACTACATCAGACACTTCAGAGGACTACATCAGACACTTCAGATGAAAACATCAGACACTTCAGATGACTACATCAGACGCTTGAGAGGACTACATCAGATACTTCAGAGGACTACATCAGACACTTTAAATGGCAACATCAGACACTTCAAATGACAACATCAGACACTTTAAATGGCAACATCAGACACTTCAGATGACTACATCAGTCACTTCAGATGACAACATCAGTCACTTCAAATGACAACATCAGACACTTTAAATGGCAACATCAGACACTTCAGATGACAACATCAGTCACTTCAGATGACTACATCAGATACTTCAGATGACAACATCAGACACTTCAGATGACTACATCAGTCACTTCAGATGACAACATCAGACACTTCAGATGACAACATCAGACACTTCAGATGACAACATCAGACACTTCAGATGACAACATCAGACACTTCAGATGACAACATCAGACACTTCAGATGACTACATCAGACACTTCAGATGACTACATCAGACACTTCAGATGACTACATCAGACACTTCAGATGACTACATCAGTCACTTCAGATGACTACATCAGACACTTCAGATGACTACATCAGACGCTTGAGAGGACTACATCAGATACTTCAGAGGACTACATCAGACACTTCAGAGGACTACATCAGACACTTCAGATGACTACATCAGACACTTCAGAATTGTTTTTTTATGCAGATTTAAGAAAGTTAAAAACAAGAAAACTTTAAATTATTGTAGAATATCAAGTAGAATGGCAGCATTATTTCATATGTGAGATTTTGGTTTTCAGCAAGCGAAATATAAACAGTATCTAGAGGCGGTATGTAAACTTTTGTCCTTATACAGAAATATCAAAATCTCAAAGATCACATATGTATACAGGCAGCCAAGTCCAAACTATGAACAATACAGCCATTATAAAGACTACCCAGTCTCAGAGTAAGGCAGGAAATAGTTAGCTACTGTTACAATCAATCAATTGTAGTCAAAGGGACAGTGGTTGTTGGATTTGGAAGTACATTAGCAGTGTAAGGCAATATACACATCTAGATAGTAAAACAGTGGTGAGTAGAGTTGTGAGTTTGATATCAGTGTAAGACATAACATCTAGATAGTAAAACAATGGTCAGTAGAGTTGTGAGTTTGTTATCAGTGTAAGACATAACATCTAGATAGTAAAACAGTGGTGAGTTGAGTGGTGAGTTTGTTATCAGTGTAAGACATAACATCTAGATAGTAAAACAGTGGTGAGTGGAGTTGTGAGTTTGTTATCAGTGTAATACATTATACACATCTAGATAGTAAAATAGTGGTGAGTAGAGTTGTGAGTTTGTTATCAGTGTAAGACATAACATCTAGATAGTAAAACAGTGGTGAGTGGAGTTGTGAGTTTGTTATCAGTGTCAGACATTATACACATCTAGATAGTAAAACAGTGGTGAGTAGAGTTGTGAGTTTGTTATCAGTGTAATACATTATACACATCTAGATAGTAAAACAGTGGTTAGTAGAGTTGTGAGTTTGTTATCAGTGTCAGACATTATACACATCTAGATAGTAAAACAGTGGTGAGTGGAGTTGTGAGTTTGTTATCAGTGTCAGACATTATACACATCTAGATAGTAAAACAGTGGTGAGTAGAGTTGTGAGTTTGTTATCAGTGTAAGACATAACATCTAGATAGTAAAACAGTGGTGAGTGGAGTTGTGAGTTTGTTATCAGTGTCAGACATTATACACATCTAGATAGTAAAACAGTGGTGAGTAGAGTTGTGAGTTTGTTATCAGTGTAATACATTATACACATCTAGATAGTAAAACAGTGGTTAGTAGAGTTGTGAGTTTGTTATCAGTGTCAGACATTATACACATCTAGATAGTAAAACAGTGGTGAGTAGAGTTGTGAGTTTGTTATCAGTGTAATACATTATACACATCTAGATAGTAAAACAGTGGTGAGTAGAGTTGTGAGTTTGTTATCAGTGTAAGACATAACATCTAGATAGTAAAACAGTGGTGAGTAGAGTTGTGAGTTTGTTATCAGTGTAAGACATAACATCTAGATAGTAAAACAGTGGTGAGTAGAGTTGTGAGTTTGTTATCAGTGTAAGACATACACATCTAGATAGTAAAACAGTGGTGAGTAGAGTTGTGTGTTTGTTATCAGTGTAATACATTATACACATCTAGATAGTAAAACAGTGGTGAGTAGAGTTGTGTGTTTGTTATCAGTGTAATACATTATACACATCTAGATAGTAAAACAGTGGTGAGTAGAGTTGTGAGTTTGTTATCAGTATAATACATTATACACATCTAGATAGTAAAACAGTGGTGAGTAGAGTTGTGAGTTTGTTATCAGTGTAATACATTATACACATCTAGATAGTAAAACAGTGGTGAGTAGAGTTGTGAGTTTGTTATCAGTGTAAGACATACACATCTAGATAGTAAAACAGTGGTGAGTAGAGTTGTGAGTTTGTTATCAGTGTCAGACATTATACACATCTAGATAGTAAAACAGTGGTGAGTAGAGTTGTGAGTTTGTTATCAGTGTCAGACATAACATCTAGATAGTAAAACAGTGGTGAGTAGAGTTGTGAGTTTGTTATCAGTGTCAGACATTATACACATCTAGATAGTAAAACAATGGTCAGTAGAGTTGTGAGTTTGTTATCAGTGTAATACATTATACACATCTAGATAGTAAAACAGTGGTGAGTAGAGTTGTGAGTTTGTTATCAGTGTAAGACATAACATCTAGATAGTAAAACAGTGGTGAGTAGAGTTGTGAGTTTGTTATCAGTGTAAGACATAACATCTAGATAGTAAAACAGTGGTGAGTAGAGTTGTGAGTTTGTTATCAGTGTAATACATTATACACATCTAGATAGTAAAACAGTGGTGAGTAGAGTTGTGAGTTTGTTATCAGTGTAAGACATAACATCTAGATAGTAAAACAGTGGTGAGTAGAGTTGTGAGTTTGTTATCAGTGTAAGACATAACATCTAGATAGTAAAACAGTGGTGAGTAGAGTTGTGAGTTTGTTATCAGTGTAAGACATAACATCTAGATAGTAAAACAGTGGTGAGTAGAGTTGTGAGTTTGTTATCAGTGTAAGACATAACATCTAGATAGTAAAACAGTGGTGAGTAGAGTTGTGAGTTTGTTATCAGTGTAAGACATAACATCTAGATAGTAAAACAGTGGTGAGTAGAGTTGTGAGTTTGTTATCAGTGTAAGACATAACATCTAGATAGTAAAACAGTGGTGAGTGGAGTTGTGAGTTTGTTATCAGTGTAAGACATAACATCTAGATAGTAAAACAGTGGTGAGTAGAGTTGTGAGTTTGTTATCAGTGTAAGACATAACATCTAGATAGTAAAACAATGGTCAGTAGAGTTGTGAGTTTGTTATCAGTGTAATACATTATACACATCTAGATAGTAAAACAGTGGTGAGTAGAGTTGTGAGTTTGTTATCAGTGTAATACATTATACACATCTAGATAGTAAAACAGTGGTGAGTAGAGTTGTGAGTTTGTTATCAGTATAATACATTATACACATCTAGATAGTAAAACAGTGGTGAGTAGAGTTGTGAGTTTGTTATCAGTGTAATACATTATACACATCTAGATAGTAAAACAGTGGTGAGTAGAGTTGTGAGTTTGTTATCAGTGTAAGACATAACATCTAGATAGTAAAACAGTGGTGAGTAGAGTTGTGAGTTTGTTATCAGTGTAAGACATAACATCTAGATAGTAAAACAGTGGTGAGTAGAGTTGTGAGTTTGTTATCAGTGTAAGACATAACATCTAGATAGTAAAACAGTGGTGAGTAGAGTTGTGAGTTTGTTATCAGTGTAAGACATAACATCTAGATAGTAAAACAGTGGTGAGTAGAGTTGTGAGTTTGTTATCAGTGTAATACATTATACACATCTAGATAGTAAAACAGTGGTGAGTAGAGTTGTGAGTTTGTTATCAGTGTAAGACATAACATCTAGATAGTAAAACAGTGGTGAGTAGAGTTGTGAGTTTGTTATCAGTGTAATACATTATACACATCTAGATAGTAAAACAGTGGTGAGTAGAGTTGTGAGTTTGTTATCAGTGTAATACATTATACACATCTAGATAGTAAAACAGTGGTGAGTAGAGTTGTGAGTTTGTTATCAGTGTAAGACATAACATCTAGATAGTAAAACAGTGGTGAGTAGAGTTGTGAGTTTGTTATCAGTGTAAGACATAACATCTAGATAGTAAAACAGTGGTGAGTAGAGTTGTGAGTTTGTTATCAGTGTAATACATTATACACATCTAGATAGTAAAACAGTGGTGAGTAGAGTTGTGAGTTTGTTATCAGTGTAAGACATAACATCTAGATAGTAAAACAGTGGTGAGTAGAGTTGTGAGTTTGTTATCAGTGTAATACATTATACACATCTAGATAGTAAAACAGTGGTGAGTAGAGTTGTGAGTTTGTTATCAGTGTAAGACATAACATCTAGATAGTAAAACAGTGGTGAGTGGAGTTGTGAGTTTGTTATCAGTGTCAGACATTATACACATCTAGATAGTAAAACAGTGGTGAGTAGAGTTGTGAGTTTGTTATCAGTGTAAGACATAGCATCTAGATAGTAAAACAGTGGTGAGTAGAGTTGTGAGTTTGTTATCAGTGTAAGACATAACATCTAGATAGTAAAACAGTGGTGAGTAGAGTTGTGAGTTTGTTATCAGTGTAATACATTATACACATCTAGATAGTAAAACAGTGGTGAGTAGAGTTGTGAGTTTGTTATCAGTGTAATACATTATACACATCTAGATAGTAAAACAGTGGTGAGTAGAGTTGTGAGTTTGTTATCAGTGTAATACATTATACACATCTAGATAGTAAAACAGTGGTGAGTAGAGTTGTGAGTTTGTTATCAGTGTAATACATTATACACATCTAGATAGTAAAACAGTGGTGAGTAGAGTTGTGAGTTTGTTATCAGTGTAAGACATAACATCTAGATAGTAAAACAGTGGTGAGTAGAGTTGTGAGTTTGTTATCAGTGTAATACATTATACACATCTAGATAGTAAAACAGTGGTGAGTAGAGTTGTGAGTTTGTTATCAGTGTAAGACATAACATCTAGATAGTAAAACAGTGGTGAGTAGAGTTGTGAGTTTGTTATCAGTGTAAGACATAACATCTAGATAGTAAAACAGTGGTGAGTAGAGTTGTGAGTTTGTTATCAGTGTAAGACATAACATCTAGATAGTAAAACAGTGGTGAGTTGAGTGGTGAGTTTGTTATCAGTGTAAGACATAACATCTAGATAGTAAAACAGTGGTGAGTGGAGTTGTGAGTTTGTTATCAGTGTAATACATTATACACATCTAGATAGTAAAATAGTGGTGAGTAGAGTTGTGAGTTTGTTATCAGTGTAAGACATAACATCTAGATAGTAAAACAGTGGTGAGTTGAGTGGTGAGTTTTTTATCAGTGTAAGACATAACATCTAGATAGTAAAACAGTGGTGAGTAGAGTTGTGAGTTTGTTATCAGTGTAAGACATAACATCTAGATAGTAAAACAGTGGTGAGTGGAGTTGTGAGTTTGTTATCAGTGTAATACATTATACACATCTAGATAGTAAAATAGTGGTGAGTAGAGTTGTGAGTTTGTTATCAGTGTAATACATTATACACATCTAGATAGTAAAATAGTGGTGAGTAGAGTTGTGAGTTTGTTATCAGTGTAATACATTATACACATCTAGATAGTAAAACAGTGGTGAGTAGAGTTGTGTGTTTGTTATCAGTGTAATACATTATACACATCTAGATAGTAAAACAGTGGTGAGTAGAGTTGTGAGTTTGTTATCAGTGTAAGACATAACATCTAGATAGTAAAACAGTGGTGAGTGGAGTTGTGAGTTTGTTATCAGTGTCAGACATTATACACATCTAGATAGTAAAACAGTGGTGAGTAGAGTTGTGTGTTTGTTATCAGTGTAATACATTATACACATCTAGATAGTAAAACAGTGGTGAGTAGAGTTGTGTGTTTGTTATCAGTGTCAGACATTATACACATCTAGATAGTAAAACAGTGGTGAGTAGAGTTGTGTGTTTGTTATCAGTGTAATACATTATACACATCTAGATAGTAAAACAGTGGTGAGTAGAGTTGTGTGTTTGTTATCAGTGTAATACATTATACACATCTAGATAGTAAAACAGTGGTGAGTAGAGTTGTGAGTTTGTTATCAGTGTAAGACATAACATCTAGATAGTAAAACAGTGGTGAGTGGAGTTGTGAGTTTGTTATCAGTGTCAGACATTATACACATCTAGATAGTAAAACAGTGGTGAGTAGAGTTGTGTGTTTGTTATCAGTGTAATACATTATACACATCTAGATAGTAAAACAGTGGTGAGTAGAGTTGTGAGTTTGTTATCAGTGTAAGACATAACATCTAGATAGTAAAACAGTGGTGAGTGGAGTTGTGAGTTTGTTATCAGTGTCAGACATTATACACATCTAGATAGTAAAACAGTGGTGAGTAGAGTTGTGAGTTTGTTATCAGTGTAAGACATAACATCTAGATAGTAAAACAGTGGTGAGTAGAGTTGTGAGTTTGTTATCAGTGTAAGACATAACATCTAGATAGTAAAACAGTGGTGAGTAGAGTTGTGAGTTTGTTATCAGTGTAAGACATACACATCTAGATAGTAAAACAGTGGTGAGTAGAGTTGTGTGTTTGTTATCAGTGTAATACATTATACACATCTAGATAGTAAAATAGTGGTGAGTAGAGTTGTGAGTTTGTTATCAGTGTAATACATTATACACATCTAGATAGTAAAACAGTGGTGAGTAGAGTTGTGAGTTTGTTATCAGTGTAAGACATACACATCTAGATAGTAAAACAGTGGTGAGTAGAGTTGTGAGTTTGTTATCAGTGTAAGACATAACATCTAGATAGTAAAACAGTGGTGAGTAGAGTTGTGAGTTTGTTATCAGTGTAAGACATAACATCTAGATAGTAAAACAGTGGTGAGTAGAGTTGTGAGTTTGTTATCAGTGTAAGACATAACATCTAGATAGTAAAACAGTGGTCAGTAGAGTTGTGAGTTTGTTATCAGTGTAAGACATACACATCTAGATAGTAAAACAGTGGTGAGTAGAGTTGTGAGTTTGTTATCAGTGTAATACATTATACACATCTAGATAGTAAAACAGTGGTGAGTAGAGTTGTGAGTTTGTTATCAGTGTAATACATTATACACATCTAGATATTAAAACAGTGATGAGTAAAGTTATTGATCTGGTAGCAATGTTACACTTGGTACAAAGCTTTTTCTGGTGCCTCCAATACAAGTGTAAACTTCATAATCTCACTCGGCATTAGATCAGCAAGCACTCCATATGTTTCTATTCTATTATCATTCTTACTTTGCTATATTTGTTTATACCATTCCTTTTTCTCTTGCCAACATTAAACTTATGGGCAGTTTTTTGTGCCAATTTAAAAAAAAAGTAATTAAGCTATCAAGATAATTAATTTTGATTAATTAAAATGAAGGTATTGTAAAATTGTTATATTAAACTTGTACTGAAGTACATGGAAGTTAATAACTTAGAAACTAACAATAGAATAAGTTTGGCCTTTTGGTAAGGATACAACAGCTATGTCTAAACCAGGAGTTGTTGGGTTGCCATGCAGATGTTAAGCACAATGCTTTGATGAGCACACATATCATGCATATTACAAGGACATTTAAAGGATATGTAGAATCAATGGATTATGAATAGTAAATTTAGTTCAAGTGGTATAGGTCTGAGCATGGTCAAGTGTGAGTTATATTTAACATATCTGTTGTGATGTCTTGTAAATTAAAACTGAATACTTAGGGATGAAGAGATATCTACATTATGCCTATCTAGCGGTTTCGTTTTCCTGTGCACCTAATTGAGAACTTTATGTTTAGCTTGCTTAGTGGTTACTTTACACATTTGGCTTCCATGTAATTGGATCTTTATAAAATAGCAAAAAAACTACATAAAAAAATAATGCCAAATATATGCTTGGTATTAGACATGGCTTTGGACATTTTAATCAGATCTATGAGTGTAAATTTGGAAATCAGAGCAACATTGCATTTGTAGTTAATTACAGAAAAATGTTTCACTCCTTAATAGGACGTCTCATGTTGCTGGAGCTTATGGTGCAGTTTACTAACTAAATATTACCTAATGTTTTTTTTAGAAATCTTTATTTCTTGTATAATTCATTGCCTTGAATTATCAGCCATCCTTTCAGCTGTATATATTAATTATTTTTTGAAATTCAGTCTTTATTGTGTAAAGACTCCTCACCCTACCTAGTATCTGTAAATTTCCCTGTATCAGAAAAATTGTATGTTTCAATTGTATACCTTTTGTGTAGCTGACAACATATATAAACTTTATATTATATACTTGATGATATATAAAACTTCTGATAAATCAATTAGTAAATTATTTTAACTGATGTAATGCATGAATGTGTTTTTAAAGGAAAAAAAGTGTGAATGATTCCTAGTAGGATCTTGAGTTTGGTAAAGACAGACCTAGGTCTAGTAGCTCATCAGTTAATTCGTGAAACTGGTATTTTGAACCATGGCTTTATTGTTATGTGGCGTAAACTGATTAGTGCACACTGATTTGTTATGCTGAGGCTGTTGAATCTGAATCAGAAATCAATGTTACAAGTCAAATCAACTCGAGGAATCACCTCTACATCAGATGTTGAAAAAGTGAGTAATTCAGCACTAGTCTGAAAAAAATAGTTACCAATAGTTACAAACAGGAGATAATATAACACTGGGTTTGAGAATTTTTCACTGTAAATTGTAAATAGTTTGTTATTTAAAGAATTTATGTTCTAGATAAATTTAAAGGACAAAATGTTTTTGTCAATCACAGCATAGAAACCAGATGATGTTGAAAGGTCAACAGTGTGAGAAGTGTAAAAATGACTACGCTGCCCAACTCCAGCAGACAAACACCCAACAACGGGACCATTACACTGCACTCATGCCACAAGTCTTTCAGGTAAGTAGATAGTGAAAAGTGTAACATTGACTACATTGCCCAACTCCAGCAGACAAACACCCAACAACGGGACCATTACACCGCACTCATGTCACAAGTCTTTCAGGTAAGTAGATAGTGAAAAGTGTAACATTGACTACATTGCCCAACTCCAGCAGACAAACACCCAACAACGGGACCATTACACCGCACTCATGTCACAAGTCTTTCAGGTAAGTAGATAGTGAAAAGTGTAACATTGACTACATTGCCCAACTCCAGCAGACAAACACCCAACAACGGGACCACTACACCGCACTCATGCCACATGTCTTTCAGGTAAGTAGATAGTGAAAAGTGTAAAATTGACTATGCTGCCCAACTCCAGCAGACAAACACCCAACAACGGGACCACTACACCGCACTCATGTCAGAAGTCCTCAGATAACGATCTTCTTGTAATGTTTTCCTTTGTTCATAGTGCCACCCTTTTTTCATCTATTTTAAATCAGTGGTCAAAACATGGGTATATACATGAAAAGATGTAGATTTCTATTGTAATAATGATATATATCTCTAATGTAGTTAGGGTGTGTAGTCATCCTCTTTGTGATTGTCCATAGGAAAATCTTTCTGTCTATTCATATTTTATGACATAGTCTAGGATTTGCATCTATGATCCATGGCAACCAGAGAATATTGAAATTGTTGATGCTATTATCTGATTTTCACTGTCAACTATATGGTCACAAAATGTAGTGCACAAGTGAAATTTCTTTCGAACATCACAAAAATTGCCTGTTTTCAACTTGGAAGTATAACTGCAGATGCCAATGTAAATGTAAAGACAAGTCCTAGATATTATGCTGGAATTCAATTTTTATTCAATTATGTCTTACTTTTGGTCAAAACATTATAGGAGAACGTCCTTAAGACAGCCTGTTATTTGATATAAAACAGTGGTGTCCACCAAGTGAAAGTTATAAACGGTGAAAATTGGTGACCAGTGTCTGACCAACAGACCTTAGTAGGATACTCTGTAATTTATGACTGGAAAACTAGGCCCAATTCTAAAACTTTTTATGTTTTTTCAGCAACTACAACACATGGATGAGAATCGAATAAATCGACAACAAGAGTTTTTTAAGCAGTGTGCGAGTATAGAACGTAACGTGATACCTATCATTAATACTTGTATAGATGGCATGGAGAAAGCTGCGGGATCTATTGACGCCAAACAAGTAAGACTGGAGTTTCATGAAAAAACATTTTATCATATGTCTTGTAATTTTCCAACTTATGATATGGGAATAGATTTTGTTTTGTATGTGTTGTAACTGCTTTTTGATTGATTTTTCAAGGTCAAAGTTAACTGTGGTTTTGTTGGTGAAACAAGTGGTGAATAACACAGACAAATATATGATCTTGACTGGTACTCAAACTGTCACTGGTTGTTGAGATGAGAGAAGATTCCTGGATAAATGGTCTGTAATCAATTTTTTGTGACTTACAGGATTCCAAACTTGTGGTGGATAAATATAAGTCTGGCTTCCCAATGCCAGATGACATTCCTTTTGATGACCTTAGCAGTAGCCCTTTCCCTGAGTCCAATAGTAACCATCACAACACACCTGTTGGTACCACCAAGTCCAACACTTTTTCAGGGCGCAACAAAAACAAGCAGAAACGTGGTGGCATCATGAACTTGTTTAGTGGCTCAAAGGTAAATTTCATTTGTAACTTAATGCATTTTCCATTGTTTTTTCCTCTTCCATTTACTATCCGATGTTGTCTTTTTATTTTTTTTTTCAGTTACTCCAAACCATCAATATGAAATTATGTCTGAAAAACTTTGATGATCAAAATTGACAGATTGTTTTTTGTAAATATGTATTTCTGAAAGCCTTCATTTGAAAAAGGCAGTATAATTTTAGCAAAGGAACATATAAATCATATTTTTTAACAAGTGATTTTTCTTCACATGGTTCTGTAATTAAGACTAATGTAGTTTTGGAATAGTTATGGCGGTGATAATATCTTTTTCATGTAGCCTGTGGGTTTGAGACCTAATAATTATTTGATATATATGACTTTCATGCCACAATTTCTCCTGTCAATTTAATCTCTACTAGTTTTTAGCTCACCTTGCTGGAGGGCGAGGCCCAATAGGGGAAAAAGAGTAAATTCTTTTAAATCCTACTTCACCTGTAGGAATGATTTGATTATGTCCAAATGTGGTGTTAAGGATGCTTGGGGAAAAAGAAAATCAATTTGAAACAGTTGAGATCCCCAATCCATAACCATATATAGCAATGATGGGTATCAAGAGTTAAACACAATCATGATGTAAGAATTGGCCCTTGGGTCCAGCCACAACCCTTGAAACATAGTTTCTTGGTTATGTCTTTGTAACAGTTGAGATCCCCAATCTATAACCATATATATATATATATATATGTATATATATATATATATATATATATATAGCAATGATGGGTATCAAGAGTTAAACACAATCATGATATAGGAATTGACCCTGGTGTCAGGGCTTACTCCAAGGGACCCACTTTCTTGGTAATATCTTTGAAACAGTTGAGATCCCTGCCTCTAAACTATATATAGCAATGCTGGGTATCAAAAGATAAATATGTTTATGATGTGAGAACTGGCCCTTTGGTGTGTCACCCCTTTTGATCTAATTTCTAGATTATATCTTTGAAACAGTTGAAATCTCCACCCCATTACCATATATATAGAATTTCTTGGCAACAAGAGATAAACACATTTGTTACGTAAGAATTGACCCTTGGGTGTGGCATTCCTCTAGGGACATTATTTCAATGTCATATTTTTGACATAGCTGAGATACCAACCCGATAACCATGTAAATTTTACTGGGCAACAAAAGAGAAAGACAGTCATGATTTAAGAATTTTCCCATTGTTTCCCATTGCTGGGTTTTAAGATCCAGGTGAGCGACACAGGCCATGTGGTTCTCTTGTTTGTATTTGTAAATCTTCTGACATAGTTTTTATCATGTAGAAAGTGTTATTTACATTATTACACAAATTTTAAGGCTGATTCTATAGATACTTACTGTGAGAATGTTGAGATTTAAAAATAATTTAAACTTTTTCATTGAATTGAAATCATACACAAATGAATGATAAGTGCTCCAAGCTAACAATGTTCATTACATAGTACAGGCCAAATTTTCTGAGCTAAAACAAGTTTCCCATCAGTTAGCTGGTATGCTAATTAATGTTTGATCTAAATGATGAGTTTAATTGTCATCAATATTCTGCTCATGTGTACACGTCATCAAAGTTGTTAAATGTTGTATTTTGCATTGATGGTTGTTTGGCTATGTATCTACAAACCCTGGATGTTGTAATTGTATACGATATACGTCCGTTATAGCTTCAGTGATTAGTAACATTGTCACTTATTTCAATATTAAACAAATACATTTTCTGCTTGAAATAATCATAAATTTTTTTAGTGTCGATAGAGAAAATATGATTGCTTACCTATAATTATGTTAAAGAAATATGGCATTTATAACATGTTTGAATATGTGTTGTAGAACTTAGTACCATGTGGTTGTGTTGTTTGACAAACATGTTTTGGGCACTGAATTTGAAATTAATTTTGTGTAATTTCTTAGAGATTGATATAAAGTAACATTTATTTCAACCCACAGCTTAGTATAGGTCAGTACACTGAAAGGACACTAGAATCCATCTTTTATCTTGTAGATGAGGTGCAGAACAAGTTTTCAGCTCTCGGAGTCCCATGTTAAAGTGACCTAGAATTAATAATGTAGTTTTCACACTGTAAATCACTTAGATTTTGTCAAAACTGTATTTTACAAATGTGTCTGTTTGCTCTTTGCAAATACATGATTTTTCAAAAGCTAATCTAGAAATGACTTAAAATTTGCAAATTATGAACAGTGAGAGATGTAGATGGTGCGAGATGCTGTTATTTGTAACAAGATCAACATGAATGTCAGTCAGAGCTGTCATTTTAGTACAAATAATTGCTAGAAATTTTAATTTGTCTTTGGTTTGCTTCATGTATTAAGGGGAAAATAAATTCCATACAAAATATAAGTGATATACAGTATTACCACAAGTATTTTCAACACAAATTAGATTGTCGTTTTTGTATGATTATCTTAATAAACATGTCATTTTTTAGGCTGATGTTCTTGACAACTGTACACTTAATCTTGAATTTTGAAATGATCTAATTTAGGTTTGATTTACTAGATTATTTAACAAATGAGGTGGAAATGTTTATCAGATTTCTATACAGACTCCAATATATCAGTAGCTTTATATTGTTTTTCATGATGTTTCTCTTTCAGACGTCAGTAACCAAAGTAAGTGGTCACCTAGTGGTGGTAGCCCCAGGGAGTCTGTGGTCTAACAAATCCTAGCTAGCCTTCTACCCGTTATACACTGAAACCTCGCTAGGAACAGCAACTCTCTGCTCATCAAAATTATTTATACAATTGTATAAAAACTATCGTATAAAGATCTCATAGTAACAGTCTTAAGTTGTATATTACCTTACTGGAACTCTTTATAGAAGAATTAGGTCTTTAGCATTCATTATAACTTGGTCAGTAATTTGATAAAGAATAGCAGGTGACAGACCTGTCTATCACTCTGGGATAGTCTTGTATAACTGATATATTTCAAATGAGAGCTTTAGAAGGACACCTGATTGTGAAAATTGTCACAGATTTCAAACGTAACATACAGCTATAACCCTTGGGTGATTACTGTATAGACTGAAGCTGTGTTAGTGAGGTTACTTTGTTGATACAGTAGGCTTTTGTCTTACAGGTTCTATTCTACTTAATGTAAGATTGGTGAACTATTGCTGTCCAAGGCTGTTTTATGGAAAGGAACAGAAGCTACTTATTGCCATATCTTGTTTTTTTAGTCATCAAAATAATCATTCATAGGTATATTTGTAGTGTTAGGTCATTGTATAAGAGACCTTTTGGATTATGTTAAAATCAGATGAAACATAATTAAAACTGTAACACAAGGACATATAATGATATGCATAGACATTGCCAGTACACAAAATATTTCAGGATGGTTGCAATTTGCAACCATGGTCTGAGCTAGACAACGCAATTTGCAACCATGGTCTTAGCAAGACCTCACAATGTGTCACCATGATCTGAGACAGACCTCACAATGTGCTACCATTTTCCAAGCAAAACTTCAGGATTTTCCACAAGAGTCCCAGCCAGACCTCACAATGTGCCACCACATTCCTAGCCACACCTCACAATGAGCCAACATGATCCCAGCCAGACCTCATGTGCCACCATGTTCCAAGCCAGACCTCACAATGTGCCACCTTGGTCTGAGACAGACCGCACAATGTACCACCATATTCCAAGCCAGATTTCAGGATTTTCCACAATGGTCCCAGCCAGACCTCACATTGTGCCACCATGGTCCCAGCCAGACCTCACATTGTGCCACCATGGTCCTAGTCAGACCTCTCAATGAGCCACTATGTTCCCAGTCAGACCTCACATTGTGGCACCATGGTCCCAGCCAAATTTCACATTGTGCCCCATGGTCTGAGACAGACCTCACAATGTGCTACCATTTTCCAAGTTAAACTTCACAATTTTCTATAATAGTCCTAGCTAGATCTGACAACGTGCCAACTTGGTTCTAGCCAGATCTCACAATGTGCCACCATGGTTCTAGCCAGACCTCACAATGTGCATCGTATTAAGTCCATTCCTACTTGAACCCCCAAAAGACCCAACTAGTTCACCAGAGAATGTGCCTGTCAAAATTCATCCAAGAGGGCCATTGTGACATCAGTCAGATGAGCGACTATGGTTTCAAGTCAATCTGAGGACAGTAAGGTCAAGTGATAAACTCGCCTGAGGTCATGAGGACAGTGGTCAAGTGATAACTCGCCTGAGGTCATGAGGACAGTGGTCAAGCGATAACTCGCCTGAGGTCATGAGGACAGTGGTCAGGTGACAACTCGCCTGAGTCCATGAGGACAGTGGTCAGGTGACAACTCGCCTGAGGTCATGAGGACAGTGGTCAGGTGACAACTCGCCTGAGGTCATGAGGACAGTGGTCAAGTGATAACTCGCCTGAGGTCATGAGGACAGTGGTCAGGTGACAACTCGCCTGAGGTCATGAGGACAGTGGTCAGGTGACAACTCGCCTGAGGTCATGAGGACAGTGGTCAGGTGACAACTCGCCTGAGGTCATGAGGACAGTGGTCAGGTGACAACTCGCCTGAGGTAATGAGGACAGTGGTCAGGTGACAACTCGCCTGAGGTCATGAGGACAGTGGTCAGGTGACAACTCGCCTGAGGTCATGAGGACAGTCATTATATTAGTCATTGAAGGTCTATAATCTACTGTTGTATATAATTACAGCCCTAGTAGTGAATATATAGAAAGATAGGTCTATGGTTGTACTAAAACTATGTCCAGTATGTACAGTAGATGTATACAAACCAGTACAGGGAATTATGGCTATTTCAATAAAATATCTACCTTATTCCAGGACTACTGGCTTTGATTTGTAAGGAAAAGAGACAGGAAACCTGACTACTGGTGTAGAAATTTATTTCGGAGACCTGGGATCAAGTAGAAATATTTTATTGAAGAAGCCTGTATCAATAAGTAGATAGCTATTTAAGATTTATAGGGACATTGATAATAATGAGATGCTCACTAAATAACGGTGAGGTTTGCATGACATTTAGTTTATCACTATTATATAAGGTATGATACTATTATAACTTCTGTAGAGAACTCTTCATCACATGCCATCACACTCAGTTATCTCTACTGAATCCTCTGATGGGTTCGGGCCCAATGGGCCTCTTGTGCTATTTCGACCGTTAACACTGAGTTACATATGATCTCCGATACTTAAAATTCTGTCTCGGTATCCATGATTCACTCAGACATCTGATTTCTGAAAACTGCAAGAAATGTGGTTTTCATGTCAAGTCCCATACTAACAAATCAAAGATTTTGACAGTTTTACTAAGGAATATTGGTTGAAATTCTGTTTTCATTACTGATTTCGGTCGACAGTGACCTCATCAGCTATATTATAATAGCTATTCAAAGAAATGACTTGTTTGCTTGCTAAAAAAAAATCCCTTTGAATCCCTTTCTAGTGTTCCCATGGTCTGACAGCTAATATTGCATGACTGTATGAAAGTTGGAAGATCTGCAATAAATGTATCCTGTTTCATTTGAGTAAGATTCTACTCGACTGAAATATGAAAGTATTAGAAATTTCAACAAGTGTGGAGAAAAAATTGAGAAAAACCCAAGGTCATTATCACTGAACTAGGAATTTTTCTGAAACAATCACTTACTCATGCCATCTGTAAATCTGTGACTTCAAAGTTAATTATTATTTTGTGAATATGTCTTTCTCGTTGTAGAATATTGTATGGAATATAACACCTGATACATAGGAAACACATAAAAATGCAAAAATCTACCTGGCATTGCGATGTATATATGAACAGTACACTGTAGATAGGTATTTAGTTTATCACTGCACCAGATAACAACATTGTATATGTTCTTAAATTATCATAGATATGAATATATCTGTCCTGTAGTGTCCTGTATTGTTCTATCTACAACTACTTTATAGTAAAGCGAGATTTATAATCAGCACTTTCTTTAACTCTTACCATCATACTTAGTTTAGAACTGTAACATACACATACCTATAACCAGACCCTAAACTGTAGGAGATTTGGGCTTTAGTGAAAACTCCGTCAGTAGAGCATCAGACATTTGGTCCATCTCCTGCTTGTTGTTTAGGGACTAGTTACCACCAACTACTACAAGGAGGCCTTGCCTTAAAACGACCCAGGTTGTCGACGGGATGATTGACTCATCAAACATTTATTTACTGTTGAACTGTATATCACAACTTTATAAAGTTGCATCATTTTACCTTTCCACTGATTATGATGATACACCAACATCATCACATCCTTGTGTACGATGGTAAAGACCTATTATTACAGTGATACAGATATCTACATAAAAAGGTTACAGTACTGCTGGCATGAGGCTTTTATCCCCCTGTATCACTTCCTGAGCTGAAGTCACAGTATCTTCCCTGTTTTGACCAGTAGTATTAGGAATGAGAAACAAAGCATTGTCAGAGAACAATGATGTCTGTCACTTCATATTCTTGTAAATGAGATAAAACAAATATAAGGAATTTTTTTTTTCAAGTTGAATAACTATTTCAGCTTTTTGTATAGTTCACTTATTCAGTCAGGGATTAAAAATGTTTTGAATTATACACCTTTTTGAGAGTTGAATGTCCTTGAATATGACTAAGCTTTTAACTAATCAAACCTTCCCTTGAAATAATTCCTCTGTCAGTAAATTAACCCCTTTGTAATCATAAGCTAGTGTACTTCCTGTTCAACAGCTTACTGAAAAATATCCCACTGAACCTAAAAATGCTGTATGTACATTGTCCACTTACACCTCAACTGACCATCTTGCAAGCAAACAAGTCTTCTCGGCCCTGAATTGTAAGGCTACCCTCCTAGATCTGAGTTCTATGTCCACTCAGAGTGTGTTCGAGGTCACCATCATCAGGACTTTGTCAGGACTAACCTCTATGTATGCTTTCTCTTGTATCCTGCCCTGGCAGATCATAGGTCTACTGGTATGTATAGCTATTCAGGATCTACTTTGGTGTTGTAATGGCAATGTCTGCACGAAGGAATGATGACCTTGGAGAATTTCTTCACACTGTCTTGGCTCTTTATATCTCCAGTCATATTAGATATGGTCCCCTGCATGTTTCCCTAGTCTGAAAGTACCTGGTTTGCATGGATGTTGCATGATCTTTTAAGTAATCCCTGCATGTTGTAACATCTATAGAAATGAGCTGTGGGTACTACTAGAACACTTTTTTTTCATTTTAAAATTTTCTAGGTTTCATTTCATTATCTCCAGTTGTTCATGCCATATGCCTTTTGATTTATTGCTCACAGCAGATTTGAAGGTCTAAAAAGAGCTTCTGTGGTGTAATACACGTCGTCTGAGTTAATATTTCACTGTAAACTGGAATGGTAGACATTGGAACAGCTCAAACTAGTGTGAAAAATCCCTGAAACTTTGAGTAACCCAAATAGTGAATGGGAGATATGTTCCTAAAAAAGGGTATAATTTGCTTAATAAATGAATAGAGAATGAAAAGTAAGCAAATTGATTGGCTGATTAGGTGGAAAATAAAGGGGGAAATTGAGGGGAAGAGTTTAGGCAATTAAAAATTGAAGAAAAATAGAGCTGGGGAAGATGGGAGGAGGGGGGTGGGGGTGTGAAACTAGTCAGGTAAGGGAGGGAAATGAGTCAAGTGAATTAAGGAAAGCGAAAATAAGTCGGGGAAATATAAGGAAAGTGCAAAGTTAGAATAAGTTTATTAGATTGGAGGGAAAGTGACAATAAACAGGATTAATAGAGCAAAGTGAAAATTTTAACTGTTATTGGAAGTGAAATTTCAAGAATTGATTCAGGAAATTAGAAGAGAAAACCAGGTGAGCTCCAGCAGGCCCATGTGGCCACTTGTTCTGCTTTTGATTAATTTACTTTCACAGTTAGAGTTTATTTTTCTTGGCCATGTAGGTAGCTTACCGTTGTTGGTTAACTTTCCTGGTCAGTCAATATGCCATTGTCGTAGGATAGAGGTACATCTACATAGTGGACTATATTGGAGTACATCTTGTTAATGCAGAAGTGAACCTTCCACAATACTGAAGCATTAACTTTGATTTGTTGTAAGAAATTAGGATAAAACATTGACCTGTGATGTTGACTCTGACATAAAGAACTTCTGTGAGCTAAGAATATACACAATCTATTTTGATAAAATTTGAAAGTCAGGGCAAAATTTGGTGCCTTAAATCGTCATCATGGTTTAGTATAAGTCAGGATAATCCTGGAGGTCTTTAGGCATACATATCGAGGTTTAGTTAAAGGAAATTATTTCACTACCAATGTGTGCTTCAAAAATGATATTAACAAGTGTGAATATAGATATTTGAAAATCAGATTCCCATATTACTAGGTTGTTTTAGGATTCATATAGAATAAACACTGGTTTGATTCTTTTCCAGCTTAAGATATCCACACATGGTGTTATTAATAACTTGGGAGATTGCAGCATCAATAAAACCTAACCATTATTATCAGATTATTAATTCTATTTCAGACTGATGAATCAAAGGAAGATTTTAGTGATTTACCACCAAATCAGAGAAGAAAAGCCCTGCTGAAAAAGATTGATGGCTTTAAGAAGGATATAGCACGGGAAACTGCAGAAAGGTAGACATAGTTAGCTGGCCTCTTCTTGTTTTCCACCAGTATGTGTGTTAGTGGGGCACTATACCAGTGATAGTAATACATTTAATTATTCATGTTCAGAAACAGAAAAAAGTGGGAACAAACTCTGATCTATAGTTATAGCTAGTGAAGCTAAAATTCCAGCTAACCCTACAGCTTTCTGTAGAAACAGGGCTGCTGTTATTCACAGACATATGTATGTAAAGACTGGTGCAAAACATTAATGCCCAAGATATATGCTTGACACAGATTTGCTTGTTATCTCTAGAAGTTCTTGTGTAAATCATTGAAGAAAATATTGATCAAAATGGTCCTGTAAAAACCGGTTTTTATGGACAGTCATGATATTTCATGTTGTAAGGGAGGGCATGCTGAAGATGAAGGAGGTTTATGCCAAGAATCCAGCCTTGGGTGACCCACACACCTTGGACAAAAAAGTTGAAGAAAATGCACAGAAACTAGACAGTCTCAATTCAGAACTTCGAAAGTTTCAGGTAATGGATACTGTGATTATGTAACCTGTATATGGAAGGCTAATGCTAAACACTGTCTGTCTGACAAATAATTTGAAATATTTTCTTAATATGGCTGGGTAGAATTTGTAGAATTCAAGGTGAACAAAGTTATCATTGTCAGCAACATCATGCTTGATATTGAGAAAGAAGATCGGATAATTTCATACCAGCCATTGTTTCCGTCTGGTCTTTTAGATTATGCTGGATATAATTGATACTTTATTGTACTTCCTGTTTATATCTTGGTGGTTTTAAAACAGTTTTTCATTACTGATACAATTTTTAAATCACTAATATTTTTTCACCTGGTTTTATACAGGAAAATGTCATAAACATTTTGCAGTAAAGAAAATTACAGTGGAACCCTCTTAATGTCACATCTGTTAATGTCACTTTCCAGTTAATATCATGTGTTCTTGAAACACCAATTTTTTCCTATGTCTCCTATTTAATCCAACATCTGATAATGTCATTTATTTTCTTGTGGACAATGCTTAATATCAGTTAATTTTGCTGACTATCAAAAAAAAAGAAGTAAATCACAGGTAAGTGAGGACAGCACCCATGAATTCATGCCTGGAGGGGGGGGGGGGGGGGGGTCATATGTCACACCTTGTCACTCCTGAGCAAAAAGATCAGCAGGCTTACCTGTAAGGTCCAGTGAGGTTGAAGGAAGTCTAGTGCATTGGTTTTTTAGGTCGCCTGAGCCGAAGGCTCATGTGACCTATTGCCATCATGATTTGTCTGTCGTCGTGCGTCGTTAACTTTTCACATATTCGACTTTTCCTCAAGAACCACTGAATGGATTTCGACCAAACTTGGCACAAAGCATCCCCATGGGAAGCCGCTGTAAGTTTGCCAAGAAAAAGGGTGTGGCCCCAATAGGGGGAAAAAGGGGGTAAAATTAGATAAATCTTTAAAATTCTTCTTCTCATGAACCAACTGTCAGATTAAATTCATATTTGATATCTGGGGTCCTTATGGCAAGGTCTACAAAGTTTGCGAATGAAAAAAAAATCGGGTCAAAAACGGCCCCACTAAGGGGCGCTCAAAAGGGTCAAAAATTCAACTTTGACCGATTACAACCAAATTTGGTTGAAAGCATTCCTTAGTGAAGGACATATGAAATTATGTTGAAAAAAGTGATAGTGTCCCCTTTGGGGCCCATAAGGGGTGTAAAAGGGGCCATATGTAAAAACCTTCATTAAATGACTTCTTCTCAAGAACCATTGGATGGATTTTGACCAAACTTGGCACAAAGCATCCCCATGGGAAGCCGCTTTAAGTTTGAGAAGAAAAAGGGTGTGGCCCCAATAGGGGCCTTAGGATGGTGGAAAAGGGGAAACTTGATACAAATGTTCTATACAAGGCCCTGGCAAGTGTTTTAACTTTTTGGGGCGATTCAAAATCCAAGATGGCCACCCTGGCCTCTGTTTGGTTAAGACATTATGGACTTCCTCTCAAGAACGATTTGGTGGGTCATGTTCAAACTTGGTACAGATGTTTTACACGTGGTCCTGCACAAGTGTTGTTACATTTTTGCAACATTTTAAAATCCCCAGGTTATTGACATATATTCCTCAGGTGACCGTTAAGGCCCCTTGGGCCTCTTGTTTTAATTGGCTAGTACATTCCAAGTGTTAAAATGGATTTTGAGCCCTTGTCCCTTACGTCTTTGCTGATATTGTAATAATTTTTCTCAGGCAATTCGTTCAGGGTAATAAACGTATCGTATGGAATGAAGGTTGGAAAACGAATTGGTCATATTATCAGAATGTCAATGTTTTGATATTTCTTCAAATCATTTATAGCTTTAATTATTGTGAGCACTGGTATGATGACTGTAAAATGTTCTAAAACCGGGTTTTCACTATGCTGTATTTCATGACATCTGATTGGCCATTAATTTAAGAGCTAATGAAACATGACATTCCAAAGGTGAACAGTTCACACTTTGTTGGCTATTTTTGTCCACTATGCTGATTCGTGATCTTCAGAACCGATGTCCAGACAATACGCTTAATTTTTCTAAAAAATTTTCATTCTGTTGATTTTTTCTTGTCACACTTAAGCTGCATGCCCGACCGCCGAGGAAAACAGCTATGACTGATAACCAGGAAAAGACAGCAGCTTTATATTTCTTCATTCTCAAATGACTGTTTGTATTCATGATGAAGTAGTTTAGCAGATGTTGTTGTCTTTTTACAGAATTTCCTGGCTGATGCTGAAGGGAAGCAGCGTAATAGTGGATCTGATGACTCCATATCTCATAGTACTTCAGAGGGTAGCGTTCAGAATTCCAATGTGGTATCAGCGCCAGGCACACCACAGGCCCAGCATGCAGTCTATGAGTATGTATCCACTGTGCATATACACATCCCATCAGTCATGTTTTCTTATATATTTTGTCAGTATCATTTTTGGCTTGTGTTGTCTCTATATATGACCATTTAATTGCCCTTTATTTCCAGGGTGTACGACCCCCACATCAGGTTAGTGTAGCTATGCATGTTTGTATTCCCATAGGCATTGTACTGTGTAGTCTGTGCTCACCCAGTCATTCTCCTATTGGCATCTGCAATATTGGACAGTGGTCAAAACTTATTTGAGTCTTGGGAGGAAGTTCAAGCTATTTGTAATATACACATAGAGCTAGCAATGAACTGTTTCATATTGTTCATCAGCAGTAGGTTTCAGATTTGAATTCTAGTGTTAGAATGCCTCTCTGGTGAAGGACAATAGACATTTTAGATTTTTATCACAGTGATAAACTAAGGTCATAATTTTCGGGTTTTTTTTAGCTGAATTTCACGTGAGATGATTTCTGTCTTTTATCAATTGAAGACATTTCATTCAAGGTAAACTTAACTATACAAAATGCAAGCGTAGTCTTGTAAATAATTTTACGAATTAAATTTCAAGGGAGATGACTCCAATCCAGTATAACCTACTTTAATGGATCCCTCTGGGCCCTTTTCAGCAACAGCTTACTTATATAGTCCTGGTCATTCCTATCTTAAATAAATCATCATATTTCAACCTGATTTAGCAAAACCACCTGCCTGTCTCAAAACCGATCTTGTCTTACCAACATTGCTATATATACCAACATTACTACCTATGAAGTACTTGTTTTACCCTCTGTCAGCCCCAGCTATACTGTTCCCTTGATTAATCTTCTATCCCCGCAAAAATGGTTTTTCTTTTGTAATAATTTTTCAAATTCAGTAAAAAGTGAAATTTTTCCTACTGTAGATTTTGAAAAGTGTTCTCAATAGGTGATAAATGAAGTCGTTATTAGAAGATATGTTAACCAATATGTTTCTTTGAGACTGTTTTGAATGGTACCGTCTCGAGAGTGTTTCTGTAGTTACAGTTAGATAAAATTCCCAAGCAATGTATCAAGGTTCATTATGAGCTGATAAGTCTGTATCAAGATGAAGACATACAATATACATTCTTTTTCAGGACTGATGTTAGGAGAATTTTGATGTGTTAGCATGTTGTATAATTGCTGTTGGGGAGTGGTCATTGCTTATTCTATGATTCTTTTTACTTATATTTACTTATATTTTATGTTGTACATCTTATTATTTTTGTTTTTTTGTATATTGTGTTTAAGTTCAAAACAGGTTTCTCAAACTCTGACCATACTTGGCACCAAAGAACCTTGCCTAAGTCTAAGTGATGTGATGCTGTAAAATTATAATTTTCATGGGAGATTTATTTTCATCGAAATCTTATGAATTTTAGATCCACAAATTTAGATGTCCGCAAAATGACAAATAGATTTAAGTAAACATAGATGATAGTTCAAATGATATCAAGGTTTATCCATGATTTCAAGTCTCAACAAAAATGAATTATTATTTTTGAAAAACAGTGAAAATTTGAGCCCCACAAAAATAGAAGATTTTACAGTATGAAGAGATCTTGGTCATCTTTCATTCAACAAACACTGAACACTCAATAGAATTTCACAATACACCAAGTCCTTGAAATAAAACTCTGAAAGAATCTGTGTACAGGTATACTTCCATTCAAGTGAAATTGGTCTTATTTTTGTTAAAATTTACACACATTGCAAAAATAAGATAAACTGGAAAATAATACTTGTATTTTTGTTATCTTAAGTCTTATCAGCGACAGTAGTAGAATTTGCCAGAATATTTGGAAAATGGGATATGGCATGTGAAATTCTGTTGGAATGTTGAAATACTCCTGAAGAACATGAGTCTGTGAATTTTGTAGAAGGGACATGTACAGAAAGTTGTTTTCTGTGGTACTAGTGACCAGTATTGCCTCAAATTGTACATCTGCCAGCATTTATAATACTGTTCAACTTCTACAACAGTGTAATGAAACATTTGATTGATGGTGCTATGTATTTATTTCCAGTGATGATGAGTTTGATGATTATCCTGTGCCTCCCAGGTTGGTTTTGTCTTTGTTACTGATATATAACTCTGCAGCAGTACAGTATATATACCAGACCTTCTGATTTTTGATCCTCTGTTACTAATATAACAGCCAGGCTGGGTGAAAGCATACCTCAGTAGCTTGCATTAGAACCAGAAAAGCTTGTAATACTCACACCCACTTCTGTGCACATTAGCTCAGCATTTCTGAAATCTGAAAACTTCAAGATATGAAAACTGTTGATTAAGATCAGAAGCAGGGACACTGTTTTGTTTTTCTGCCTAGGTATAATATAAAATATTTTTCACTTTTGCTAATAGTATGTAGCAGTTTACAGTTCCTAACAACGTTTTTAGATCACAGATATTAGTTAAATAATAGTAATGCTGATGTAAGTGGTGTACCACTCCACTTTATCACTGGGTATAAAAGTTTTAAATGTTCAGTAATAACTTTGAGGTTGACATCATCAAGGAGGATCATTTCAAATAGTAAAGACATAAGTTACCTACTTTTGCTTTTTTTTTTTGTTTTTTTGTTTTTGTTTTTTTTTCATTTTCCAAAAAAAAAAAAAGAAAAGGTTTTTGCATTCTGGAAGTATGTTTTAACCTCAGTGTGACTTCATCAGCTAACACGAGAAAAGGAGTTATGATAAATTTTAACTAATAAATTTTAACAACCTTTATCATGTTTCTAGTCACTAGATCTGTAGAGCATAGTCATTATCACAGCAGCTGCTTTCACCCATCCTGACGCAGAAAACTTTCCAAAATGAACTAAATGTATAATTATCCTGTTTGGATTTCACTAAGTTACCTAAATTCTCTACAAAAGCTGTAACCTATGAAGGCTGATGGGCAACTAAAATCTTGATATTTCTAGGCTACTTGTATACTCTATGAAGGTTGCTTTGCTGCCAAAATTCTCAATGGTTTCCTGAATCTTCCACAGAGGTTGCTGGATTACTAGGATTCTAGTGATGTTGCTTGGTTACCTAAATACTCAATGGAGGTTGCTAGGTTACCAAAGTTCTCTAGTGCTGTTGCTAGGCTATAGAGGTTGCTAGGTTACCGAGATTCTCTATGAAAGACTGATGGGTGACCTAAATACTCCTTGGAGCTTGCTTGATCAAATAATCTATAGAGGACTTTTCAGAATTCTTTACTGAGGCTAGTGATTAATGAATTCTTTGTATTAACATAAGTAACTAGTTTGAAGCTAACATCTTTGTTTTCAGCTCATCTGACCTTTTAGGCCAGATGTGTGTATTTCATGGCATGTCCTTCATCTGTCTGTCACCTGAGCTATAAGAATATAGGTGTATGTTTGCTCACATTATTGTACAATTTCTTGTCTCAGAGATGGTACTGCAGAGTTAATCGCCTAAAGAAAACCGTTTAGATTTACCAAGAAAATTTCTTTTATGATGTCCAAATGTCAGTGATATCAATTTGTTCAAATCAATACTGTGAGCAATGTTTAGTGTCACCTCGAGTGAAATCTGTCGTCTCTTGGGACTTTTTTTCTAATGAGAAGTTTTCATATATGTTTTTATTTTCTCTCACATTTTGTTTTAACTAACAGATCACATGATTTGTTGGAGGTGACCCACTAATAATGTACAATTTTTTATCTGTTCTTTTCTGTTTATTTTTTCTAATATTCCTCGAGTGTTTGCTATTATGTTACATTGGCAGTTTCATTATAATATGACAAATAACAAAAATATTACTATCTCTGGAGAATTAACTGTAGATTTCTTTGCAATTGATTATGATCATTGTGAAAATTTCATATCTGTAGCTGTATATGATGTTGAGATGTTCTTATCAAAAACAATTTTCAACAACTAATTTGTGTGACATATCCTTGACATCTGCATTGTTATAAAGTTATGATATATTACAGGTAACAATTTAAAGTTGCTGGACTGTCTGGTCTCTATTAGTTACAGCATGTAGTTGTTCTGTGGCACAAATTTAATTTCTATGTGAATCTTTTCTTGCCTGGCTTATTCATTCACCTGCCTACTTCTCCTGTAAAATATGCACTATTTTACCAATATTGAATGATGTACACAATACACCGACTGTTGTATTTTCTATGTTTCCTCTGATTTTCTTCTACACTTGATGCATTATCTTTTTACCCTTTAATTACATTGCATTAATTAGTCACTAATCAGAAAGGTTTATGAATTACAAGAATACAATTGACACAATTCTTGCATTTAAAAATGATATTTGAAATTCAATAGAGTATTATATATATTTTATAAAGAAATGAAAAAAGCGAACACACATGTCATAATTTCTGTTTTGGAGCTCTAGATGTTAATCTGGTATGATTTATGTATCAAACATGCTGATTTTAGATTTCAAAGTTTAAAGTACTTTCAAGATTCATGATTTCTTTTTTTCTTATCTTGAAAATGATGGGGATAGACTTTCTGTAAATTGATACAAAGTATAATTTGATGAATCAAATTCATACTGTTTCCTTTTTCCTATTACTTTGACCCTCTTGTCTGAAAAGTTCTAAAAGATCTTGGTTGAATAGAAATTTTAGCTATACAATAATTTATAAATCTGAGGATCCAGGAAATGAATGAGGTGTTTCCTACACTTAAGTAGGGTGAAGTACTTGACAGAAGAACCAACTACAGGAAGTATACATATATAGACTTCATATATATACATTGAAATGCTGTAGTGTTAGACTTCATTTCTCACCATGAAAGAAATTATTTACAATAATACATCCGTATCATTTTCATAAACATATATAGATTTATTAGCTAGTTAACATATTTATTGTAGAAAAATTCATATTGTCATTTTTGTTTTTTTCTCATCTTTTTTTTTTTTTTGGTTATATTGTTTTGTTCTGTTAATGAATGAAGGTGGTTCTTTTCACTATTGATGTGCTACTTATTTTGATTTTGAAAGCAAATTCTTCACTGTCTTCTGCTTTCAAACCATTCCATTTCAGGATATATAAAGGCAGGAAGTTGGGCTATATAGACAGGGATTATAGGAGATTGGGCTATATAGACAGGGATTATAGGAGATTGGGCTATATAGACAGGGATTATAGGAGATTGGACTATATAGACAGGGATTATAGGAGATTGGGCTATATAGACAGTGATTATAGGAGATTGGACTATATAGACAGGGATTATAGGAGATTGGACTATATAGACAGGGATTATAGGAGATTGGGCTATATAGACAGGGATTATAGGAGATTGGACTATATAGACAGGGATTATAGGAGATTGGACTATATAGACAGGGATTATAGGAGATTGGACTATATAGACAGGGATTATAGGAGATTGGGCTATATAGACAGGGATTATAGGAGATTGGACTATATAGACAGGGATTATAGGAGATTGGACTATATAGACAGGGATTATAGGAGATTGGACTATATAGACAGGGATTATAGGAGATTGGGCTATATAGACAGGGATTATAGGAGATTGGGCTATATAGACAGGGATTATAGGAGATTGGACTATATAGACAGGGATTATAGGAGATTGGGCTATATAGACAGGGATTATAGGAGATTGGACTATATAGACAGGGATTATAGGAGATTGGGCTATATAGACAGGGATTATAGGAGATTGGACTATATAGACAGGGATTATAGGAGATTGGGCTATATAGACAGGGATTATAGGAGACTGGACTATATAGACAGGGATTATAGGAGATTGGGCTATATAGACAGGGATTATAGGAGATTGGACTGTATAGACAGGGATTATAGGAGATTGGACTGTATAGACAGGGATTATAGGAGATCGGGCTGTATAGACAGGGATTATAGGAGATCGGACTGTATAGACAGGGATTATAGGAGATCGGGCTATATAGACAGGGATTATAGGAGATTGGGCTATATAGACAGGGATTATAGGAGATTGGGCTATATAGACAGGGATTATAGGAGATTGGGCTATATAGACAGGGATTATAGGAGATTGGGCTATATAGACAGGGATTATAGGAGATTGGGCTATATAGACAGGGATTATAGGAGATTGGGCTATATAGACAGGGATTATAGGAGATTGGGCTATATAGACAGGGATTATAGGAGATTGGGCTATATAGACAGGGATTATAGGAGATTGGACTATATAGACAGGGATTATAGGAGATTGGACTATATAGACAGGGATTATAGGAGATTGGGCTATATAGACAGGGATTATAGGAGATTGGGCTATATAGACAGGGATTATAGGAGATCGGGCTATATAGACAGGGATTATAGGAGATCGGACTATATAGACAGGGATTATAGGAGATCGGACTATATAGACAGGGATTATAGGAGATCGGACTATATAGACAGGGATTATAGGAGATCGGACTATATAGACAGGGATTATAGGAGATTGGGCTATATAGACAGGGATTATAGGAGATTGGGCTTTATAGACAGGGATTATAGGAGATTGGGCTATATAGACAGGGATTATAGGAGATTGGGCTATATAGACAGGGATTATAGGAGATTGGGCAGGGATTATAGGAGATTGGGCTATATAGACAGGGATTATAGGAGATTGGGCTATATAGACAGGGATTATAGGAGATTGGGCTATATAGACAGGGATTATAGGAGATCGGGCTATATAGACAGGGATTATAGGAGATTGGACTATATTATAGAGATTGGAGGGATTATATAGACAGGGATAGGAGATTGGGCTATATAGACAGGGATTATAGGAGATTGGACTATATAGACAGGGATTATAGGAGATTGGGCTATATAGACAGGGATTATAGGAGATCGGACTATATAGACAGGGATTATAGGAGATTGGACTATATAGACAGGGATTATAGGAGATTGGGCTATATAGACAGGGATTATAGGAGATTGGACTATATAGACAGGGATTATAGGAGATTGGGCTATATAGACAGGGATTATAGGAGATTGGGCTTTATAGACAGGGATTATAGGAGATTGGGCTATATAGACAGGGATTATAGGAGATCGGACTATATAGACAGGGATTATAGGAGATTGGACTATATAGACAGGGATTATAGGAGATTGGACTATATAGACAGGGATTATAGGAGATCAGACTATATAGACAGGGATTATAGGAGATTGGACTATATAGACAGAAACCTTGATTAAAGAAGCAAGCATTGTAAATGTGGATTATCAGAGATAGAAGTTAGGCATCGAAAATTAAAAGACTACAGGGGTTAAGGAAACAGAGAGGAGGGATGGAAAAGGTTGGTTCTAGAGACAGATTACAGTTTGGATGGAGAAAAAAAGAGCCAGTGAATCTTTAGGTGGATAGTAGAGAGAGCTTATATGTACATGGGGTTTTGAAGACAAAGATTTTTTATAAAGTTATTGTGAGGTAACTGAGGACGATTGCTTTCAGTTCTATCCCGGACGAGGACATGATGCCAGAATCCATAGAACAGGAACCAGTGGAACCAATAGAAACAGAGGAATTTGAGGAGGAAACCTTCCAAGTGATTGGCACTTGTCGGGCTGTGTACAGGTTTGATGGTAGGTACATTTTCATGTGTAAAAGTCTGTTTAGCCATTCATCAAGATAACTAAGTTTAGACATAATGTTGATTCATTCATACATAGACAGAATAACATGACTGTCATTGATGAATAAAGGTATTCATTAAAAGCATTGTATACCATGTGAGCTTTGCAGACACATTTTGCCACACGTTCATGTAGTTAATTAAGTGCTGTAGTTTCTAACTTTATCACTTGCTGAAGTGATATGTTAATAGCTCACCTGGCCCGAAGTGCCAAGTGAGCTTATGGCATACGTCGACATCTATCCTTCAACTTTTTCATACAAATCCCTATTAGGCCTCAACTCTTTATGTGGAAGTAATCGATAAACAGAGCATGGAGTGTAATTGCAGGGAATGTATTGCAGATTTGCATTTATGTATTGTCAAACAGCATATCATTACACACTTTTGCAAAATAATTGCACCAAGGCTATTTCCTTACAGTAAACATCGATAAGATCAATTTTGATAAATATTGAATTAAATGCATAGTTGAATGATGAGGATTCGAAACTCGGCATACTAATATGTCTAACGATAACGTCCGCCATTACACATGACAACGGACCATGTGCTTAGAGCTTCTGGTTCGTAGCAATATCAGACGTGAAGCAGGATAAAATGAAACCAGCCAATGTCTAAAGAGTTGAACATGTAAGTGTTTTAAAAGGTAATTGTATTATCATCATCAACATATTTTCAATGTCCCGAACGAGGCACTGTCTTTGCCGATTCTTAGTTTTGTCTTGATAGTTGCTATCACATTTATAAACACTTCATCCTGATTTGCATGATATTGACTCGGATAGTTTACATTAAGTTGTACAGTCATATTTGTTACTGTTGAGTCCATTTGTGTCAGTTTTGAGTACCAGATAATCCCGACAATCAATGATGGCAGCCCCACAGAATCTTTGTTTTTTCCATGAAAAAAACACTCGAAAGTTCTATAGCTATGTAATGTGTACACACTTCACTTTGGACATTTATTTTCTCAAAAAAAAAAAAAACCCTTCCAAAAAACTGCTAATTATGGGTTTTTACGGCAGGATAATGAAACATGGTATATACATTGATCATACTAAGACAATCTGCTGTGTACCAAGTTCAGGACCCGCAACTCCTTAATTATGGAGTTATTGCCCTTTGTTAAAGTTTTGTATCTAAAGCACAACTTTTAATTGCTTGCATTTAATCTAGGATTATGAATCATGGTGGATACATTGACCATACTAAGACATTGAGCAGTTTACCAAACTCAGGACCCTTGACACCTCAGTTATATAGTTATTGCTCTTTGTTAAAAAAAATCTTGCCCAGAGCATAACTAGCTTGCAATTAAGATAGGATAATGAAACTTGGTGTATACATTGATCATATGAAGACAATGCGCCCTGTATCACTGTTAGGACCCACAACAGTTATTGCCCTCTATTAAAATTTTGTGTTTAGGGAGCATTCATCAGCTTCACTGATACTCTTTTCAATTAAGGGGAAGGATGGTCGGGTGGGGAGGTGAGAGGTATAGTGTTACCCATATTTGTTTATCCTATCCCATCTCACCTGTCACAGAGGGATCTCTTAGCAGGTTTGGTTCATATATATCTAGTTCACTAAACTGATTTAAGAGTTTCCTTGAGAATGATTCACGTGATACAAGTGTGCTAAAAAATGTATATAAATGTCAAAGGATTGCCATTTTCCTTGAAAATTTAAATTAGAGTAATATCAAGAACAATGATGTGGAAAGTTAGTAGATATTAAGATACCTTTGTCTTGTTTTAATGAACATAAAGGTATTTCTCAAGTTAATGATATAAATTATGTATCAGCAATAACATATGGTTTGATATATGAATACCTGTTACCTGTGTACTTACAGCTGACAATGGTAGTTCTGTGTCGATGGAGGAAGGTGAGGAGATGGCCGTGATAGAACAAGACCAGGGCGATGGCTGGACCCGGGTCAGAAGGAAGGATGATACGGAAGGATTCGTGCCCACGTCATATATACAGTGTCACTTCTACGATCAAGATGAGGTTTGAGGTCCAACTGAAAGCTGTGTGACCATCAGGAATCGTGGAAGACAAAGTCAAATTTTATATGGCCTCTAACAAAGAGCTGATATTTGTAACCTCAGAGCCAGAAATATATATGTCTCGGCTTAAAGCCAAGGGCTTTTTAATTTTTTTTTTTTATTTTTGTTTTTTTTTTTTTTTCTCGCAACCTTGGAGTGAGGATCTTTAATTTGTAACTATGAAGCCACTTTTCAGTTTGGGTTTTTAAGCCAGAAAGTGTAACCTTTATTATCCTGATCCTGATCCAGACACAGTAATCTAGCCTAATCTGTACTAATTGGGCCTGGCCTGTACCTAAGTGTTCTGTGTGGTGGAGAAACAGACAATTGACCCAGTATTATGATTTAGCTGACAGCTTGTACAGACATGGAATCTGCACCTGGATAATTCAACTGTGATGTTGATAGTAAATAATTACTGACTACCCTACTGGCCGAAAAGAGACGGTTATGGTCCTTGGACAACAGAGCTCTGATGGTACAGGAAGAATGATTTTTAATGGTGAAGGAGAGAGTCCGTAACATTTTGTCATTGGAAATTTTCAGTGAGACTCTTACCAAAGGGACATAACCATAACCATCTGTATTATTAACACATGAAAATTTTTTGATTTTCTTTTTTTTTTTAATCGAAACCTTATAGTATAGAAAAGAAATACTATTTTGGTTTTTTAAAGCTGCCAGCTTTCGATGTGTGTTCATGTGTTGGCTGAGAAGGAAAAGTGTTTAATTGGTCAAATGATTACTCAATACTACATATAGTCCTGTGCATTTAATGTGCACTAATCTGAACTTATTGTTCTATCATTGCTGTTTCTTAAGAATGAGTGAAAGGTGGCCAAGTCTTTATAATGGTCGAAATGGAAGATTGTAAGGCATTAGATTGAATGATGTACCAGTCAGAATGGACGATTAAACAAAAGGCTCTGTTATACAGATTCCTAGTATATCATGTTCCTTCTGTCCTCCTCATTGTACACAGACAATGACAGTGGCTCTTAGTCATATGCCTTTATATCTCTAACTGTAAATTTTATTCAATGATTTTGTAATTTCACACATTAGTTGTGTATAAGTTGAATGTATGCAGCTTCCCCCCCAAACATTCTTTTTATCACTTTTTCCTCACATATATGAGTCCAGCTTGTAACAAGATAAATTCTGGCTGTCCTATCTAATGAAACTTGTAGTTTATAACCTAACTAAATGTGTATTCACTTAAATCCAACCGATCACAGTTCCCCAGTATGTATTGGATTCAGCTATTATGAAATTGTGGACTGTATCTTCAGAGTTTTCTACAGTCAATTTTTTTTCATTGATTCAATGTATTGATTTCAAAGAAACTTAAAAATATAGATTGATATTTGAGAAAACTGTTCACATTAAGAAAATTCTCCATTAATCATCAGTGGTAGTTTTCCCTTTATTTCTTTGCCTACTTGCCCTACTGTTTCAATAGGGAGTTATCTCCCTTCTAAGATATTTTCAGGTATCCACATGTTATAATGCCACAAGCTATGACAATTTCATCCATAGAATTGATATTTACTCTATTGCAAATGTTTTGTTCCACAGGGGCCTGTAACATTTTTTCTGGAGGGGATGAGAGTGTGTATGCTATACTATAACTATCCCCCAAAAACATGGTTACAGACCTATGTGTTTTGTTCCAGTCTTTGTTGAATTTTCTAACCTGTATAATTTGTAGGGAGTTTATTTCATCAAATTGATACACAGTATTTTGTTTTTGGTGTAATCATTTTTTCTTTCAAAACCAATTCAAGTCTTCCTCTTCTTGTAGTTAACTTTAATCAACTTGAACAAATAAGTATTGCAGAATATTTTTTATCTTGATATAAGATTGTTTTTCTAAATATCATCCAACTTCATAAATTTTATAACAAACATTTTCTTAAATTCTTGAGTTTGGATCTTTATGGTGCTTTGATACAGTTATTACCATCAAATTATCAAACAGTTTTTGTAAATTTCTTTGAAAATTCCACAAATTTGATAAATTTACTGAATTACCATGTACAGGTCATAGCGTTGTTAACATGAGATTTGTATAATTATCTCTTGTAGAATATTTGACTTCTGGACACAGATTAATCTGAATACTGAAAGATGGTTATAGAAAATACACAGAAACTTTGTAATATTGATATTGTAATAATTATGACAGGGTGATTTCAGTTAAAACACCTGTCCCACCCCTGGACTTCAGTTGAGGAGTACCTCCCATAGAATCTAATTGATAATTGCTTAGAAGTAATGGGCTAAAACACAGCCACGGATAGAAGTGATTATTTGTTCGGAGGGGTGGAGTAGATGTTTTAGTGAAATATCCCTCTGTTGATATGTGAATCATACAGTATTACTACCATATGTAAATTTTATACACTGATCACACCATGTATTTGCAAACAATCAGTAAATCCTTTTAAAAATATGTATTTTAAACATGATTATAAACATAACAGCTGAGAACTTTGTACCTGACAGTGATATTTATCAGAATTTCATAGCAACAGTTTTGTTGAATTTATATGTAAGAAAGTTACTGGTACTAAAATCAGTCCTACTTTTGTAGTCTTACCATCATTTTACTACCTGTAGAACTGTAGTGGCAAGTTTATGTTGCTACTGCTATGTTCTTTAGAATCACTAAAACAATTGTTACACATGACTATGGAGGCTCAATGTCATCCAAAATAATTGTCACACACCATCATTATGGAGGCTCGACATTATCTATTTACATAAATAGTCACCAAGAATATGTCGCTTTAGTGAGCAAGTTCATTAGGTGTGGCTTCCGGCAACGTGTCATGTATAGATCAATTCATTGCTGCATATATAAGATATTTGAAATCAAATCCAAAATGTGTCGCAGAGTATTTATAAGAACATGCTATTGTTTCCTCTCCCAGTTTATACCAATCATGTAGTCGCTATGTTGTCATTTAGTGTTGAGATAATTGTCTCGGGATGATCAGTACATCGCATTTGATCTCGTAGCATGTTGATTGGATAAAGTTTACAATTTTCATTAACTGGTCACAAAATCTGCTCAACCTGAACCTCAACTTTTTACAATCAGCACCGACAGTGAGAACTGGCAATATCTGTCTTATAACCACTCATCTCTGTACATTGTGTGATGTCACCACTCATCCTGTACAATGTGTGATGTCACCACTCATCCTGTCCAATGTGATGTTACAATGTGTGATGTCACCACTCATCCTGTACAATGTGTGATGTCACCACTCATCCTGTACAATGTGTGATGTCACCACTCATCCTGTACAATGTGTGATGTCACCACTCATCCTGTACAATGTGTGATGTCACCACTCATCCTGTACAATGTGTGATGTCACCACTCATCCTGTACAATGTGTGATGTCACCACTCATCCTGTACAATGTGTGATGTCACCACTCATCCTGTACAATGTGTGATGTCACCACTCATCCTGTACAGTGTGTGATGTCACCACTCATCCTGTACAGTGTGTGATGTCACCACTCATCCTGTACAATGTGTGATGTCACCACTCATCCTGTACAGTGTGTGATGTCACCACTCATCCTGTACAATGTGTGATGTCACCACTCATCCTGTACAGTGTGTGATGTCACCACTCATCCTGTACAATGTGTGATGTCACCACTCATCCTGTACAATGTGTGATGTCACCACTCATCCTGTACAATGTGTGATGTCACCACTCATCCTGTACAATGTGTGATGTCACCACTCATCCTGTACAATGTGTGATGTCACCACTCATCCTGTACAGTGTGTGATGTCACCACTCATCCTGTACAGTGTGTGATGTCACCACTCATCCTGTACAGTGTGTGATGTCACCACTCATCCTGTACAGTGTGTGATGTCACCACTCATCCTGTACAGTGTGTGATGTCACCACTCATCCTGTACAATGTGTGATGTCACCACTCATCCTGTACAATGTGTGATGTCACCACTCATCCTGTACAATGTGTGATGTCACCACTCATCCTGTACAATGTGTGATGTCACCACTCATCCTGTACAATGTGTGATGTCACCACTCATCCTGTCCAATGTGTGATGTCACCACTCATCCTGTCCAATGTGTGATGTCACCACTCATCCTGTACAGTGTGTGATGTCACCACTCATCCTGTACAGTGTGTGATGTCACCACTCATCCTGTACAGTGTGTGATGTCACCACTCATCCTGTACAATGTGTGATGTCACCACTCATCCTGTACAATGTGTGATGTCACCACTCATCCTGTACAATGTGTGATGTCACCACTCATCCTGTACAGTGTGTGATGTCACCACTCATCCTGTACAATGTGTGATGTCACCACTCATCCTGTACAATGTGTGATGTCACCACTCATCCTGTACAATGTGTGATGTCACCACTCATCCTGTACAATGTGTGATGTCACCACTCATCCTGTACAATGTGTGATGTCACCACTCATCCTGTACAATGTGTGATGTCACCACTCATCCTGTACAGTGTGTGATGTCACCACTCATCCTGTACAGTGTGTGATGTCACCACTCATCCTGTACAATGTGTGATGTCACCACTCATCCTGTACAATGTGTGATGTCACCACTCATCCTGTACAATGTGTGATGTCACCACTCCTCCTGTACAATGTGTGATGTCACCACTCCTCCTGTACAATGTGTGATCACAGATTTTATATGGTATGATTCCTGTTTTATCTCATTTTTACTCACTTCCTTTTGGAAAAATATTTGAAAAGGCACATGAACACGATTATGAATGGATGTCAGACGTGACAGTAATTTCATATAAATTACACCAAGAATTCTAAAATCATTTTGTTATCCACACAGGTTAATGTTGGCAACGTTCCTTCAATTTTATCCCACGATACATCCTTTTTATTTTGCCAGTATTCTGTATTGTGATGCTTGC